AGGTCGCCATACAGCTACGCAGACGAGGGGGTACTGGAGGTCGATACAGGGGAGGGGTAGAGGGCAAAATGTGGCCTTGGTCCGAAAAGAGCAGGAAAAAATAGTTTGGGCGGGATGAGGGGGTAGAGCAAGCGGGAATATTATGGGAGTTGGTGATAGTTACCCCCACCCCCCCCCCCCCCTCCCCTCTCCTCGCTCTCGTCCCCTCTCTTACAGGCCCCGTCACCGAGGACGACTTCTTCACGTGGTCCTGCCTCATCTCGGGTCCCGGTCCGTCCCCCCCTCTCGACCTGCCTCGGAGCTCGGCTGACCCCTCCTCGTCCCTCGTAGAGGACACGCCGTTCGAGGGCGGCGTCTTCCAGGCAGAGCTCAAGTTCCCGCGCGACTACCCTCTCAGCCCGCCCAAGGTCCGTCCCTGTCTCGCGTCCTGTGCCGGCAACCCTGAAGCTCACCTCGTCGCTCCCCTTTGCAGATGAAATTCGACCCGCCCCTGTTCCACCCCAACAGTGCGTCCCTCGCCTTTCTCTTTCGTGCGAGTCGGCAGCTGACTCGTGCCCCTCGCCACACAGTCTACGCCAACGGCGAGGTGTGCATTTCGATCCTGCACGCGCCCGGCGACGACCCCAACTCGTACGAGAGCGCGAGCGAGCGGTGGAGCCCGGTCCAGAGCGTCGAGAAGATTCTCCTCTCGGTCATCAGCATGCTCGCCGGTGCGTCGACGTGCCACTCGACTCGTCTCCTTCCGCTCATTACGAGCGCGGGCTGACGTCGCGACTTGCTGCCGTGCGCAGAGCCCAACCTCGAGTCGGGCGCTAACATCGACGCCTGTGTGCGTCCCTGCCTCCCCTTGTCCCTCTTTCGCACGCCCACGCCCTCCTGACACAGCCTCGCCGCCACGTATTCGCAGAAAATGTACCGCGACCACCGCGAGGAGTACGACGAGTCGATCCGCGCCCACGTCCGCCAGCAGCTCGACCTGTGAGCGCCCGCGCTCTGTTCGACAGCGTTCCCCGAGACGACGGCGACGGGCCGAGCGCTTCGAGGCGGCGCAGAAGGAGCTGTATCAGATGCTGTACCGGGTTATGCAACGCGGGCTTGTGTGACATTCCTCGCTTTCGAGCTCTCGTTGCCGGCGAGTTGGGTTCGCGCGGGAGCAGTTTTGCGCATGTGCCACGAAGAGAGACCCACAATGCTAGCCGAGCAGCGAGGAGCTCTTGTGGGGTCGCTGTCGTCGCGGTCGACTCGAGCCGGACGAGTCCGCGGCTTGCCACCCGACCATCTTCGCGCCTCTCGCTCTTTGCGCCCTTTCTTGCGCCTGATAGCACCACCAGGTACGCTCACAGCCAGTCCCACCCTCCCTCCAAGCCGTCCCGGCAGCGATGGACCGATCGCCCTCGCCTCACGTTTCATCACCTCGAGCGTCGGTGCTCGACCACGTCTGACCCTTGCGCCCGTGCACACAGCTCAGCAGCTACCAGCACCACTACAACCGTCATCGAGCCCGCCCGCGACTCCCCCGACCTCGCCGTCGCCACTCACCGCCGCCGCACGTTCTCCTCCCGGCGCCGTCCTCTCGCTCGACCTCGCCCGCGCCTCGTCTCAGCGCCCCGCCGCCAGCCGCCTCGACCACCCGCGGCGCACCCCCCTTCCTCGACTAGCTCGCGCGCGCCCTTTCTCCCTCGCATCCCGTGCCGAGGAGAAAGCCCCCGCCCGCCAGCCAGCCTCGAGAAGCGTCTCGCCGCCCCTACCTTGCATGAGCCACGTCGACCTCCATGCGCTCTTCGCGTCAAGGGCCATCGCCAAGGCCCGCACCTTCCTGCGCACCGCGGGCAAGGAGGCGGGCACAGGAGGAGGAGGAGGAGGAGCGGGAGGAGGGGGCGGTGCTGACGGCGGCGGTGGGGGCGGCGGCGGCAGCGCGATGAGCAAGAGCCCGTCCATGTCGTCCGGCTGGCCGAGCGGCGGCGGCGGCGGCGGGCCGAGCGACCGCCAGATCATCGCGGCAGAGCTCAACCGCCGCAACCACCTCGGCCTCACGGTCCTGCACCTCGCCGTCGTCGAGGACGACCCGTGGGCGCTCGACTGGGTCGAGCTCCTCCTCAGCACGCCGGGCCTCCAGGTCAACGCGACCGACGCCGAGAGCGGGTGGAGCGCGCTGCACAGGGCGCTGTACGCCGGGGTGCGTCCCTCTGTCCTCCTTCCCGTTCGATTCGGCGACAGGGCCCTGACCTCTCGCTCCCTCGCCCGCAGAACATCCCGGCCGCACGCCTCCTTCTTCAACGCGACGACACCGACACGCGCCTCAAGGACCGCGAGGGCCTCACGCCGTTCGACGTGTACAACTCGACCGTCGACGGCACCAACCCGCTCTCGTCGTCGCCCCTGTCGACGCACCCGCTCAACCCGGGCCGTATCGAGCTCCTGTCGTGGGGCAGCAACCGCAACTACACGCTCGGGTTCGCGTCCGACTCGGAGCGCCACACGCCCGAGCGCGTCGCGCTCCGCCGCGAGGAGGGCGCGCGCGGCCTCGCCGCGTTCGAGCCGCTCCGGGTCAAGGACGTCAACATGGCGCGGCTCCACACGGCCATCGTCACCGACGAGAAGAGCAACAACATTCGGCTGTGCGGCTACGGCACCGGCGGACGGTGCGTCCCTCTCTCTCTCCCTCTCCTTCTCTCTCCTCTCGAGGGCGCAGCTCACGGTGCCTCGACGCCTCGCAGGCTCGGCCCGACCAACCAGACGCAGTTCACGTTCGCGCCGTTGCGAGACTTTCCGCAGCAGGTCTCGTCGGTCGTGCTCTCTCCCGACCATACCGTCGTGCGTCGCCCTCTTTCCCTCTTACTCGGCCGACTCGACGAGCCCTCGACCTGACTCGCTCCCTCCCTGCAGGTCATCACGACCGCCGGCGACGTCTACACGTTCGGCCTCAACCGGTTCTCGCAGCTCGGGTACACGCTCGACACGCTGGGCCCGTCGCCCTTCTCCAAGTCGAACGAGGACGACCCGATCCAGGCGACGCCTCGTCGAGTCGTCGGCGCGCTCAAGAAGGAGGTCGTCATCGGCGCCGCCGCGTCGCGTACGCACACGGTCGTGTTCACGGCCGACTCGCTGTTCGCGTGGGGCACCAACCGCGGCCAGCTCGGGTTCCCCATCGCGGGCAACCCGGTGCAGGTCCTCCCGCGCAAGGTGACGCTCGGCATCACGCAGCCCGTGCGCCAGCTCACGGCGACCGAGAACGCGACGGCGTGCCTGCTCGAGAGCCGCGACGTCGTCGTCCTGTACCACGAGGCGTACGTCAAGGTCGCGTTCCCGCTCGACCCGTTCCCGCGCCACATGATGGCCTTCCGCCCGACCGCGACCGACGCCAAGCCCTCGATCAGCAAGCTCGCCGCCTGCGGCAACACGTTCGCCGCATTGTCGAGCCTCGGCGACGTGTTCACGTTCCAGCTCGACTCGGGTACGGCGTCGGCCATGCCCACCTCGTCGTCGACGTCGTCGTCGTCGACTGGAGCGGCGGCGGCATTCGCGGGCACGAGCGGCGACGGTACGGCATCGCCCGGGCGCGGCGCACGGTTCGCGCCCAAGCCGACGCGCATCTGGACGCTCCGGCGCAGCTTCACGTCGGTCACAGACGTCGGCGTCGGCATCGACGGCACCATCATCATCTGCACCGTGTCGGGCCACGTCTTTATCCGGTCGCGCAAGTTCGACAGCACGTCGGCCAAGTCGGGCCTGTCGCTCTCGCTCGGCCTCGACTCGTCGTCGTCGCCGTCGGGCTCGTCGTCGTCGGCCGCCGGTTCGGGCGAGCGCAAGGGCGGCTGGAAGTTCTCGCGCGTCCCGTACCTGCAGCGTGTCATCAAGGTGGCGGCCAACTCGACCGGCGGGTTCGCCGCCTTGCGCGCCGACGTGCCCTTGCGGTTCATCGACCTCGACGGCCCGTCGCTCGCCGTCGACCTCCTCGCGCTCCTGCCGCACTGGGAGCGCGTCGGCCCGCCGCCACCGCCTCCCGCTCGGCCGCAGCGGCCTCAGCAGGACGACGACGACGACGACGACGATGACGACACGGACGCCGTCATCGAGCGCGACATTGCCGTCGCGACCAAGCTCATGGAGGTCTTGCGCCGGTGGGACCTCACGTGGGAGACGAGCGAGAACGGCACCGACGCCGTCATCAACGTCGGCGTGCGCTCGATCCCGGTCCACAAGACGGTCCTCGCCGCGCGCAGCCCGGTCCTCGCCCGCCACTTTGCGACGCACCGCCAGCTCGAGCTCGAGTGCTCGGGCCTCGCGGCGCTCCTCGTCGTGCACTACCTGTACTCGGACGACTTTCCCGCCGTGTGGGACTCGCGCGTCGGACTGCCGCTCCGCAAGGCCCTGTCGCAGGCCGAGTCGAACCAGCTCGACGTCGGCGCCGTCAAGCTCGAGTTGCGCACCCTCGCCAAGGCGCTCGAGCTCGACGCCCTGTCGCAGGCCCTCGAGCGCCAGGTCAAGACGGTCCCGGCGCCGACGCTCGCGAGCTCGTTCACGGACCTCCTCGCCGCGAGCGTCTCGCCCAAGGTCGCCTCGACGCTCCCGGCCTCGCTCAAGCCCGACGTCGTCCTTCGACTCGCCGACCGCGAGGTGCGCGCCCACTCGGTCGTCCTGCGCGCCCGGTGCGCCTTCTTCGCCACGTTCTTCGCCGACCCGGACTGGCACCGCGCTCGGCGATCGTCGTCGGGCGTCGTCACGTTCGACTTCTCGCACCTCGAGTGGGACGTCGTCAGCCTCGTCCTCGAGCACGTGTACCGCGACGCCGGCATGAGCTTGTTCCAGGCCGTCGAGCGCGACTCGGCCGACGAGTACGTCGACTTTGCGGTCCGGGTCCTCGCCGCCGCCAACGAGCTCCTCCTCGACAAGCTCAAGCAGGTGTGCTCGGCCGTCTTGCGCAGCTTCGGTGCGTCCCTCTCTCCCTCTCTCTCTCTCCCTCTCTCTCTCTCCCTCTCTCTCTCTCCCTCTCTCTCTCTCCCTGTACTGACTCGTTGATAATCCGCCTCTCGCAGTGACGCTGCACAACGTGTGCTCGATCCTGTGCGACGCCGCCTTTTACGAGGCGCACGACCTGAGCCGAGCGTGCATGCACTTCCTCGCGTCGTCGATGGAGACGGCCCTCGAGACGTACCTCCTCGACGACCTCCCGCACGACCTCCTCCGGGCCCTCACCGCCTTCGTCCGCGAGCGCCAGGGCGCCAAGATGCCCGTGTCGCGGTCCAACCTCCTCTTCCAGGAGCTCCTCCCGCGTCACCAGGAGTTCTACGACTCGCTCGACGTCGGCCGACCGACCGGCGCCGCTAAGCGGTACCGCCCCGCCACCGTCCCTCCCTCTCCTCGCCCTTCCCCGTCCATGCTCTCGCCCGGCACGTCGCCTCAGCTCGCGCCGACCAAGTCGCCGCGCATGCGCCCGAGCGTCGGCCCGTCGGCGTCGCCCAACCTGAGCCCGTCGCTCCCCGCCGTGCGCGAGGCGGACGAGCCGTTCGCGCTCGACGAAGACTTCCTTCTCGACCCGTCGTCGGCGATGCCGTCGCGAGGAGCCGCACCGGGGCCGTCGTACGCGGCGGGCCAGCCGTACCTCGCGAGACGGCGCTCGTCGGTCACGCCGCTCGGCTCGTCGCCGTCGCAGGCGAGCTTTATGCCGCTCGGCTCGCCTCCGCCGATGCGCCTGCAGCCGTGGCAGGCCGCCGTCGTCGAGCCGGCAGCGCCGCTCGACCTGCGCAGCATCATGGCGAGCGAGTCGGCGGCGACGCCGCCTAGACGAGCGAGCGCGGGTCCGAGCGGGGCCAAGCCGCCGTCGTCGGCTCCGAGCGGCCTCACGACGTCCTCGCCCTCATGGCGACCTGTCGTGCCGCAGCGCACGTCGTCGCTCGCGAGCATCCAGGAGCAGCAGCAGGCGTTGCTCGCGCGCCGGCCGTCCGCTCAACCCGTCCCGTCGGCGTCGGGCTCGACCAGCGTCCGCAGCCCACCTCCCGCCGCGCCGCCGACGCCCTCGCGCTTGGCATCGACTGCGCCAGTCGCAGCGTCGCCCGGCGTGCCGCTCGGCCCCGTCTTTACGCCGTCGCGGCTGCCGTCGGGCTCCAAGGCGTCGCCGAGCCCGCGCACGCCTTTTGGCGGCTCCGACACGCCGTGGCAGAACTACGACCGCATGGCGCCCTCGCCGACGCCTCCTCCTGCACCTGTCGCCGTCGTCGCGTCGTCGCCGACCGACCCGTTCGCGCGCCCGACCGCGTCGTCGTTCGCGGCGATCCAGAGTGAGCAGCGGGCTCAGGTCGCCGCCGTCAACGCGCACAAGGCCAAGCGGTCGCTCGCCGAGGTCATGGCGCAGGAGCAGGCCGACGCGCTGCGGCGCGAGCAGGAGCTCAAGGAGGAGAAGGAGTTCCTGAGCTGGTTCGAGGAGGAGAGCAAGCGGGTCAAGCAGGAGCAGCTCGCGGCGGCCAAGGTGGCGGGCAAAGCGCCCAAGAAGGGCGGCTCGGGCTCGGGCGCTCCAGCAGGAGGAGGCGGCAAGGGCAAGGGCAAGGGCAGGAAGGCGCCGGCGGTCGCGGCGACGCCGCCCGCACCAGCGCTCGCACCCGCCGTCCCGACGACGTCGCTGCAGGCCGAGGCCCTCCCGTTCACGCCCGGCGCGTCGGCCCCGTCCTCGGGCACGTCGACGCCGAAGCGCTCGGGCGGCGGCGGTGGCGCAGCAGGTGGGCGAGGCGGAGGAGGCGGGCGAGGGAAGGGCAAGGGTCGAGGAGGCGGAGCAGCCGGCGGGCACGGCGTTACCTCGCCGCCGCCGCCTCGTGTATCTGTTTAGCAGGCATGGTATTGTCTTCTCTTCGAGCATGTCGTTGTTCCTGGCCCTGGTCGGCGTAGACGTCGACTCGTTCTCTCCTCGAATCGCAATGGAGCGGTGTCGCGATTCTCGGTCTCGCCTTGGGCTGCGCTTGCGCCAGTCTGTTTGAGCGAGCTAGCGTGAGCCCGAGAGCCTCTCAGGCCGTGCACAAAGAGCTGTGTTGTCGAGGTCGCTCATCAGCTGGAGCGGTTCCCCACCTCCTCCTCCTCTCCTCCCTCTCGCACCAGATGCCGCCGCAGAGCCCCTTTCCCGGCTTCGTCCAGACGCCGCACGACCTGTACAGGCAGAAGCGCGACTTCCAGCGTCCCACCGTTCTCTCGTGAGCCCCCTCTCGCGCCATCTCCGCCTCCCACCTTCCACTCGCGCCTGCTCCTCCTCGCCAGCAAGCTGACCAGCCGCATTGCCCACAGACGCTATTCGATCCTCGGTTTCCTCTCGTCGGGCACCTACGGCCGCGTCTACAAGGCGCGAGTGCGCAACTACACCTCGGACGCCTCGCCCGCCGGCCTCCTCGGCACGCCAAGCGCAGCGACGCCGGGCAAGCGCCTCAAGCTGAGTCGAGACGAGGGAGACGATGAGGGCGAGCTGGTCGCGATCAAGAAGTTCAAGCCGGACAAGGAGGGCGAGGTCGTCACCTACACGGGCATCTCGCAGTCGGCCTGCAGGGAGATCATGGTGCGTCCCCTCTCCTCCTCCTCCTCTCCCTGTCGATGTATCGGTGAGACGGAGCCACTAACCCGTCCCCTCCCCTTGCAGATCAACCGCGAGATCTCGCACGAGAACGTGACGGCGCTGCGGGAGGTCATGCTCGAGGAGAAGAGCATCTACCTCGTGTTTGAGTACGCCGAGCACGACTTCTTGGTCCGTCCCTCTCGATTCATGTCTTCCGCAGCCCCGTGCAGCAAGACGTCCCGCTAACTCGCGTCGTCCTGCAGCAAATCATCCATCATCACTCGTCGACCCGCACCCAGCTCCCGCTCGGCGTCCTCAAGTCGCTCCTGTGGCAGCTCTTCAACGGCGTCAGCTACCTGCACGACAACTGGATCATCCACCGCGACCTCAAGCCGGCCAACATCCTCGTCAACGAGAAGGGCCAGGTCAAGATTGGCGACCTCGGCCTCGCGAGGCTGTACCAGGAGCCGCTCCAGAGCCTCTACACGAGCGACAAGGTGCGTCCACGTGCACTCTCTCTCTCTCTCTCTTTACCCTCACGAAGTGCCGGACTCGAGCTACTGACACGCTCGGCCGCACTCGCAGATCGTCGTCACGGTGTGGTACCGCTCGCCCGAGCTCCTCCTCGGCGCCCGGCACTACACGCCCGCGATCGACATGTGGTCGATGGGCTGCATCTACGGCGAGCTCCTCGGTTTGCGGCCCATGTTCAAGGGCGAGGAGGCCAAGATGGAGCTCGGCGCGAAAAAGGGCGGCGTCCCGTTCCAGCGTGACCAGCTCACGAGGGTGCTCGAGGTGCTCGGCACGGTCGACGGTGCGTTCTGCAGTCTCTCTATGTCTACCCTCGTCGACCGGAGCTCATGAACTGCTCCTCGCGCTCGCAGCCAAGCAGTGGCCCGGCGTCGTCCAGCTCCCCGAGTGGACCAACCTCTCTCGCCTCGACAGGTGCGTCGGCCTTTCTCTGACTGCCCGTCCGGCCTTCGAGGACAACTGGACGACGGGCTTGCAGGGCGCATCGGCCTGACACTCCCTGTCCCTCGTCGCCAGGTACCAGGACTGCCTGTCGCAGTGGTTCAACGGCCGACTGCCTCGCGGCGCACCTCCTTCCCTCGCCTACGACCTCATGCGCCAGCTCCTCATCTACGACCCGACCAAGCGTATCACGGCGAGAGCGGCCCTGTGCCACGACTGGTGGGCCCAGGAGCCCAAGCCTCACGTCAAGTGCGTCCTCCTCTCCTCTCGAGGTCTCTGCCGCCTTGGTGTCGCCACAAGCGCCACGACGAGTCGTTCACCGTCGCACTAACTGACTCGATTGTCGTCTGCAGCGCCTTCTCCCACCTCCCTCCCTCGGTCTCGTACCCGCTCCGCCGCGTCTCGCACGACGACGCCGACCCCAAGATGCAGCACTCGACGCTCGGCAGCAAGTACCAGAGCTACGCGGCCGGAAGCGCAGCGTCGCTCGGCATCGGCTCGGGCACGGCGGCAGCGGCGGGAGCGAGGAAGCGCAGCCGGCTCGAGTAGGAGGGCGAGGACGGACGGCGGCAAGGGGAGCTCTCGTGACGTGCGACACTTTGTTGATTGTACTTTCTTCATGCAACGAGCCTCTATCAGTCTACAGGCGCCGGCGCCTCGTCTCTTTTGCGGCGAGCTCCGCTTCTCGTCCTTCCTCCCCTCCCTCTCTCCCTCGCCCGCTCCTGGCTCTCGCTCCCACCACTACGTGCGACCCGCCAAGGTACCGACGCCTCGGCGAGGCTCCTTCGCCCGCCCTCTGCTCGTGAGCGGACGGTCCTCGGACGAGGACGAGTGACCCTGCGAGCTCGAGAACCCGCTGTCGTCGTCCTCGTCCTCGCTCCGCAACGGCAGGCCCCGCCTCGCCCTCTCCTCCTTCCACGCACCGAGCTCCTCGCGCAGGCCCGCTTCGGCTCGAGCGTCGCTCTTGTGCCTCGCGAGCCGCAGGCGCTGCAGCTCCTCGCGAGTCCGTGCGCTCTGCCGCGCCCACGTCGCGTGCCGCTCCTGCTCCGCCTCGTCGCCGCTGCTGTCGACGTGCTCGCCGAGTGCCGAGAGCTCGCCCTTCTCCACGACGGCGTGAGCGTCGAGGCGGCGGGCGAGAGCGCGGCGCGGCAGGACGGGCAAGTTCGACGCTCGGCCGGCGGCTCGAGCGCGCTCACGCTCGAGCGACGCCGTGTACGAGTCGGCGAGCTTGCGCCGGACCCGCTCGTTGTCCTTCTCGCGGCCTTGGAGCTCGTGGGGGCTGACGGGCGGCGAGGGAGGAAGGAGGGAGGCCGAACGGCTGTGCCGGGAGAGGAGCGAGGCGACGCCGGCTTGCGTTGGGTGCGGGAGGAGGTGCTGAGGCGAGTCGGGACGTTGAGTATGACGATACTTGAGCCACAGGGAGACGATCTGCAGAGCGCCGAGGCCAGGGAGGGGGAGGAGGGAAAGGAAAGCGGGGGACAGGCAACTTGGGAAGGTCAAATTTTCGCTGCTGAACGGCGTGCGGCGAGACGAGTGACGCACAACGTGGTCGAGCGTGAGAGCGAGGACGACGTTGATGAGGAAAGGCGCCTGCCCGTAGCCGGCGTCGAGCGTATGCGACACGGTCAAGATGGACTGCGAGCGCGAGCGATTTGGGTCAGGCTCTCGTGCTCGTGCAGGGGCGGGAGGACGCACAATGAGCATCGTGTAGTTCTGCGCCGCGAGCCACATAAACATCCACACGCTCGTGTGCTCGAGGCCCTTGTCGCGCACGATCTTGCGGATCTGGACGAGCCGAGGAAAGTCTGTTTCGGACGGGCAAGGTCAGCGGCGTCTCGCGTGCAGGACGGTCGAGATACAGAGAGACGAGGAGCGTACTGTAGAGGATCGTCCCGCCGAGCGCCGTCCCCCACCCAATCCAGCTCGCCGTGCTCTGCGGCCGCTCGCCCGGCTCGAGCGCCGGCTTTTTGTCGCGCTGCGCGACGTCGAGCGCGCCCCACACGGCGAGCCCGACGACGAGGAGCGCAGCGAGGACGGCCGCGTTGACCCTCGGCCCGTCGACGTCCGGCATCCACCGACCGACAAAGTCGCGCGAGCGGGTCCGTGCGCCGCGCCGCTTCTTCTCCGACGAGCCCTGCGCGACGGGCGTCGCGCCCCAGCCGACGTCCTCGACCTCGACGCTCGCATCTTGGTCCTCGCCGACGCTGACGGGCGTGTGCGTCTTCGCGAGCTTGCGGCGGGTCCAACAGCTCGTGCCCGGAACGAGCCCTCGCCCGATGGCCATCTCGAGGACGATGATGCTGCGGCGCTCGTCCGGTCAGTTCTCCTTCTTGGCCGGGACGACGAGAAGGAGGAGGAGACGCACATGTCGCCGACCGCGAACCAGATGGCCGACAGCTTTTGCGTCTCGAGCGCGCCGTGGATGTACATTCCCGCGAGCTGCGCCGCGTCGCCGAGGAGCCACAGGACAAGCATCCAGGGATGAGGACCGCCTGCACGAGCGTAAGGATTAGATCGACTCGTCGAAGAGAGAGAGAGAGAGGACGCGCCTGTCGGAGGAAAGCCGGCGAGAAGGTAGATCTGCGGAAAGGCGCTCCACAACGAGCAGCCGACTGCGCGCAAGCGGTCGACGTTCAGTCGGTGTCGCTGCAGGTCCGCGAGAGAGAGTAAGGGAGACGCACGCGAAAGATAGCCCGTGAGGAGCGACGCGAGGTCGAGCGCGCTCAGAGTGGCGGTCATGCTCGACGACAAAGAGGGAGCAGCGAGACGAGCCAGAGCTCACGGCTGACAAGCTTCGAGCACGCCACGCGCCGAGCCTCGGCGAGCTCATCTTGACGCGGACAGGAGCCGTCGAGCGGGGAGGACGGGCGTGTGCGCCGAGCGACGCCGAGCCGTGCCGGCGCCGACGGCCCGCTTGCAGCGCAACTCTCTCTGCGCAGGGACGAAGAGCGACGGAAGCAAAGGCGACGTTGCAGGCGGGGACAGGGGAGTACAGGGTCAAGCGCGTCGACGACGGAGAGAGGAAAGATCGAAGGGGAAAAGGGGTCCAAGCGGGTCGTGCGCGCATTCCGTCCTCGCGGGCCGTCTTGTCGTCCTCGTGCCGGCCCGTCAATAGTGGTAGTCGCCGCACGACGGGCAGCGACCGCTGCACGCGAGGAAGTCGAGGGACGTGCCCTTGGCCCTCATCGCGAGTGTGAGCGACGGGAGGCGATTCGTCGCGCGCACGGGCACGCTGCCGAGGTGCACCTCGACGAGCTCGGGCATGCCCTCGAGGAGCTTGATGACTTGAGGCTCGGAAAAGACGATCTCCTGGTACTGGGGCGTGACGAGAGCCGAGAGGGCGGGGTTGTCGGCGAGCCAGGTTGAGCCTGCGACATTGAGAGTCTGCAGGGACTGACAGTGCTGCTGGATGAGGCCGAGGCGGTGCATCGACAGGCCACCAAAGGACGTGATCTGGAGGTTCTCGAGGTGCGGGAAGAGCGCGATGGCCTCGGAAGGGAAGACGGGACCGTCGAACCCGACGCCGTATCGCGAGTAGCGTTCCGAGACGGCGTCGTGCCACAGGCTCGACAGCGCGAGGTCCGTGATGGAGCTTCCTGCGAGTCGAAGGAGGTGCAGGAGGTCGGACTGGATCGTTTTGACGGGCACGACGAGCTCGAGGTTGCGAAGGACGCCGGCCTGCACGGGGAAGAAGGCCGCGAACGGCTTGACGTTCTCGGGCGCCGGCCCGACGCCGAGACTCAGGACCTCGACAGGGCTCTTGAGCTGCGGGTTGCACTCCCCAGGCACCGTGTGCGTCATGGCGGAGCCAAGGTACGACAGGTCAATTATCTTGAGGCGGGCGCCGGCACTGTACAGGTTGGCGAGCAGGCGGAGCGCGAGCTCGACCTCGGCGGGCGAGCTGCTCTGCATCTTGATGCCCTCGAGCGACGTCGTCGACAGACGCAGCGCTCGGTGGAGAGCAGTCGCCTCGCTCGTCGAGTGGACCTTGACCGACACGAAGCGCAGCGCCGGGCACGCGGCGACCATGCTCGCCTGCCACGCGAACGCCTTGTTAGACTGGCCGCGCAAGTCGAACGCGTGCGGGCCGTCGGGCACAGGGAGCGCGGCGAGGCGCTCGCACCACACGTCGAGGTAGTACATGCCGCGAACCATGCGACCGAGGGCGCCGCCGTTGCGAGACAGGGCCGTGTACAGCGCGATGGCCCGGTTCCAGTTGGTCTTGGAGATGTGGGAGAAGCCGGCGAACGGCAGGCGGTACAGGAGGCGGCGGCCGATCGGGAGGAAGGCGCGCGAGGTGCGGCACAGGATCATGGCGAGGTCGCGCTCTGCAGGAAGGGGCACGGAGGTCAGTCCCGCTCAACTGTTCGACTGTGCACACCCTGAGAGTAGAAGGACGGCTTACCGCGCTTGGGGCGGCCAAAGGCGGGCCCCTCGAGGGCGAGTTGGACGATGTGGTCGACGACCTCGAGCGGAAGTTGCGCGAGCACTGTGGGAGGGAACGGGGGCAAGGGGGGCCACTCTGGTCAGCTCGGCAAACTGTGCGCCACAGTCTGGAGGGGTCTGCCACCGAGGCGAGTGCCGGCGGACGACGGAGGCGGCGGGGAGGGAGGGGGAGGGGACGGGGACCGCCCGGGGGACGACGTGGGACGAGTGAGAGGGCAAGACGCACTCTTAGGAGAGCCTTGACGCGCTCACAAGGAAGCCCGAGCCGAGCGAGGGACGAGACCGAGGTAACCGTGAACCTCATCTCTCTCAACCTCCTCCTCCCTCTCGACCGCCCCTCGCTCCCCATGGTGCTTCTTCAAGAGCCAGAGCGGGCTCAACAGCAGCTCGAGCAACTTTTGGTCCTGCGCGAGCGACTCACGCGCGATGCCAAGAGCTCAAAGGCGACCGCCAGCTCCGCCAACCTCGACTCGCACTCGCCCGCCCTCCAGCAGCACCAGTGCGTCCACGGGTCTGGGTGAGAGCCTCGTCAGGACCTCATCTAACTGACCCTCATCCTACCCGCAGACCTCTGAGCTACGCCGACGCCCTCAACCTCGTCCTCCCCTTTGCGACCTCGCCTCAGCAAGCCGTCCAGTCGGCCACGGGCAAAGCCGCAAACGCTCCCGTGCCCACCACGTCTGCCTTCGAGGCCCTCGACTACCTCCTCTTGCGCGCAAAAGCCGTCCTCACCGCGGGAGCTCACCCCGACGAGCTCTTGTCCGTCCGCGCCGACCTGTCCCTCGCGACCCTCGTGTCGCTCAGCGCCACCCTGTACACCGCCTGGGACAACCACATCACCTCGGCACAACAGCGCCTCAAGTCGTGCTTGTCGACCATCCTCGCCCTGGCCGCCCCGACCGTCCTCGACTTCCCGCAAGTCGCGCGTGCCCTCCAGGCCAAGGTCCTCGCCGACGCGTACGACAGCAAGCGCGGCCTCCAGGTGTTCGACGTCCTCCTCCGCCACACGGCCGTCGACGACTATGCCACCTTTGCCGCGCCGCCGGTCGCCGGCGAGGAGGGCTCGGGCGACGACGTGCGCGAGGGCGTCGTGCGCCGGTTCCTCGTCGCCATGCAGCAGAACGAGGAGATGGCGCCCGTCATCGGCAAGGTCGCCCTCGCGTGGATCGACAAGTGCTGGGCGTCGGCGTCGGCGTCGTCGAGCGGCGACGAGACGTGGTGGGTCCGCCCTGCGCTCGCCGCATGCCGCCACGGCGACGCGCGCACTCGCCACATGGTGACGACCTACGTCCTCGGCGGCGTCTTTTCGAAGCGCAAGGCAGCTTTCCGCGCCATCCTCGCCGCCGGCGGCTACCTGTTCGACGGCGACTCGAGCGCGGCGAGCATGGACGAGCAGGACCTCGAGACGTCGCTCGCCCTCCTCAAGACGGGCAACGCGCTCAACCTCGTCGAGCTCGACGCGTCGACGACGTCGACCGCTGCGACCGACAAGGCGGCGCCGGCGGGCAAGGTCGCGCTCCCGACCGCGCTCCTCGCCGCGTGCCTGCACCACTCGTCGACGACGCTCCGCACCTCGGCCCTGTCCCTCCTCGTCCTGTCGGCCTCGTCGTCGCTCCTCTTCCCCCTCTCGACCTTCCCCCTCCTGCGCGCCTTCTACGCCTACTCGCTCGGCGACGACGAGGGCGAGTTCCGCATGTCGACCATTTCGCTCACGGGCCGCCTGTTCGTCCGCCTGCGCGACTCGTCGTGGCGCGCCAACCGCACCATCGCCAAGGGCAAGGACGGCGTCGCCGCCGCCCAGCAGTACCTCGAGGCGGCGCAAGCCTGGATCGCCTGGTTCCTCGACCTCGTCGCGCGCGACAACTTGAACCCGGCGAGGCCGTACCGTATCAAGATGGCCTCGCTGCGCATGCTCGACCTCGCCCTCAAGGCTCGAGTCGACCCTCGGTACCGCGCCGACGTCGACGGCACCGCCGAGGCGGGCAAGGAGGGCAAGGCCGGCGGGAGCGCGAGGGACGCGACGACGGGCTACTCGTCGTACCGCAAGGGCACCCGCACCCAGACGCCCTCGTTCCAGGCGCAGCACCGCCAGATCCGCGACCACGGCCAGGCGAGGACCGCCGCCTCGAGCCGCCCGTCGACGCCGTCTTCGTCCGACCGCGCATCGTCCCCCTCTGCCGCCCCTGCCGAGCCCGACTTTGGCTGGCCGTTCGCCATCCACCTCGTCAACGCCGCCACGACCCAGACCCTCCTCCGCCAGCTCCTGTCGACCTACACCGCCCTGCGCCACCTCGTCATCGCGACGCTCGAGCGCTTCCCGGCGCCGTTGCCCGGCTACGAGGGCCCCGAGGGCGCCGAGCGCGCCAAGCGCGAGCTCCTCCTGCCCGCTCTGCGCATGATCCGCAGCGGGCGCGAGGCCGAGGCGAGCGCGGGCGCCGGCATCGTCGGCCTCGTCTGGCGCAAGTGGGTCCTCGAGGGTCTCGAGGCGGGCTCGAGCGCTCGTGCCGCCAGCTCGTCGTCGTCGTCGTTCAGGCTCGGGCAGGTCGGCGGCTGGCAGGAGGGCCCCGAGACGCTCGCCGGCCCGCGCGGGTTCGCCTTCATCTCGTCGCTCCTCGACCTCATCGAGCAGCAGCTGTCGCACTACCACGCCGATCTCGCCCAGGCCGCCGCCGCCGCCCCGATGCACGGCACCCTCCTCGCGCTGCGGCACCTGTTCGTGTCGATCCCGCCGCACGCCCTCGACGGCGAGCTCCTGTCGACGCCCGACGAGCGCCGCGCCCTGTTCCACCGCGCGAGGGACGTCGTGCAGCGCGTGTGGGACGTCACGAGCCCGGTCCTCGCCGCGAGGGCGCCCGAGGGCGGGGCGGCCGACGCCGGCGCCGAAGGCGAGGCCGACAATGAGGAGGCCCGAGCGATCCGGTTCGAGCGCGAGAAGAAGGCGGCCGCGGCGGCAGGTGGCGCGAGTGCGGCAGACGTCGAGGGAGCGGACGACGAGGAGGTTGCGCCCGGGTCGGGAGGCGTGCAGCACAAGATCATCCTGAGCGCGTGCTGGAGGGCCATGAAGGAGGCTGGGTGCGTCTCACTCTTTCTCTCTCTCCCTTTCTTTCTCCGACCGAGCCAAGCATCTACTGACATGTCCTCTCACAGTGAGCTCCTCGAGACGATCCTGCGCATCCCGTCAGAGCTCGACACGGCGTCGTTCCGCCAGGTGTGGAGCTACGACGAGATCCGGGCCATCGGCGAGCTGTTCGGCACGTGGTTGCGCCTCGCTCGCCACCGCGGCACGGTCGCCAACTTGCATCCGTGCTACACGCGCTGTGCGGCGGCGCTGCTCGCGGCGGGCAAGGAGTGGCCCGAGGTCGGCAAGTTGCCTGAGCGGTGGCTCGACGTGCGTCCTCTTCTCCCGCTCCTCTTCGTCTCTGCGTCTTACATGCCCGGCATTAACATCTCTTTCACGCAGCAACACCTGGAGGACATCGTCTCGGCGCGCATCTCGATCACGCGCCGCTCGGCCGCCCTCCCCTTCATCATCCTCGGCCTTCTCCTCACCATCCTTCCCTCGTCTCGCCCGACGTTCGACGCGGCCTTTTCTCGCCTCTTCGAGATCGCCGAGTCGACGACGCCCGACATCACCGACTCGTCGCGCGTCCACGGCATGAACACGATCCGCACCGTCTTCCTCGACGCCAAGGGCGGCCTCGCAGCGGCACCCTACGTCGAGCGCGGCTTCCTCGTCTCGATCAGCCTCTTCTGGTCGCCAAAGTGAGCCCGACCGTCGTCCTCTGCCTGTCGCCGCGTCACTGACTCTCCCTCGTGCTCCGCATGAATAGCTGGATCTGCCGCAACGTCGCCCTCCTCCTCTTTGCGACCCTCATCACTCGCGCCTTCAACGCTCGCCGCACCAACCTCGAGCGCAACCCGTCGAGCCTCGCCAAGCGCCTCACGATCGACGACTTCTTCGGGCAGTACCCGTCGCTCGAGAAGGTCCTCCTCGCCGAGCTCGAGCGCGGTTGGCGCGAGAGCCAGGACGCCCAAGCTGTACGTCCCTGCTCCCTCTTCGTATCTTGTGTCTCACGCTGGCCCAGCACACTGACCCTGTGCCTCGAGAACAGTCGTCAAACCTGCACTCGCCCCTCTTCTCCATCCTCATGCTCTTCTCCCTCCTCCAGACGCCGCGCCGCATCGTCGACTTGGCTGGCTTGCCGACTGCGTCTCGCTACTCGGCGCCGTTCCTCCCGATCGTCAAGGCGTGCGCAAAGAGCCGCGTGTGGAAGATTCGGGACGCCGCAGGAGACGCCCTCACCGGGCTCGTCGCGCCCGACGAGGTCGGCGCAACGGCGGCAGAGCTGCTCGAGGGCATCGAGGTGGACAGGGCGAGCATGCCGGTCGATGAGGTGCGCCCACGTCCTCTTCCTCAGTCCTCCCCCGAATCGTCAGCCTGAACCGCCATCTTTCCCGACCCGCAGCTGCACGGTCGTCTCGTCCAGATCCAGCGTCTGCTCGAGGCCAACGTGCTCCTCCCAAATGTCGAGGAGAAACAGGGTGCGTCCCAGGCTTCACTGTTTCGCGAGGAGCGTGAGCTCACGAGCCCTCGTTCGCTCGCAGCCTCGGCCGTCTACCTTCGCCTCGTCCCGTCCATCCTCCCTCCGACAGCGACAACGACCGCAGCTCTCCGTCCTACCCTCCCCTACGCCATCCTCTCCTCCTTCCTCCTCATCGCCCTGCGACTTCCCTCGACCCTTTCGTCCGCGTCGTCGCCTCTCGCCGACCTCACCCTCTCGTACCTTTCGCAAGCCGAGAACTGGAGCGCCGAGGCGTACCACCTCCCGAGCGCAGAGGAGCTCCTCCGCTCGAGCTGGCAGGTCCTGTTCGCGTCGGCGGCCTCGGTCGCCGAGCAGGTCGCGCTCGCCAAGGGCGGCGTCCAGGCACGCAGCATCGAGGTGCAGCGCGCCGCTCTCGCCGCGCTCGAAGGGCTTGGTGACGCGGCGCGACCGGCAGCAGAGCTGCTTGCGAGCGTCGTGCTCGACGGCAAGTACGCCGGCGACGTGCGGGTCCAGGCGGCCGAGCTCGTCCGGTCGCTCGGCGGCGCAGGGCCCGCCTCGTCGTCGTACCAGGCGCTCGCAGAGCTCCACGAGGAGACGCCGATCGTGCCCTTGAGGGAGGCGGTCCTGCCGTTGTTGGCGGGAGCTGCTCGGAGCGAGGACGAGCGGCGCACGGTCCTCGAGGTGCTGCGGGTCGCGAGCGGCGTGGACGAGGTGCGTCCCGCCTTCTCTATCTCTTTCCTTCTCTGCCGCATCCCGTACTGACCTGCCGACCTCTCGCAGTCTGTCGAGTCGCGAGAAGCCGCCTCGCTCGCCCTGCTCGCCCTCTCGCCACACTCGTCCCTCCCTGCCGCTCTCGCCCCGTCGTACCTGCACCTCGTCGCCCGCCTCATGCAGGACGACGACCCCGTCGTGCGCGAGAACGCCGAGCGGGCTTTCGGCGCGAGGCTCGTCGAGGGCAAGGCGGTCGAGCGCGCGGTTGAGGAAGGAGGCGAGGCGACGAGGGACTTGCTCGCGGTTGAAGCACGAGCCGACTTTGGTGCGTCCCTCTCTCTCTCCCTCTCTCTTTATCTCTGTCGCGACGAGTACTGACTGACTCGCTCCACAGAGCGCGACCTGTCGGCCCTCGAGAACCCGACCTCGCTCCTGTTCGCGATCGAGCGGAGCAACATTTTTATCGACTTTGCCGTCCTCGACTCGCTCCTCCTGTCCTCGGCCCCTTCGTCGTCGTCGTCGGAAGCGCTCACGGCGCTGCGCAAGCTCAACGAGGCGAGCAAGAACCTTGACGAGGGTCCGCTCGGGACGGGCGGGAACGAGCTCGTGTCGCGGTGGGCACGGTCGTGGGTGCAGCGACTCGACGTCGCGCAGGGAGATGGCGCTGAGCAGGAGGAGGAGGCAGTGCGGCGGCTGAGAGGGAGCGCGTAGGTGGGCGTGCGAGAAATAGAGACGAGTTCCCGCCTCTCTCCTCTCTTTCTCTCTCCCTCGAAGCGAGGCTCGAAACTCGCAAGGCACTGACTTTCCGTATTCACAAACGTGCCCGAGAAGGTACAGAGAGATCCATGCGTCATGCCGTCGTGCGCCTCGTCGCCGTCATCCTGAGAGGCTCGGCCTGTGGATCCCGCTCGTCAGTCGTCGGCCTGCGAACCTCCTCGAGCGACCGAGAGAGAGAGAGAGAGAGAGGCGCACCATCGACAGCGTCAATGCACCCTTGTACATCGGCGTCGGGTCCGTGTCGGCCATCTTGACGTTCTCGAGGTAGCCGGGCGCGAACTGGAAGTCGAACGCGCGGAACAGGTCGGCGAGGACGGCGGTACCCTCGTACAGGGCGAGGTTCTGACCTGTTAAACGAGAAGGAACGGTCAGCTCGGTACAGAGAGACGTGTAAAGAGGGCAGGGACGGACCGAGGCAACTGCAGGGTGGTTGAGAAGGTCGTCAGCGCTCGCTCTTGCACGACGGCCAGGCCCCGGGAGTGACAGTATGAGAAAGAGGGACGCACACGCGGTACCCGGCGTTGAACGCGTGGAACTTGAACTGGCTCTCGCGCTTGAGCGAGCCCTCGCCGTCGAGCCACCGTTCCGGCTTGAACTCTGCCGCGTCCGGGCCCCAGACGGCCTGGTCGCGAGCCATTGCCCAGTCAGACCAGAAGACCTGGGTGCGAGGAGAGACGAAAGAGTGAGCGTGCTGGCGGACGATGCCGGGGGAGAAAGAGAGAGAGAGACGCAGGACGCACGCTGTCGCCCTTCTCGATCCGAGGTCCGCCGTTCGGCAGCACGTCGTCGTCGAGCGCCTGCCACACGTTCTTTGGCACACTGTGGATGTACAGGACGGCGTGCGCTGGTCAGATCCATGTCCTCGAGACGGTCCGAGGCAAGTCCGGCGTGCACGGACCTCGGGTGGAGGCGCAGGCCCTCCTGGAAAATGGCCGTCGTCGTGCGCAGGTTCTTGAACGTCTCGTAGTCGACCGAGCCGAGCGAGTCGATCTCGTTGCGCAGAGCGGCGATGTGCTGAGGCTCGCGCATGAGGTGGAAGAAAGTCCACGAGAGGGCCTGCGCCGTCGTGTCGCTGCGGGCGAGAGAGATCGTCAGGTCAGACGCTCTGGCACGCCGAGCGAGAGAGAGGAGGGGCGATAGAAAGGAGGGAGGAGAGGAGGGAGAGACGCACCGGCCGGCGATGATGAGGTTGAAGATGGCGTCGCTGCGGGCGTGAACAAGAGAAGGTGAGCCGGACGGCTCGAAAGGACAGGGTACGGGCAGAAGAGGGGACGCACCGAAGCATCTTGCGCGTTAATGGCGCCCCGTTGTCGTCGCGCAGGGCCATGTACAGGCTCAGAAGGTCCTTCTCGCCGGCTTCCTTCTTGTCGGCGCCGGTAAAGTTGCCCAAGCCCTCGCGCTCGCGCTCGTCGATGACGTTGTACGCGAACGTGTCCATGATCTTGGTAAGCTCGGCCATGCGGGACCGGTTGCCGTTGAAGAACTCGAGGACGGGCCAGAGCGGGTTGGTGAAGCGGCCGTTCGAAATGCACTGCGCCTCGTCGAACGCGACGGCGAACGGGATCTGCTCGTCCGTCTCGGTCGACAGCGAGCCGAGATCACGCCCAAAGGCCATCTCGGCGAACGAGTTGAGGGTGAAGCGGAAGAAGAGGTCGGCGAGGTCGAACGCTGCGGCGGGAGGAGCGAGTCAGGTCCGAACTGCGGACGAGGGAAGGACAGGAGGGACGCACTCTCGCCTCGGTCGGCGTGGCGCCCAATGATGGTGACGAGCGTGTTGAGGTTGCGCTCGAGCGACGCCGTGATGATGCCCTTGAAGTTGTTGGCCGTGAAGATCTTGGACGTCGCCTTTCGTTGCGTCTGCCAAGCAGGACCGTCGACGCAGAAAATGCCGTCGCCGAGGACGGGCGACAGGTTGCGGTAAAACGTAGGGCCCTTGACATAGTTGGCGAAGTTGGTCTTCTGGATGTGCTCGAGGTACTGCAGGAGGAGGAGGTCAGAACGTGTACTGGGTGCACGAGGACGCCCTCGTGCCTGTTAGTCGGCCGCAAGGAGCGACTACGACGCTCGAGCCGTGCAGAAGGTGCAGGGAGACGAGGCGGATTTGAGAAGGCGAGGCGGAGGGGGTGGGGGGGAGAGGCGAGGAGAGGTGGACGCACGTCGGGACTCGACACCTCGATCATGCGGCGGAACGGGACCGTCATAGAGACGGCGCGAGAGCGGTCCTTGACCAGCTCGTGGCCGTGTGCGCGGCGGACCTCGAGGAAGCGGTCGAGGGCGCGGTCCTGGTGCTTGACCATGGTGAGGAGGTCGCCGAGGAGCGGCCACCGCTTGCCCGGCACCTGGAAGAGGTCAGGACGCGGTCGAGTGCCAATCGCGCGGCCGTCGCGGTAGTGGTAGACGACGGCGAGGACGGCGGCGGTGAGGGCGAGGGCGACGAGCTGGAGGGACGACAGGTCGAGGTGCGCTAGGCGTGATTGCAGGTCGGCCATGGTGACGAACGGCCGAGTATGCGAGCGAGTGCGAGGGCGGGAAGAGAGCGAGCGAGCGAGCTTCGAGGCGGGGAACAAGCTCCGGCGAGGTCGGCGAGGTCGTGCTGGGCAGTTCTCGGGCTCGGGGGCGACGAGAGCGAGCCGCCCGAACACCAGCTGAGCACATGCGTGACCCCGAAGGCCAGCAGCGGATGGCCTCGCTCCGTGCAAGCGACCCGCACACGCGCAGAGAGCGACCAGGCGGCTGGGCATCGGGCGCAGCTGCGAGTCAGGTGCTCTGCCGCCTCAGGGCGCAAGGCGGCTGCGACTGTCCCGTCACGCAGATCTGCAGTGTCGCCAGCCGCGCTGCACCGAAGCGACAGGCCGAGGCGCAAGTGCGCAGAGGGCGGCGAGACGAGGACGGAGGGGGGACGAGGAGAGGCAAGCGCGCGTGGCTCGGAACGCGGCTGGTTTTGGGCTGGGCGAGCTGAGCAGCTGCAGTACGGCGGCGAGGCTTTGCTCGCAAGTCACAACAGCCGTTGCTGAGAGCGCGACAGAGTGCGGGGTCGAGGAGCGACGACGAGGAGGAGGAAGAGCTCGTTCAACTCAAGCCGCACCAGCCTCGGCCACCTGCTGGACCTGCGAGCGCTGATCGTACAGCTCGACTACCCGCCATGAACGACATCTACGCCGCCTTCAGCGAGCAGCTGCAGCGCGCTCAACAAGGCGAGGTCGACCTCCTGTCGGACCACGACGGCCTCCTCACCCGCTGGGGCCAGCTGTGCGACGCTCAGTGAGTCCAGTCTGTCCCTCTTCCGTGCACTGGTGCCGCGACCCACCCGCCTCGAGGCCGTGTCGCCAACCTCGTCCTCACCTCGTCTCTCCCCCTCTGCAGGCTCCAGGCCTACTCGAACGACCTCGACAGCGAGGCAGTCGAGACGTGGACCCTCGAGCGCAACACTTGGGCCCTCGTCCAGACCCTGTACACGTGCGTCGGTCCGCCAACTCGTCTTCCACCCCTCCCTCCCCGTGGCTCACCTCGCTCTCCCCTCCCCCACAGCGAGCGCCTGAGCGACGCCCCGGCCGTCCCATCGTCGTCCAAGAACCCGTACACGCCGCCTCAAGTCGTCGCACAGCGCTTCATCGAGGGCGACAAGCCTCTTGTCGAGCTCTCGGTCCGTCTAGCCTTCCCTCTCTCTCCTCCTCGCGTCGCCGCCGCCAGCAGCAGTCACAGTGTGCGCATCCTGCACAGATAGCTGACTCCCACCTCCCCGCTGCAGGCCATCCGCGACTGGCTCCACGACCCGTTGTCGGTCCGCCCTGCCGAGATCCGCCGCGGGTACCTCCCCGACACCAAGGCCCAGCTCAAGCAGCTCCGTCGCACGGGCGCCAAGCCGCCCAAAGGCCTCGTCACGGCCCTCGACCCGGACTCGCTCGTGCGCGCCCGCGCGTCGGACGAGGGCGCCCGCCTCGAGCACAACGACGCCGCGTACGAGCGCGCGCTCCTGCGTAGCCTGTTCGAGTACGTTCGCGCCGGCGAGCTCGACTGCGCGATCGACCTGTGCCGCCAGTCGGACCAGTCGTGGCGCGCCGCGAGCCTGTCGGGCGGCAAGCTGTGGTTCGACCCGGTCCTCGCGCCGGACGACGAGGACGACGACGACTTTGCGATGCTCGACGGCCCCGAGCGGGACAGGAGGGTGCAGGGCAACGCCAACAGGAGGCTGTGGAAGACGATGTGCAGGAAGCTCGCCGCGACTGTGCGTCCCCCTCTTCCCTCGTCTCGACCGAGCCCTCGCGAGCGCCTTACCTGACGTCCCTTCCCTCCCTTCAACTCGCAGACTACCCTCGACCCATACGAGCGTGCCCTGTACGGCGCCCTGTCGGGCGACGTCGCGTCGGTCCTGCCCGTCTGCAGCACGTGGGAGGACGTCGTGTGGGTGCACGCCAACGCCCTGTTCGAGTCGCACGTCGAGGCCGGCCTCGCGAGTTCGCCCTCGGGCCGCTACTTCCACCGCGGCACGGTCGCGCCGCTCGACCCCAAGACGACGACGCTCGACCCGGAGGACCCGCTCGTCGGCTCGGCGGCGCAGGGCAAGTCGGTCCGGCAAGAGCTCGAGGACGTGTTTGAGCAGCTCGTGAGGAGCGACCGCGCCGAGCTCGCCATGGCGGCCAAGAACCCGTTCCACGTCAGCCAGGCGTACCTCATCGTCGGCAAGGTCGAGTCGCTCCTCGAGACTTTCGTCGAGCGCCTCGAGGCGGCCGCCAACGAGACTGAGCCTGAGTGCGTCCATGTCTCTCCCTCTTTGAGCGGGCGTGCTACCGTGCGCTCGCTCTTTCGCAGGGCAGGCCGGGCACCGACTGACACCTCTAACCCCTCGCAGGACCCTCGCCCACCTCCTCCGCTTCTTCTCGCACCTCATCCTCGTCCTCCGCCTCCTCGAGCAGCCACTGCCGGCCTACGCCGCCAACCGCATCCTCGAGGCCTACGTCCAGGTCCTCGAGGCGCACAACCAGGACGAGAACCTCATCGCCTACTACGCGAGCAACCTCGAGCAGCAGAGCGCCGTCGAGAGCTATGCCCGCTTCCTCCTCAGTGCGTCGCGTCGTCCTCTCCTATCGCGAGGCGGTCGAGCTGCGGGTCGTCGCTCGGCCCTTGCGCGAACGTGTAGAAGACCGGCGTCGCTCACCTGTACCTCTCTCGCGCACAGCTTTCGGCCCCGACTCGGACGTCAACTCGCGCCACACCGCGCTCCGCAAGTCGCGCGAACACGGCCTGTCGCTCCCGTCGATCGCGCGCCGCACGGTCGAGCTCGTCCTGTCGTCGTCGCTCGCGAGCTCGCCGCCGTCGGGTGTCGCGCCGCACGCGCGCATGATCGAGGCGTTCGCGCGCGTCGATGCGGCACAGATGGAGCTCATTCGGAGCCTCGAGTGGTTGACGGCCGAGGAGGAGACGTACGAGGACGCGATCAAGGAGGGGAACGCGCTCGCGAGGTGGTTCCTCTGTGCGTCCCGGTCTCTCTCGCCCTTGTCGCCCGCCTTCCCTCGCTTGCCGAGTCTTTGACTGACTCGCCTCTCTCCCCCTCTGCACGTGTAGCCACGGACGCCCCGCACGCCGCCCGAGAGCTCCTGCGCCGCCTCCCAGCCGACCTCCTGTCGGCGCTCGCGGCCGCGCCGGTCGGCGACAGCTCGGCCGTCCAGCTCGACATCCGCGAGCACCTTGACTACGTCGCGCTGTTCAACTGCCTCGAGCTCCAGGCGAGGTGGGCCGAGGCCTGGGCGAGGAGGCCTGCTGCGAGGTGCGTCGCCGCTGTTCCCCTTCTTCTTCTCGAGGCCGACCGAGGACTCGTCCTCTCGAGTCGCCGTCACAGCCTGGGTCAATGTCCTGACGACGGTCATCCCTCCCGCAGCGCCAACAAGCTCGAGGTGGCGCAGTACCGCGACCTCATCTCGGCGCACGTTGACGACTTCTACAAGGCGACGCTCGAGCTCCTCGAGGGCGAATGGCTCAAGCTCGATGGCCTCGACGCTACTGTCGATGCGGCAGGTGCGTCTCTCTCTCTCTCTCTCTCTCTCTCTCCTTCACTCCTTCGAGGTGTGCGCGTTTCCAAGCTGACAACCTCGTCTACCGCCCTCGCAGCCTCTCGCCGTGAAGCCGAGCTCGCCCGCATCCGCCGACTCGTCGTCCCCGATCTCGTCTTCCGCCTGCACCGTGCCCTGTTCGAGACCCGGACGCTCATCCCTTCGTGCGTCTCGCCTCGTCGCTCGTCGCTCTCGCGCGTACCGTATCCTGACCCTCTCCTCGTGCCATCGCCCTCCCCTCGCCGCAGCAACCTCTCTCGCGCGCTCGCCCTCCCCAACCTCGTCGCCGATGAGCGCCACGAGCTGTACCGCGAGTTCATCCCGGTGCCTGGCGCGGGAGCGGGCGCACTCGGCATCGAGGCGTACCTCGACGAGGTGCGCGTTGCGGCACTCGCGAGCCTCGAGATGGGCATGGGCCCGGTTGGTGTCGGACCCACGGTGGGACGGTAGCGGACGAGCAGAAGGGCTGCAAAGAGACCTTGAGCCGAGCCGACTGCGAGAGCGTCCTGCGAGGAGAGTCGGACAGCGGAACGAGTTGCGCAGCTATGCGGGCTCGCTCTTGCTCTCGCTCTTGCCGTGCAGTGCGACTGGTTCGGTGCGTGCTCGTTGCGGCAGAAAAGGAGGGACACGGGTCGAGTGCGGAGGTCCGAAACGAGGGGAGCGACGAACGACGACGACGAGGCGCAGCAGCAAGCACCACTGCCTCGACCACCGCTCGCCAGCCCCGCCTGCATGTCCACCGACGCGTAGACTGGGCTGCACCGCACCGACATGCCCGCGCACTCGCCCACGAGGCGCTCGCCGCCGCTCGTCTTCGCGACACCCGCATCGCCTCCTGCGCCCCGACCGACCCCGCCAAGCGCCTCGTCTGAGCTCCACTCGAGGGCAGCGCACACCAGCATTCACCCGCGAGGGTCCCGCCCCCCGTCGTCCGACCGCGCTCGCTCCCCCGCCTCGTCGCGCTCGTCCTCCCCCACCCGCGCCCGCCTCGGTTCCCTCTCGCACCCGCACCCCGCCGAGCACGACCACGGCGACGTCGAGCACCTCGCCGACCTCCCACCAAACGCCCCGCCAACCCGGCACGAGCTCTCGCAGGAGCGGCGACCCTCGGTCCTCGGCTTCGTCGAGCCCGCCGCGCGGCCCTCGTCTCAGCGAGGACGCGACCGCAAGCGCAGCTTCATCGGCGGGCTCGGCTTCGGCGGCAGCAGCACCAGTGCGACGGGCGACCACGAGGCCGGCTTTGGGCGCAGGAGCTTCCTGTCGCGAGGCGGCGGCGCTCACCTCGGGCACGAGACCGCCGCGGAGAGTCCGCCAGGGCCAGCGTTCGGTGGTACGAGCCCCTTTCTCCTTCTTCCCTCTCCCTCCTGGCCCCGACTGCGCCGACCGCCTGCCCTCGGACGAGCATGCACCGGCAGGACTGACACCTCGCCGTTCAGCAGACTCGACCTCGTTCTCGTCCTCGGCCCCAAACGCCGTCGCCCCTCAGCCTCGAAAGGCTTCGAGCGGCACCAAGCGCCTACTGCGTCGCGCAAAGAGCTTCGGCACAAGCCCCGTCCTCGGCGCGACCAAGGACGGCACGTTCGCCTCGCCTCCTCCTCCGACCTCGGCCAGCCCGCCAATCTCGCCGCGCCTCGCGAGCTCCCTCGCCCCACCTATCCCCATCCCGGTCTCCTCGACGTCGTACCTCGCCGCGACCGAGGGCAACCACTTCCCTTTCGCCCCCTCGACGCTCTCGCTCGACGGCAGCTCTCGAGCGTCGCCCATCCCGTCGTCCTACTCGCACTCGGGCGCCTCGACCCCGCTCACGCCGCACAGCCCGTACTACCCGCCCTCGCGCTCGTCGTCGTCGAGCGCGCACGCGTCTGCGAGCGCGAGCACCATGGTCCTCCCCGAGCCGGTCCCGAGCCAGCCGCACTGGCTCTTTGCGCCCGCGCCTGGCCACCCGTCGACGGCGCGGCGCTCGAGCGAGCGCGAGCGCGAGGAACGCGCACGGTCGAGTGGCGAGGGCGTGGCGGGAGGGCGACGGCGGTCGGCCGACGAGCGGCCCGTGTCGACCGGCTCGTCGTCGAGCAAGGGCAAGGAGCGCGCCGACGGGCGGTCCGAGAGCGTACCGCCCGCCCCGGCGCCCAAGCGCAAGATACGCAGGGCGACGCTCGGCGGCCTCTTTGGGCGCAGGGAGAGCAAGTCGGCGGCGGCGGCGGGAGCGGCGGCGGAGGAGGCGCGATGGTCGGGCGAGGGTGCGGGCCCGCTCGGCGCCGAGGGCTCGGTCGTGTACGACTCGCCGACGGGCTCGCCGGCCCTCGGCGCCTTCATGTCGAGCGGCGCGCCAGGTCACGACGGCCAGGGCGAGGATGGCACGATCCCCTCGTTGCCCTCGCTCCCGTCGCTCCAGCTGTCGCAGAACCCGTACCGCATGTCGTGGGCGTTCGGGCACGGCTCGCCGGCGTCGTCGCCAGAAAAGGCGCGCACGACACGCGCCGAGTCGAACGCGAGTCGGGGCTCGCGCCCGTCGCTGTCGATCACGACGACGCCGGTCAGCAGCTCGCCCGCCAACGCGTCGCCCATCGACGAGAACCTGCTCGTTGCGCCGAGCCCCGCCTCGGCCGTGCCGTCGAGCCGGCCTGCGCTCGGGTCCGCCCAGTCGATGCCGCTCCCGCCGCCGCTCCAGCCGACCAAGTCGACCGACTCGGCCGCGACCCTCCTCATCCGCAACCCGCACCCGTCCCTCCCTGCAGGCTCGCCGACCTCTCCGTCCTCTCCTGCGACGGTCAGCTCGCTCCCGCGCGCCGGCCTGAACGCCTCGACCCCTCCCCTGCGCCGCGCCAACTCGTACGCGCCCTCGTCCTCGTCCTCCCCGCGCCTTCCCTCCTCGACTCTGCCGATCGTTCCCTCTCCTCTCTCGTCGCCGTCCAAGGAGCCGCCAGACCCGCTCGGCACGTCGTCGTCGTCGACGGCGAGCCCGTCCGCGCCGGGCAGCACGTCGAGCCCGTCGCTCGCGCGGACGCTCATCCAGACGCGCGCCGCCCGCTCGCACAGCGACGCGTCGGACCGGCGCTCGCCCGCCTCGCCGCAGCTGTCGTCGCCGTACATGGGCGCGCGGGGCATGGTGGTCGGCGGCATGGGCATCCCGCCCGGCGGCGGCGTCTTTGCCGGCGCCGGGCTCAAGGTCGGCCAGTCGCGCCCGACGACGTCGGAGGGCACGACGAGCCGCGGCAGCATGTTCGGCAGCCTCGGCAGCTTCTTCTCGTCGTCGTCGACGACGTCGGTCGGCGCGGCGCAGGAGCAGCGGGACCGAGCGGCAAGCCAGAGCATGAGCCGCTCATCGTCGGCTGCGACAGCAGCATCGAGCGGGACGCCTGCAGCCTCTCCCGGGCTCGGCGCCACGAGCGCCGCCGCCGCAGGCGAGGTGAGCGAGTTCGGCGCGCTCTTTGACGGCGGCGGCGGCGACCGGCGCGGCTCGTCCGCGCTCGTGCGGCCCGGCAGCAGCCGTAAGCGCGGCCTGAGCGTCGGTGCCGGCATCGGCAGCTTCTTCAGCGGCGGCGGGAGCGGCAACTCGCTGTCGACGAGTGCCCAGAACTCGCCGAGCAAGCTTGTCGTCCAGCAGCAGCAGCAGTCGGGCCGTGCGCGCTCGGGCAGCGCGTCGAGCTCGGGCACGCACGGCTCGGCAGGCTTGCCGCTCGACCTCGCCGCATCGTCGGCGTCGGGCGGCCGCGTGCGGGCCCTCACCGACCCGAACCGACGGTTCAGCCTCGCCAGCTTCGGCTCGGGTTCGGGTTCGGGCTCAGGCGGGCTCGGTCCGCCGGGTGTGGCGGGCGGCAGGCCGTCGACGGCCGACGGCGCGGTCGGCGGCGGCGGCGGCGGGACCCGGTCGCGCGGCAACAGCGTCACGAGCGGCTCGCCAGCCTCGGCTGCGCCCGCATTCGCTCGCGCTGCGCCCAAGGTGCGCAAAGCGCCGCCGGCGCGCATCGCCGAGGGCGAGACGCCCGAGGCGTACGTGCGGCGGCTGCTCGAGGGCGAGAAGGGGTCCGGGAGCAGGAGGCCGTCGAGGGTCGTCGACACGGACGAGGACGGCGGCGCGCAGGAGGTCATCGAGGACGCCGAGCCTGGCGAGGAGAAGACGGGCGGGCGGGACCCGACCGGGCAGGAGGACGGCGGGAGCGAGCCGTTGCCGAGGGGAGAGGTCACCCGAGCTCTCGCGTCCAGGTGCGTCCCACCTTGCCTTTTCTCGCGCCGTCGCCCTTACTGACATGCTCTCCCTGTACAGCTCCGAGCCCTTCCACCTCGCCGCCCTTCAAGCGTTCCTGCGCCTCTTTCCCTTCGAGAATCTCGCCCTCGACATCGCCCTGCGCGCCTTTCTTTCTTCGGCGTCCCTCCCGTCCGAGACGCAGCAGATCGATCGCGTCATGGAGGCGTTTGCGCGGCGCTACTGCGAGTGCAACCCGGGCCTGTTCGGCGCCGTGCCCAAGAAGCGCGAGGTCGGCGACGAGGGCCTCTCGACCGAGGGCGGCGCAAGCGACGACGGGAGGTCGGGGCTCGGGCCGAGGCGGGACGGGCAGGAGGAGAGCGACATCCCTTACGTCCTCGCCTTCTCGATGGTCATGCTCAACACGGACCAGTTCAACCCGAACGCCAAGAGCAAGATGTGCGTCCTCCCTTCCTCGTCTCCCGTTCTCGACGTTCCTGCGCTCACACTCCTCCGTCGCATGCTCAGGACCAAGGCCGACTACGTCAAGAACACGCGCATCGACGGCGTCCCGTCCGAGATCCTCGAGGTGCGCCCCTCAAGCCGCCCGTCGGCCCGAGCGACGTTCGACTTACCCTCGCTCCTCTCGCAGTACCTGTACGACCAGATCACTGCGGCACCTTTTGTGTACGTCAACGACGATGAGCCGGCGTCGTCGCCCTTCTCGCCGTCCGCCTCGAGCGCCTCGCTCCTCGGCGGCAGCCTGGGTCCGAGCGCCTCGTCGGCAAGCTTTGGCACGCCGAGCAACAGTGGCTTCTTCGGCTCGACGCCGAGCAAGAACCGCCTCGACCCGTACCACCTCATCGCGACCGGCCAGACGCACCGCTTCAAGGTCGACGTCGAGAGCCTCATCCCGCCCAAGAGCCCGTTCTCCTACACGGGCACGACCAGCTTCTTTGTACGCCCGCCTTTCTCTCGCCTCGTCCTCGTCGTCCATGTCGCCGCCGTTCCGTTCGACTGACGCTCGAACTTCTGCAGGACGCGACCAAGCTGCACGCCCTGTTCGCCCGAGCGCCCGTCCTCCAGATCAGCAACCGCCCTCGCTCGTCGTCCAAGTCGCAGGCGAGCCAGATCACCGCCGTCGCACCATACTCGCCCTCGCCGAGCGCCGCAGGCTCGGCCATCCCTGCTCACCTCGCCGGCGCGCCTCTCGCACCGACCGTCAGCAACGGCACGTTCGTCGACCCGCCCAAGAAGAAGGACCGCCCACCTGTCTCGACGCTCAAGATCACCAAGGTCGGCCTCTTGAGCCGCAAGGACGACCTGACCGAGGGCGGCAAGAAGGCGGCGAGCAGGAAATGGCGAGGGTGGAGCGTCGTCCTGACCGGCAGCCAGCTCCTCTTCTTTGTACGCCTGGCTCTCCCTCTCTCCCTCTCTTGCCCCTCCACGTCGAGACACTGACTCGTTGTCCTCGCCTGCAGAAGGACCCGCACTTCGCCGGCTCGCTTCAGCGAGCTCTGCAGGCGGCCGCCGCAGCCGTCGAGCCGAGGGCAGACGACCACGAGGTCCTCGTCTACTCGTGGCAGAGCTCGTTCAAGCCCGACGCCGTCCTGTCGCTCGCGCATTCGGCCGCCATCTACGACTCGGTGCGTCGTCGTCGCCCTCCCTCGTTCCTCGACCTCGTCGGCCCCGGTGACTGACTCGAACCCCCTTGTTTTTCGACCGCAGACGTACTCCAAGTACAGCAACGTGTTCCGCCTTGTCGCTCCCGGTGGTCGACAATACCTGTTCCAGGCGCACGACGTCGCCGAGCTCAACTCGTGGCTGCACGCCATCAACTACGCCGCCGCGTTCAAAACGGCGGGCCTGCGCATCCGCTCGACGCTGCAGCAGCCTCCCTCGCTCTCGGCGTCACAGCGCACCACCCCAGCGCCGGCGTCGCCTCGGTTCAGCGCGTTCGCGTCCGTCAGCCTCTCCAAGTCGACCAACGGGCACCCGGACCTGCCGCCGGCGCCGTCTCGGCTCGTCCGCAGCGAGGCGTTCGGGTCACTCGCGAGCAGCGCGGGCTCGGTCTCGGCCAAGGGCAGCCTCGTCGCCGAGGACGAGGACCTGACGATCGGCCCGTCGACGTCGTCGAACGGCGGTGGCCACGGCGACAGGCTCGTCCTGCCCGTCAGCCTGCAGCAGGCGCTCGCCGCCAACGGCGCCAACGGCGCCGATGGCTCGAGTGCGCCCGACGACGACGACGTGCCTCTCGCCGAGCTGGCGACGCCAAGGCCGCCCGATCGAGCTTTCACCTCGCCGTCGGCGCCGACTACGCCTGCCCGGGCGGACCTGCTCCGGGTCCGTCACCTCTTCTCCTCTCCTCGGTCATTGTCTGCAGAGACTGACTCTCTCGCCGTCGCACTCGCACTCGCAGGCCAGGATTAAGCAGCTCGACGCCGAGATTCGCGCGGCCAAGGAGGCCCTCCAGGCCGACCTGCGCTTCGCCAAGCACCTCGCCGTCCTCACGCCTTTCCGCCACACGACGCGAGAGCGCATTCTCACCGCCCTCCCGCCGATCGAGAAGCGCGTGCGCCACGCCCGGATCCAGTGCGTCCCTCTCTCTCTCCTCGTCGCCCTCTCCTCGGACCCGACTTACTCTCGTCCCCCCACAGGCTCGCCAAGCTCGTGTGCTACCGCGAGGTCCTCTCTCGCGATCTTCTCGTTGAGGATCGCGAGGCCGAGCGACTGTTGCGCAAGCAGTCCCTGCACCGGTCGCACAGCCGGCGCACCTCGTCGCAGCACCGCCCTCAGCGCTCGCCACCCGTACCCTCTCCCCATGTCGCCCTGTCGCCGCACGCCACCATCAAGGCGTCGAGTCGCTCGTCGGCCCTCTCGCGCCCGTCGACCTCGCTCCACCCCGACTCGGCCGCCCAGACGAGCGACGCCGAGTACCACCTCGCGCGCAGCTCGTTCGAGTCGACGGCCGACTCGTTCTCGAACGTCGCGACCGACGCGCATCCCCTGTCGCTCACGGACGACGAGCTCGACCGGCTCCAGGCGCGCGCGCCGCCGCCGCTCATGCAGCGCAGCAAGACCGAGACGGACTGGGCGTCGGTCCCGGTGCCGCTCGCGCCCTTCGAGCGCCTGTCGCTCGTCAGCGACGGCGGTGTGCAGGGTGCGCCTGGTCACGGCGGGCTCGGCGGCGCCGAGAGCGAGGACGAGCTCGAGGTGCGCGAGGGCGGCGCCGAGACGCCCGTCAAGCGGCGGTCGTTCGCCCTTCCCTCACCCGCCAAGGGCCCGGTCGCGCCGCAGCGTGCGGTGGGACCGCCCGACGCGCTCATTCCACCTGCGCTCGAGCAACGGCGCTCGCACTGAGTCTCGCGCCGTGCACAGACACTCTCTCTCCCCTCTCTGGCCTCTCCCGCCCTCGATCACGTCCTCTATTGCAGTCCCCTTGTTGTAGCATTTGCCCTGTAACGCTCGAGGCCCAAGAAGCTCTCCGCCGCAGCCTGCCGAGAGCGAATCTCGCTCGTCGCGCGAGCAGCTCCGAGTCGTCGTCTTGACCTCCGTCCGCCCTCGAGATGCAGCCTCGCCGCCGCCGCGAGGCATCGACGCAGTCCGAGTGGCCACAGCTGTCTCTGCTCGCCGTCTACAGCGAGACGGCGATCGTCGCAGAGGCCGACGAGGGCGCGAGGCTCGACGACGCGGCGCTCGAGGCGGCCAAGGTGCTGTGCCTCGTCTCGCCCGGCGGCCAGGAGGCGCTCGAGGGTGCGCGCAGGGGCAGGGTCATGGGCACCGTCATGGGCGTCGCTGCGTTCGCTCGGTGCGTCCCTCTCCTCTCCTCCCCTCTCGATTCCTCATCAGCGGGGCTGACAGTGGGGGAGCAACCCGTTCTCCCTGCAGGACTCTCGGTCCCGTGGGACAGGAGGCGGCGAGGGCAGTGCACTCGAGCAGGAGACGGATGTTCTGGTGCGAGGTCGAGCCCGGCTTCTTCGTCCACGCCGTGCGCTCCCCTCCTCCTCGTCCTCCTCTTCCGATCCTGATCGAGGCGAGCTAACCTGTTCCTTTCACAGACCATCGTCCTGCCGCGTTCTTCTCGACACTCTCGACGCGCGTCGGCCGCGACAACCAGCAGCTCGGCCACCACCTCGACCCCGTCCTTTTCCCTCGACGACGACGTCCTCCTCGCCGACCTCCGCCACGCCTACCGCGAGTACCGCCTGCGACACGGCAGCCTCGTCGCAACGCTCGAGAAGGACGGGACGGAGCACGTCAGGGCGCGGCTCGACGAGTTCTGGCGGGACTGGGCCGAGCGGTGGGACGTGACGGGAGCGCGGGCGCCGGCACCCTTGGAGAGGGTCCTCGACGGTGCGTCCTGCTTCGTCCATTCACCCTCTCGCGAAACTGGGAACTGACGATCTGTTGAGCGCAGCCCTGCCGAGCTGCAGCCTCCTCACCCCGTCAACCTCGCCTCAGCTCCTTCCCCTCCTCGCGCAATTTGCCGCCTCGAACCCCTCGACGCTCCCCATCCTCCTGCACGACTCGACCGTCCTCAGCCTTCCCGACCTCGCCTCCTCTGCGCGCACCTCTTCACGCGCCGACCACACGCCGCCGCCGCCGCTCGCCAACGAGGACCTCCTCGCCCTCGTGCGGTACCTGCACCGGCTCCTCCCACCTCGCTCTCTCGCCGTCCACGCCGCGGCGAGCGGTGTCGGTGACGCCGTCCAGCACGCCGCGTCGTCCTCTGCCGCCGACGACACGTCGACGAGCTCGTGGACGGCGCCGTTTTCGTCCCTCGCGAGCGGCATGACCTCCTTCCTCGCTCCCCGACCCATGTCGTTCGCCCTCTCCTCGCCCTCGTCCCCCTCTTCCCCACCTTCCGCCTCCGTCAACTCGGCGGCGGCTCCCTCGCGCGACGCCAAGGACGTTCGCGGCAAATCGCTGCGGTCGGGCTTTGCCGCGCTCCGCCGTGCCGAGAAGGACGTCGTCGCCGAGCGTCAGCGCAACGCGCAGCGCACGGCGTCGGGCGGTGGCGCAGATGCGCGGCCAGAGGGCGAGCCAGGTGCGGGCGATGGCGCCGGGTGGAGCTTCAGGAGCGTGAGCGGGAGCTGGTCCAGGTTGGGGTTCGGCGGTGGTGCAGCAGCGCCGGCGACAGTCGCCAAGGCCCAGGCCGAGGCGGCGGCGCATGACGGGTCCACTGCGGGCGCCGAGGAGAACGCGCGAGATGCGGCGGCGCTCGAGCCGCCGACGACCGAGGGCGACGAGCCGGCGAGCGTGCCGGCCGCCGAGCTCGACCCGGCCGAGGAGGCGACGCCGCAGCACTCGCAGCCGACGACGCCCTTGGTCGAGCTCGCGCCGTCGGTCGACGTCGGCGAGCTCGCAGAGGCGATGGGTGCGTCGCCGGGCGAGGAGCGGACCGAGGCGGGGGCTCTCGCGGTGGATGGTGCAGCGCAGGACGCCGGGCCACCTGGCGGCTCGAGCGAGGAGGAGGATCGAGTGGTCGAGCGGGAGAAGATGTTCGAGCTCGTGTGCGGCGGCGAGGAGGGCAGCGAGGAGGAGGTCAGGTTCCACCTGCGGCGTTACGAGGTGCGTCCTCTCCTTTTCTCCTCCTTCTCCTCTCGACGCGTTCCTGACGTCGCTCTTGACGCGCTTTGCAGCGCGGCGCTCTCACGCTCGGTCTCGCCATGCTGCCCAAGACCGACCATGCCGCCCTCGCCTGGCTCGACTCGCGCGCCGAGCGCCTCCTCGAGGCCGTCGAGTCGTTGCTCGAGGTCGTCCAGCCTCCTGTACCGTGCGTGGCCGGTTCCTCTCCTCTGCCCGAGTGAGCGGGGCGTCCTGACCCGAGGCGGCGCACGGACCCACAGGGCGTACCCGCAGCAGCACTTTGTCAAGCACGGCCTGCTCGTCTCGGCTTTCTCGCCAAGCTCGTCGTCGTCGCCGCGTGACGAGCCCGGCACCGGGTCCGCCGCCGCACGGCCTGGCTCGGGTCCAGCGACCGACGAGGAGCTCGCGACGACGGCGGCCCTTCTCGACGCGTACCGGTCCCTGCGCTCGTGCGTCCCGCCTTTCACTTTCTCTCCTCGCCTGCATCCTCTCCTTCGTCTCTCAGACATTGCCTGACCCTCTGCCTCGCCTCTCAACGCACGCAGCCCAACCGTCCCCGTCCTTGAATCGCTCACTCGCCTCGCGACCCCTTCCACGCCATGGATCGTCCACCGCCGCACCGACACCGACCCTCCTCATTCCTGTTCATCGTCGTCGTCGACTGTCCCGCGACCCGCCGGCCGGCCGACGGTCGCGCAGAGCGCCACGGACGTGTACGCCGTGCTGTGCGGGCCGAGCGGGAGCGCCAAGGCGAGGGGCAAGGGCGGCGAGAGTGCGGCGAGCAAGAAGGGTGGTGGAGGAGCAGGAGGGGCAGCTGTGGGAGCGGGAGCCGAGATGAGCCTCGTCGAGGCGGCCGACGAGATGAGGCGGCTCGTCGGAGCGTACGGGGCGAGGGCCTGAGCGGACCTTCCAGGTGCATCGACAACTTATTTTCCGCGTCGAGGGACCTCGTCGGGCGTGTGTCGTGCGTCGCGTCGTACAGTTCTGCGTCCACGAGAGAGAGCAAGGCATAGCCAAGCGAGAACGTGACTCTGCTCGATCCGTTGGAATCGCTCGACGCTCGCTCTCTGTTGAGCTCTCTCCCTCTCGCTCGTCGCGTACCAGACGGCAAGGGATATGGAGCACGGCTCGCACAAGAGCTATAAACAGTTGCTATCGGTCTAGAAGGGAGAGAGGGAGGAGAGAAGCTCAAAGTGCGAGGACCAGGCGACGGCGGCCGCGAGCAGCGCGAACAGCGCGACGGCTTCGAGGACGAGAACTGTGTGACGCGGTCGTCAGTTCGGTCCGGCAGGCAGAGGAAGGCGCGAGGACGCACCGACTGAGAGGTGGCTCGTGGCTTTCACCGCGAGAGAAGAACCGCTCGTTCTCGCGACCTGCGACGGCGTCACCCACGCCGAGAGCGGCCCGAACACGCTCGAGGAGACGAGGTGGCTCCTTCTCGTCGTCTGGCGGCCGTCGAGTCGCCTCCTGCGCCTCGAGGCGGCGCTGAAAGTCGTCGACGAGTCGACCTTCTCAAGTCGGCCTTCCTCGCCCTTGTCGCACACGACGTCGAGCTCGATCGTGCTCGTGCGCTCGAGGTCGACCTTTTGCTCGATGCGGTTCGCCTTGAGCGCTGCGAGCTCGCGGAAGCCGTCGCAGAGGTCCTCCATCGCGCGCCACCACGAGCGCTTCGAGGCGACGAGGTGCGCCATGGAGCCCATGGTGCGACGGTGCTCGTGGTCGGTCGTGATCGAGACGAGGAGGGCGCGGTAGAGCGAGACGGCGCGAGGGTAGGAGGGGGACGTCGAGGAGAGGAGGGCGTGCGGGTCGGACGGAATGGAAGAGGCTCGTGCGCTCGGCGAGTAAGGAGGGGGCGCGCCCGGGACGGCGGCCGAGCGCAGGTCGTTCAGGTCGAGCAGAAGGCCTGCGAGACGTCGAGAATGTCAGTCTCGATTCTGGGCATGAGAAGAGTGAGGGAACGCACCGGTCCTGCCGTGTTCGACGAGGTCCGAGACCCCCTCGGCTCGCAGGCCGACGACTGGCAGTCCCGACGCCTGCGCCTCGCTGACGACCTGGCCGAACGTCTCGGTGCTGCAGGACGACGTGTCAGTAGGGGCGTCTGAGGCGGAAAGGGCGAGACGAGGAGGCTCACAAACTTGGGAAGGCGAACACGTCAGCGCTCGCGTACGCCGCCGCGAGCTCCTCGCCCTTCTTGAACCCGAGGAACAGCGCATTGAGGCCGTACGACGCGCACAAGCTCTCGACCTCGACCCTTGCCGGCCCGTCGCCGACGAACACGAGCTGGCACGCCGGGCGGCCGGTCGCAAAGTCCGGCTTCTCGAGGCCGCGGGCGGCGTCGATGAGCAGGCGCAGGTTCTTCTCCCACGAGACGCGGCCGACGTAGAGGATGGCGAGCTTGCTGGGCGACGAACCGGCGCAGAAGGGAGGAGGGACGGGCTGAGGAGTGTAGGGAGGAGGGAGGGCGAGAGCGGGAAGGTCGTCGGCTGAGAGCGAGGAGCGTGGCTCGGTGGCGATGAGGCGAGGCGAGGGTCGATCTGGGTCGAGGTCGAGCGGTTCGACGCCCCAAGACTGGCGCAGGGCAAAGTCGCGCGCTTCGGGCCGGAAGAGGTCCGTGTCGACGCCCTGAAGACGAGAGAGTCAGGCTCGTTCCCGGTATTCGAGGAGGGCCCGGCAGGACGCACTCGAGGCCACAGTCGCACGTTGTCGAACCCTTGCTCGCCGAGCATGCGCGCCGTCGACGGCGACGGGCAGAACGTCAAGTCGCACCGACCGTGCAGCGCTCGCTGCAGGCTCCACATGACGGGCGTGAGCCACGGGAACCCGAACAGGGTCGCGTACCTGCACGAAGATGCTCGTCAGAGAAATATCGACGAGCGCGAGGACAAAGGAAAGATGTGCACGCACATGGCGAGGTTCGTGTGGTACGAGGAGAGGAGCGGCGTGTCCGGAAAGTAGTACTGGATGACCGGGATCGTTCTGCGGGTCAAGCGTCAATATTCGGAGGACGAAAGGAAGAGAGAGGGAAGGGACGCACTGCGCGCAAAGCCAGATCGGGTCGACGAACATGACGAGGTCGGGGTCGAACTCGCGCAGCTTGCGGATGAAGCGAGGGCGCAGGAAGTTAAGCCCGAGGCCGCGGTACACGCCGAGTAGAGGGATGCCTGTGGGCGTCGAAGAGGGAGCGAGTTCAGCGTCGCTCATGTGGCCGGTCGACCACGCTCGAGCCTCTTCCTCACCCTTTGTCGAGACGACCTCGGCGCCGGCGTAGGACGTCTGCGAGCGCGCCGCGACTTGGTCAGGGCTCGAGTCCGTCCTAGGGTGATAGGGACGGGGCAGAGAGACGGGCGCACCAAGGGTGTCGACGGTCCGAGGACGAGCGCCTCGTGCCCCTCGGCCTGCAGATGCTCGAGCAGCATCGCAAGCGTGCGGGTGACGCCGTCGACCTTTGGCAGGAAGTTCTCGGTGACGATGGCGATGCGTAGCGAGCGCGTCGAGCGCGCCTTCTCGAGCGAATCGAGGTCGCGCCCGGAAGGCGACGAGGAGGCGGCGGAGGAGGAGCCGGCGGCGGCGGCGGCGGCGTCGGCGGGCATGGCGAGCGGGCGAGTCGACGGAGAACGTCGAAGCAGGAGTCAAGAGCACAGTAGGGCGGCCCACGAGAGCTGTTGCGGGAGCCAAAGGGGGCGGCTTCTTTGCCAACGTGCCGCCCCAAGCCAATCAGCGTCGACCGCAGTCGAACGAGCTCCCTCTAGATCGCCACCCTGCCGCGGCACGCAACCACGCTGACTAGCGTCAAGTGCTCGCAGCTGTCGAGCTCCCGGTAAGCTTGCCCCAAAGAGAGAGGCGCAGGAAGAGGAAGGAAAGCTCCCCTCGCGTCGTCGGGCCACTCTCGCTCTCTCCTCGTCCCACTCGCGCGCCGGCAGCAAATGAACGAGAACGAAATTGGAATCAATGCAAGAGATGCTGAAAGTACGACAGGCGCGCTGCCACCCACCATGGGCGCGGCCTCGATCGTCGAAAGTGTCCGTTTCCCTCCCTCCTCCTGCTCAAGCCGCCTCACGCGCCGATCTAGATGAGGGCGGCCGCCGCGCCGACGAGGCCGAGCGCACCAGCGCCGAGCGAGACGACGAGCGACGAGGCGCCGCTCGAGCCGCCGGCCGACTGGGACGGGGCGCCGGCCGTCGTCGTGCCGGTCTGCGAGCCGGTCGGCGACGAGGCGCCGGACGAGCGAGCCGAGCCCGACGACGCGGCGGACGAGGAAGCGGCCGACGACGAGGCGGAGAGAGTGGCCGTGTTCTGCGCGAGAGGGCGAGACGTGAGCTGGGAGGGCGCGAAGGAGAGGAGGGAGTGGAGAAAAGGGGACGCACGACAGCCTCAGTGGCGGCGACCGAGCCGGTGGCGTCGCCGTTCGAGACGGTGAAGAACGACGCGGCGACGAGCTGGAGGCCCGTCTCCTCGACGTAGTTCTCGACGTACCAGTGGCCCGGGGCGGTGCCGGCGGCCGACAGGTTGCTCGGGGCCGTGAACGACTCGGGCTGGGCGAACATGAGGAACGCGTAGCGGTGCGGGCCGGTGCCGGCGATCGGGCCCGGCGCAGCGTAGTTGGTGACGGCCGTGCCGCCCTCGGGCATGAAGGTGAGGTTGCCCGACGTCGGGGCCGCGCCCGCGAGGCCGTTAACGAGGAAGTGGCTGCGTGGGGGAGGGGTGTCGTCGTCAGTGCGTCGCTCGTCTCTCGCAAGAGCCGTTCACCCGAGGGCCAGCGGGCTCAGGGATGGGCAGGGAGAGCGGGGCGCACCGGTAGTTGCCCTCCGAGTCGGGGTCGCCGAGCGACGAGGCGTCGGCGAGGGCGACCGTGTAGCGCGAGCTCGAGTTGAACCACGCGACCGTGTCCTGCGACGGGGTGACGTAGAGCTGGGGCGCCTCGCTGACCTGGTCGACGCTGTAGGCCTGGCCGTTCCTGCGAGGCGGAGGTTCCGAGGTCAGTCGGTCTCTCGATGGGCGCGGGGCGAGAGGGTGGGGACGCACTCGATGATGCCGGCACCCGGGTACACGACGGTGAGGAGCGCCTTGGCCTCGAGCTCGATGTCGAAGCCAGCGTTGCTGCAAACACGAGGAGGAGAGGCGCGACGAGGCGCGTGCCTCGGTCAGCTCCTGCGGCGCCTCTGAGGGGCACAGCGGGCCGGGCTGCTGCACTAAGAGAGAGGGAGATATGGGACGCACCCGCCCTCGTCGAAGCCGCTGTTGTCGTACTGGGCGTTGACGAGCTCGAGGTCGAGTGCCGAGGCCGAGGCGGGGATCGACTGGGCAGAGGCCGTGGCGGCGAGAGCGGCGACGGCCAGGGCGAGAGGGGCGATCGAAGCGTGCATGGCGAGAGATGCGAAAGTGGCTGGTGGGAGAGAGAGAGAGGGAGAGAGCGAGGAGAGCGAGGCGAGGGAGCGAGCGCCCGGAGACGCGTGCGCTCGCTTGGCGCTCGACAGCTCGCAGGGCCGCCTGTCTCTCACTTTGCCCACTTCTGCACACTCAAGCGCACTGCAAGGACTCGTACAGACTACAGACAGTACACACAGAGAGAGCGCGGGGCCTGTCAAACTCACCCGGCTCGGCGTCGAACTCGGACCTCCTCGACCGTCCCTCGTCAAGCTCCTCCTCGTCAAGCGCTCCCTCCTGCTGACCCGCCGACGCCCTTCACTCGACAAACGTGACGTCGCCGAGACCCTGGCCCCGCGAGAAGTGCGCCTTGATCTGGTACCGGCCGCCCTCGGGGTAGTTCTCGTTGTTGCCCGGCCCAAAGGCCGCCGCGCCGCGAGCTTCGAGACGCTCCTTGACCGAGAAGTGGAACGACGGTGACGGCGGGAGGTGGCGACCGCGGCCGTTGTTCGAGCTGCGCGAGAGAGACACGGAGCGAAAGAGAAGGAGATCGTCAGGACGAGGTCCGCCTCGAGCGAGAGCGAGAAAGGGAGAGAGAGTGAGACGCACCGGATGCTCCACCTCCTATCGTTGCCCTCGGCGTCCCAGAAGATCTTGACCGTCGGGCTGACCTCGAGCAGCCACCAGAACGCCGTCATCGCCCTCGTCCCGACCCGGCTCCACCAGTCGGCGAGGCGGCCCTTGATGCCGCGCGCCTTGCGCTCCTCGGCCGGGCGCAGCTCGAGCGCGAACGAGACGTGGTTTGCGCGAGGCGAGAGGGCCGCCGCGGTCGTCTCGGGCGACGGACGGGCCGCGAGGAAGACGGTGGCCGCCATGACCTCGTTGAGGCCCGGGTTCTTGTCCCTCGCGCGGCGCAGGTACGCCTCGAGCGCCTCGTCGTCGCCCCTCGACGCCGAGCCGAGCGTGCGGCGTGCGCGGTTGACGAACGGCGCAAAGAGCGGGTTCTCGGCGAGGCGCGCCGAGTCGACCTCGAAGCCGGCCTCGACCGCCTCGCGCAGCATCCAGCGCAGCGACAGGTGCGCGAGCGCCGGCGTGCGGCTGCCGTCGTACGCGAACTCGCCGCCACCGACGTTGCTGTGCGCGCCGGCGAACCACACCTCCTTGACGTCCGAGGCGCGGTCCTGCGGCTCGTTGTCGAGCGCGTCCTCGTAGATCCACGGCTGCGGGTAGTAGCGGGCGCGCGCCTCGTCGAGGGCGAGGGCGTGGCGGAAGGTGCGGATGTACGACGCGCCGGACGCAAAAGGAAGGGTGCGAGGGATGACGGCGCCGACTGACGCGACCGTGTCCTGCGGGAGGGAGCCGTGTCAGTACGAGGGGGCCGATCGCCTGTCTGGCGAGGGAAAGGCAGGACGCACCCAGACGCCGACAAAGTGAACCTCGACGTCCCTCGAGAAGGTGCGCTTGAAGCCCTGGGCGAGCGTCTCGACGCCGGGAACGAGCATCGTGTTGGCCTTGCGCTTGTAGATCGAGAACGCGAGGGGGATCGTGTCCTCGTTGCCGGCTGGAAGAAGCCCGACCTGCTGAAGCATGCCGGCGAGTGCGCGAGCCGTGTAGGCGCCGCGCGAGAAGCCGAACAGGAAGATCTCGTCGCCCGGTTTCCAGTACTGCGGGCGCTTGAACCGAGTCAGTCCGGCCCGCTTGAGTGCGGAAGGGAGAGGAGAGTACGGGGCGCACGTTCATGAGGAACTGGTAGGCGCCGCAGATGTGCTGGCCGAGGCTGAAGCCGACGGCCTCGTCGACCGTGGCCGCGAGTTTCGAGTAGATCTTGCCCGGCGCAAAGTCGGACTCGTGCGTGCTGATGCTCTGGCCGATGCCGACCTGGTAGTACAGGAGCTGCTTGTCGGGGTCCTCGGACGCGAGCGAGAACAGGGTCGGGACGTTGGTGATCTGCTCGAGGTGGGGGAGGAGGCGGAGGAGGGTCAGCTCGCGCTCAAAGAGATGGTGGACGGGATGGAGACTCGCGCCACCGGTGCCGAACGTGTTGCCGGTCCCGTCGAGGCAGAGGATGAGCCGCCTGTACGAGGGGGAGCGCGAGGTGGGGGCGGAGCGAAGGTACGTCGGCTTGGGCTCAAAGGGAGGCGGCAGGGCCTTGAGTGGCGGGCTGACGGGCGGAGAGGCGGCCATGACGAGCTAGGTGGCCGGTGTCGGCGAGGCGCTGGAGGTCGACAGGTGGCGGGAGGAGAGGGAGGAGGTCGGGTGACTGATGAGCTCCGGAAAGCCGGCACGGCGGCGTGGCTGGACGGCGAGAGCCGGGTGCGCAGGCAGCACACAGCCTGGAGCGACCGGCTAGAGTCGACAGAGGCGGCGGGCACTCTGAGGCCGTGACGAGGACGAAGCAGAGTCTCGGACGAACGGGTTCGCAGGATGCTTGCGAGAGCTGTCGACGTCCTCCTCTCGCCCAAGCGTGACAGCATGCACATCTTGCAGATTCGCTACGAGCTCCCTCGCCCAGTGTGAGGCGCCTCCTCGACCCGCACCGCCCCAGTCGCCTTCTCAAAGTCGCCAAAGTCGTCCTCCTCGTCGACCTCGCGCCCCTTGCTGCTCGACGCATAGTCCCCCAGCCCGTCCACCTCGTCCAGCTCGAGCTCCTCGGCGTCGCGCTGACTCGCCCGCTCGCTCGCGAGCACCGAGTCGCCGTCGTCGGCGCCGCGCTGGCTCCCGCCCGTGTTGCGCCGCCTCGCCGGCCGCCCTGCTCGAGGCGCTGCGGCCCCGCCGCCTGATGCCCCTGCCCCTTGCGCGGCGACGGGCTTGCTCGGAAGCCCGCCAAAAAGGCGCGAGAGCCACCCTTGGCCCTTGCGCAGCGGCTGCCCGGCCTCGCCGTCGTCGCCGACGCCGCCGTGCTTGCCCGCCTCGAGATCAACCGAGCTGGCGGCGGTCGTCGCACGCGCAAAGCCCGGCTTGGTCGGCGAGTCGAGCTCGTACTCGCCCGGGCCGGCCGAGGACGGGTCGTCGAACGGGTTGGGCATAGCCGACGCGGACGAGCCCGAGCGCTGTCGCGGTGCTGGGGGCGGCTTCTTGAGCGACAGCATGACGACGCCGGCGATGAGGACGACGATCGAGAGCCAGATGCAGACGAATATCGGCGTGCGGTACCTGCGAGTCAGAGAGGGGTCAGTGCCGGGATCACGAATCTTGAGAGGAGAAAGAGTGACGCACGAGTTGGTTTGGTCGAGGTAGACGAGCGAGATGACGAAACCCGAGATCGTGTATGCGCTGAAGAAGAGGGGGACGACGAGCGTCGAGTCGCCCGACTTGAGCGCGAGGTTGAGCGCGACGACTTGGGCGACCGCGCACACGACGAGGAGGATGACGATGAACCACGTGAGCGGGCTCGTGAACTGGTTGGCCTCGTTCGGGTCCGTGTGGTTGATGGCGCTCGTGACGAGTTTGACGCCCGACTTGGCGAGGACGAGCGTCTGGCCCGACAGGAGACCGCCCGAGACGGCCCACAGGAAGGCGGCGAGGCGCCGGATGCTCGTGTCGGGCCGGCTCGCGCTCCATTGCTCGACGTGACCCTTGACGACCTTGCGCACCTGGCCCTGGCGCCGGCGCCACGCGTCGCGCGCCGACTTGACCTTGCCGACGAAGCCCTCGCCGTCGTACGGGTTGACGATGCGCCGTCCGCCGCCGCCGTCCATCATGGCGTCGAGCCCGCTGCGGTCCTCGCCACGCTCGTCGGTGACGCGCGCCATGCATACCTCGTGCACGATGCCGCTCGTCCACCAGAGAAGGACCGTGACGACCTCGAGCATGACGAAGAAGGCGATCCAGCCGCCTCGGCCCCACAGCTCCTTGAGGAGCGACAGCGACAGGTTGGCCTCGGCGTCGATGCGGTCGGTACGGATCTTCTGGTTCGAAAAGACGACGACGCAGACGACGCCGACGATGATGACGGCCGTGCCCGCGACGTCGAGGGCCGTGATCGGGATGCCGGCCAGGAGGAACGCGAACAGGACGTTAAAGATGAGGCTTGACGAGCCGAGCGGCGCGACGTACTCGGCCCTCAGGAACTCGAGCGCGAGGGTCGAGCCGATGACCTGCAGAGGGGGGATAGAGGTCAGTCTGCGTCCACCTCGCTACTCGCTCTCGAAGGGGAACGGGAGACGCACTTGAGAGGCTATGTAGAGTGTATTGCCGAGAAGCCAGAAGGGCCGCAGGTAGTCGGGTCGTCGTTGAGCGGCAGGGACGGCGAGCGAACGGGCGTAGTCGAGCTTGGTGATGTTGAGCCCGAGCGCATTGAAGAGGGACGCTCCGAGAGTGATGAAGAGGCCAATGACAAAGTCGCCCGCACTGCGTGGGAGGGAACGAGGTCAGCAAGGGCTGCGGGAGGAGGAGGAGGACGAGGTCTCCTCGTTGCCGACCTCTGAGCGCTTCGCAATGGACGGAACCGGAGCTCACCTGTATGTTCGAGGCTGGTACAGGTCCGTCTGGTTCTGCATCGTCGTTGCCGAGAGCGAGAAGTCGCCGGGGGATGGCTGGACCGATGAGGCGGTGCGAGGCCGGGCGCGGTCGAGGGTGCTGTCGAGCGCCGACCTTTGCGGTGTGCGGTGCTTCTGGGCGAGTACAGATGCTGTAGCGGTCGTCTCGCTAAGACTCAGGCGGGTTGAGCGAGGTGGGAGAGGAGAGCTGGCTGCTTGCCGAGGCTTGCCTCGTCGTCACCGCCAGAGCCCTCGCACCAACTGCGAGAGCTGCACTGCTGCAGCACAGTCGGCTCTGTGCCCTCGCTCGAGTGGCCTGAAGCTCGACGCACCGCGCCTGCAGGGCAGGGGACGCGAGGCCCGCTCTCCTCGCCGCTCGCTCGCGGCACACCTCGCGAGGCAATTGCTCTGCGCAGGCTCCCAGCGAGACCTCGCACGGCGCGGCGGGATGCTCTGGAGGAGCTTGGGGCCCGCCGCAGCCGCGCGAGCGCACGGCTTCGCAGGCGCTGGCCTCGTGCGGGCACCTCGTCCTGCTCGCTCCCGAGGTGCTCGGTCCACAGTGGCGCGCCTCGTCCTTTGCGGCCAGACGGACATGCGGGCTACCGACAAGAGCACCGAAGCGGCTTTGAGCTGCGTCCCGCGCTGGCTCTGTGCCGTATCTCCGCCGCCCAATCGGGCTCCCAGGTCAGCTGCACGGGACGGGACGATGGCTCGCTGTATCAAGCCGTGCAGGGCTGCGCTTTCTCTGCTTCGCTTTTGCGCACCCTCTGCACATCTCGATGGGCAACTCGACCACGTCGCACTCGCCCCCGCTCCTGTCGCCGCCGCCGCCGCCGTTCGAGCGGCGCAGCTCGTACACTCGCGGCTGCTGCGAGTCACTGCCTCGCTCAGCGTCGACGAGGCGGCTCATTCTCTGCTTCGACGGCACGAGCAATACCTTCGGACTTGGCGGGGTGAGCATCTCGTCCTCTCCCTTCCTGCCCTCTGCCTGCGCCGGACCTGACTCGCTCTCTCCTCGAGCAGATCACGAACCTCCCCGTCCTCTTCTCTATCGCCTCGGCCGACCCTGCCAAGCAGCTTCTCTACTACCAGGTCGGCGTCGGGCAGAGCATCAGCGCCCACGAGTCGACCTTCGCGCCGGGCAGGATGCGCGACCGCGTCCTCGCCGTCCTCGACGAGGCGATCGCGTACAGCATCGGCCAGCACATCTGCGGCGGGTACCGCTTCCTCATGGACGTGCGTCCCATACTCTCCTCTCCCTTCCGCACACACGAGGGCCGAACTGATCAGGCTCGAGCGCGTCCGCAGCACTGGAAACCGGGCGACGAGATCTTCCTGTTCGGCTTCTCGCGCGGCGCCTACACAGCTCGCGCACTCGCCGGCATGCTCCAGCAGGTCGGGCTTCTTCCCGCCGGCAACGAGGACACGATCCCGCTCGCGTTCTCGATCTACAAGCGCAAGGCCAACACGATGCTCGTTCCCGGCGTCGAGACGCTCGCCCAGGGCTTCAAGCGCACCTTCTCGAGGGACGTCGAGGTCCACTTTGTCGGCGTCTGGGTGCGTCCTGCTTTCGCCTGGCGAGCTCGATTCGGTTTGAGAAGGCTGACCTCGCTCGGGCCCGCAGGACACGGTCGCCTCGGTCGGCGCGCTCGTTCCCCGCACCCTTCCTTTTGCTTCGGGCGCCTCGTACATCCACGTCTTCCGCCATGCCCTCGCACTCGACGAGGCTCGCACGCGCTACATGCCGCAGCCGTGGATGCCGTACCCCGACTTTGTCCCGAACGCGTCGTGCTCGGACGTCAAGGAGGTCTGGTTCTCGGGTGCGCACAGCAACGTCGGCGGCGGCGAGTTCACGTACGACGGCGGCCGTACGCCGGCGCTAGCCCACCTGTCGCTGCGCTGGATGGTGCGCGAGGCGGTCGAGGCCGGTTTCGAGGTCGACTCGGCGCGTGTCCTTGACAGCCCGCTCTACGAGCCCCTCATCGGCCGTGCGCATGAAGCACTCGCCGACAGAGTGCGCGGCGGCGGCGAGAGTGCCGCCCTCGAGCGCTTCCTCGAGCGTGCGACGCGCAGGAACCCCTCGCTCAACCTGCACGTCGCGACCGTCGTCTTCCTCGCGTCGACCATCTCGCCCGAGTCGACTGCCGCAGCCCTCGCGCCTCGCGCCCACCACACGTCGTTCAAGCTCCAGCATCCGCCTGCGCACGGGCCCGGGACCGCCGAGGGCGGCAAGCTCGCCGGCTGGGGGACCCGATTCGGCGCGAGGTCGATGACGGCGTTCTGGTGGCTCCTCGAGGTGAGCCCGTCGGTCAAGGTCGTGTGGGACCCCGAGGGCAACACTCGTCGGTGGACAATCAGGTGCGTCCCCTCCCTCCTCGTCCTCCCCTTTCCCCCCTGCTCAGCACCCTCCGCCAGGCTCTCTCAGCCTCGTCCGGCGGCTCTCTGACCCACGTCTCTTCTACAGGGCCAACAACGGCCGAGGGCGGCAACTCCCGCCGGACCCGGTGCTGCACTTCTCGGTCCTCCAGCGCGTGACGGCCAACCCGAGCATCTTCCCCGCCGGCGGCAACAACGAGAACTACCCCGAGGGCAACCGGTACACTATCAAGGCCGACTTTGTGCAAGGCCAGGGCCCGTTGACGGCGCGGATCGAGCTGTGAGGCGCGAGGGACACAGGTGGAGGTCCGTGCGGCTCTTTCTGGACGGGCGGGCAGGCTTTCGAACGACTTTTGCGGGCCTCTCGTCGTCACTAATCCGTGCAATGCAGTCTCGAGTCTGTCTGAGCTCGTCGAGAGCGGCACCCGTTGAGCGAGAGCGCCGAGAGAGAGCGCGAGGCGAGTTTGCGAAGGTCCCGCCAAGAACGAGAGGGGCGACTCTTCTGGAGCACGACAGCGGCGAGCGAGGTCTCTCACGACTCTCACACTCTGCGCTCCACACGAGAGAGAGAGAACGGCTAGGGCTATGTTGCAGGACCGGCTTCGAGGCAGGACAGGGAAAACGTCGAAGGCTCGCTCCGACTACTTCTTCTTGCCCTCGTACTTGAGGTCCGAGTCCGGGTTGAATGAGATCGCCGCGCTATTGGTACAGTGGCGCTCGTCGGTAGGCGTGTCATAGCTGCGCGGCTCGAGCTGTGAGGCGTGAGGGACAGGGCGGAAGGTCCGTGCGGCTCTTCCAGGACGGGCGCCCAGGCTTGCGAGCAACTCTCGGGGGTCTCTCGTCATCTGCTCGATCGAGCAACATCAGCCCTCGCGTGACTGTGCGCGCGAGAATCGGGAAAGCAGAGCGCGAACCGGCTGTGGGAGGGAGTCGAGCAGGAGGACTGCGTCTGCGCCTGTACGAGAGGCTCGCTCGGGCCCTCTCGCTCAGGACGCACTCGGGCACGCTCAAAGAGAGATCCCTCGAAGGCACAAGCTAGCAGGAAAAGGTCGCGCGGCCTCGCTGACCTTCGACTCGAAAGAGAAGGCGAGCCGGCCATCTCGCGCTGTACACGACAAAATAGTTCGGGAAACGCGCTCAATTACACCGCAGACATCTCCTCGTTCGATCTGGCGCAAGCAGAAGGCCGTAACCCTGCTAGATCAAGAGCTAGCGTTTGAGCGATGGTGCGCAGGATCCCCCTGTCTTTAGCAGGTGCCCGGGCGCACGGGCGGTCCGCAGGGGTCCGCGCCGTGCGAGCGGCTCACCACAGTGCGCCCGCTGCCCTCAGGGGCACGTGAGGGCGGGCGCAGCCTCGTAAAGACCCGTCCGCGACGGCTCGACTCGCTGAGCCGTCGGGACGAGTGCGACGCCGAACGAGAGCTCTGAGCGGTCTGGGGACGCTCGCTAGGGACGAGAAGAGCGTTTGGACATGAAAGGGCGCCGTCGCGCGGCGCAGCAAGGGCGCGAGGGGAAGCTTTCGAGTTCGAGAAGGGAGAGGTGCCATCGAGGGCGCGACTAACCTGCGGCGCGAGGTCGAGAGGGTCAGTGCGCGGCTCGGCGAGGAGCACAGACCCATTCGAAGGTCCTGCAGAGAAGAAAGAGAGTGCGCGGGACGTACAAAGGACAAAATGAGTTGCCTCGAGGTCGCGACCCAGCCTCGCGCCGCCCAGAAGTCCGCCCTGCTCGCCTTGCGCAGCCGTTTTGCCTGCAAAGGGACTAGGTCAGTCCATCAAGACCTCTGCATCGCGTCGCGAGGTAGCAGAGGGGGCGAGGCGACAGGGAGAGGGGGGCCAAACACGGGGAGGCGGGGAGGAGGGGGACGCACCAGTCGCCCACAGCCCGCGCAGCGCTTCCGCCTTGCCCAGCAGTGTCCTTGGTGCTGCGATAGACCTCGACGACAACTCCCACAGGCCCACGAGGCGTTGCCACGAGTCGAGAGAGGTCGGACGACGCGGTTTGCTGATGAAGACGCGGCACGCTCTGCGCTGTCGAGGAGCGCTCGCGGCGGCGCGGGCACAGCTCGCAGCCGGTGCTGAGGTGTGCAGATACTCGGGCGAGTCGCGAATCGCCGCCCCAGTCGCGAGGGTTCGAGTGGGGAGGAGAGAGGTCCAGGTTGGCGAGGGCGACCCGCTCGACTCTCGCATTGCGACAGCTCTCGGTTGCAGTGGCCAACTCGTATCGGCAGTACGGTCATGTCATGAACGCTCCCTTGTCTCGCACTAGATCGCGAGGCGGCTCTCGGGAGAGGAACAGAAAAGGATCGGATGCGTTCTATTGCGCGTCTCCCCACCCTGCTCGAGCGCGTCGACATGTACGAGTGGGCGAGCTGCTGCTACTGCTGGAGATAGTGAGGGGGAGAAGGAGGAGTGGGGACGGAGTGGGGAGAGAAGAAGTGGGTGATGCTGGTCAAGGCGAGCCGAATCGGGTCGAGCCGAGTCGGTTCGGGTCGAGTGGTGGTACAGGGGACTGCTTGATAAGGCGAGGCGAGTGGCCGAGGCCGAGGACAAGGGGAGAGGTGCGCGCGCGCTTTTCGGCGGAGAGGGACAGAGGTGGGTATGCTGGCGGTGGCGCTGGTCGAGACGACAGGGAAGGCGAAAGGGCGTATCTAGGCGGCGCGACGAGCCATCTGTGACGGTGCGCCGAGGAGGAGAGTGAGCTGCCGCATCGCTGGCAAGGCAACGCGACCCAGAAAGAGGAGGATGAGGACGCACGTCGATGACCTTCCACCCGCCGGTCTCGGGGTTGTCGAGCTCCTCCTCGACCCGGGTGAGGACGGCGACGTATCCGACCTGGAGGATCTTGTTCTCGTCGCCGACGGCGAGCTCGCCCGTCTTGAGGTCCTTGTACGCGAGCACCTCCTGCGTCCGCCACGAGACGACGAAGACGTGGATGTCGTTCTCGAGGATCTTGGCCGACATGATCTGCAGGTAGTGGCAAGGAGAGTCAGTGACGGGCGAGGACGAGAAGGGAGGAACGGCGAGGACGCACGTCGAGGTTGCGGATGTCGAGGACGCGCGACTCGGACATGAGCGAGGGCCCGATCGAGCCCTGCAGGGTCGCGACGAGGACGTTGAAGGTCTGCGAGAGGGCGACGAGGGTGTCAGGCAAGGTTTCGGGGCGAGGCGAGACGAGGAGGAGAGGACGACGACGCACCGCCTCGCTGCACCATTGCCGGAGCGTCGGCTGGTCGGCGTTGACGTAGGCGTCGACGAGCTCGGGCACGATGTACTCCCGCAGCTCGCGCAGGAAGCTCTCCTGCGTAAAGGTCGGGTCCATGTCGCGCACCCACCTCGTCACCTTGGCCGTCTCGGTCTCGTCAAAGATGCGGCCGACCGTGTTGGTGACGGTGCGCGACATGACGACAAACGGGTTGTCCGACTCCTGGTAGTTGTGCGACCACGACGCGAGCTTGTCGGCGAGCGGTTTCGGCAACCGAGACGGCTTGGGCTCCGAGTTCGCCGACGAGTGGTACACGAGCGCCTCGCCCGCTCTGCGCACGGTTCAGGAGGTCAGTCGCGAGACCTCGAGGGAGAGAGAGAGAGAGACAAGGACGCGGACGCACTCGGGGTTCTCCTCGACCTTCATCCGCCTCGCCATTCCTCCCTCCCGGCTGCGCCCGATCTTGGCCAACCGCGCCTCGCGCCTGCGCCGCCGCGCCTCGCGGTCGACGTACCCGCCGTGATGCGTGTCGTACGCCGCGTTCTCGAGGAGCTCGGTGATCTCGCTCGCGACGGCCTTGTAGGCGTCCGTGTCGCGGATCGGGGCCGACGCCGTCAGGGCCGCGTCGCCGACGGCGCGAGCCGACTTGGACAGCTGCGAGGGGCCGGACCGAGAGTCAGCTTGCGCGCAGGGAAGGAGGGGGGCGAGGAGAAAGACGAGGGACGCACGGTGCGGACGAAGGCGGTCTCCTCCATGCCCTTGAGGGCGTGCGCGACGGCGTCGTTCAAGCCGATGCCGGCCTTGCGGAGCTCCTCGGCGGCGGCGGCGAGCTTGGGGTTCTCCTTGATGCTCGCGGCGAGCTGTAGCAGAGGAGGGTGCAGGGTCAGCGGCACCGCCCCATCGCAAGCCCGGGAGAGGAGAAGAGGGAGGGGGAGGGGCTCACCCTGGCGCGCTCGTACATGATCTTTGCGCGCTGCATGGCCTCGCTGTCCTGGACCTTGGAGACCTCGCCGCCGAGCTGCTTGACCGAGTCCTGCCACTCGCGGTTCTTGCGCACCTCGTCGCGCAAAACCTCCACAAAGGCGGCGAACGGCGAGCGGCCCTCGACGGTCGAGTCGGGCTCGGCGTTGGCCTTGTCCTTGGCCTTGCCGTCCTTGGAGTCGGCCTTGTCGCCCTTGGGGTCCTTGTTGGGGTCGGCGGCCGGGTCCTGGAGGCGGAGCGGCGAGGACGAGAAGGGGCGGTTGGCGGCGAGCTGGGCGAGAGCTGCAGGGCGAGGTGCTGGCCGAGCCTGGCGGCGGGCGGCAGCGTGCAGGGTCTGCCTGGCTGCTTGCTTCATGGTGGCGATGAGCGGGTGGTGGGCAAGAGTCGGGAGCTGATGAGGCTGAGGAACCGCTCGTCGGTGGCCCGTCTGCGTCTCTCTCTCTGTGTGCGGGTCCCGGTACCTGCAGAGCTGCAGCACGTGGTCTCTCTGCACTCTCTGCACTCGTTGCCCCTGCCGAGCGAGAGAGTGCTGCCGCGTCGCCAGCACCGCCCCGCCGAGATCGAGGCTCGCCTGCGAGAGCTGTTGGCTGCTTCCCTCGCTCTTCACTCGCAACCTGCGCATGCTCTCTCGCTCGCTCAACCTCCTCAGCAAGCCCCGCAACCTCGTCCTCGCGTCGACCTCGGCCCTCGCCGTCACTTTCATCGCCACCTCGTCGTCCCGCCCGCTCCACTCGAGCTCCTCCGCCATGGCCAACAAGCAAGACTTCCCCGTCCAGCTCACCGACAACGAGTGGCGTGCCAAGCTCTCGCCCGAGCAGTTCAGGGTCCGTCTCCCCTCTCTCTTCTCCTCTCCCTTCGTCGCCCCCCTCACGCTGATGTCACCTTTCCCCCCTCGCAGGTCCTCCGCCAGCAGGGTACTGAGCGCGCCGGCACCGGCGAGTACGACCAGCACTTTGCCGGCAAGGTCAGTCGTCCATCACCGCTTTCGTGCGGCTAGGAGCAGCCACCGCACCATCGCGATCCTTCTCGCCGAGTGGGGGGTCGCAATCGTCGTGCGCGTGCGAGAGATCATTGCTCACTCTTTCCTTCCATCGTGCAGGGCGTCTACGAGTGCGCGGGGTGCAACACGCCGCTGTACACGGCCGACATGAAGGTGCGTTCCGCTCGTTCCCTCCCCACCTCCCTTTCCACCTTTGTCCACCTCCTCACGTCGCGCCCGCGTCTTTCTTACCTCTCCGGCTGCACATAGACGTACTGACACTCTTTGAGCATGCCCGCAGTTCAAGTCGGGCTGCGGCTGGCCCGCCTTCTTCGACGCCATCCCGGGCAAGATCAAGCAGAACGTCGACCGCTCGTGGGGCATGGAGCGCATCGAGATCGTGTGCAACAACTGCGGCGGTCACCTGGGCCACATCTTCAAGGGCGAGGGGTGGGTCGCCTTTCCTTTCCTCGTCTTCTGCGCCGAGCGAGGTCGCCTCGTCGTCCTCGTCGACCGTGGACTTACCTTCTCACCCTCGCCCGCAGCTATGACACGCCTACCGACGAGCGCCACTGTACCAATAGCGCGGCGATCTCATTCAACCCGGACTCGGACCTCAAGTACGAGGGCAAGAAGAAGTAGTCGGAGCGAGCCTTCGACGTTTTCCCTGTCCTGCCTCGAAGCCGGTCCTGCAACATAGCCCTAGCCGTTCCCTCTCTCTCGTGTGGAGCGCAGAGTGTGAGAGTCGTGAGAGACCTCGCTCGCCGCTGTCGTGCTCCAGAAGAGTCGCCCCTCTCGTTCTTGGCGGGACCTTCGCAAACTCGCCTCGCACTCTCTGTCGGCGCTCTGGCCTGGCGGATGCCGCTCTCGACGATCTCAGACAGACCTGAGACTGCATTGCACGGATAGATGCTACGGGGTCGCTCTCGAGCTTGACGGGCCTGCAAAGCCGGAGAAAGCGCTCAAGCGCAAGTTACGAGCGGGTCCGAGCGGCCACTCTCGCGCGCTTGTGCTCGCTCGCTCGCATCTCTCGGTGTCTCCCGCTCCACCAAGGGACTCGTGCTGCACGGGATGTATCGCAGACGTGCTCGTCGAGCGTCGACAAGTTCTCGAGGATGTAGCCCGCCGCGTTCGAGCGAGGCGTCGACTCGCTCGCCCCAACTGCTGCCAGCTCGTCGCACGTCCGAGTCGAAAGGTAGAAGACGCCGCCGAGCGCAAGTAGGCCAAGCGCCGCGACCGAGGCGACGAGGGCGGGCGAGACGTGCTCGTGCCGCGACGGCCGCCGCCGCCGCTTCCACCGATTCGCCGCCCTCTGCTCGGCGCTGCTGCCGGCGCACTCGCTGCTGCTGCTCGAGCTTCTGGTGGACCCTGTCGGGCTCGCGCTCGGGTCGGAGGCGGTGCTGGAGGCGGACGACGAGGACGAGTCGGGGGAGCTGGATGCGGGGTGTCGGCGCCGTTCGAGGGAGCGGGGCGTGGCGGGGGCTGGACGGTGGGTCGCCTGGGCTCCTGGGCCAGCATGGTCCGGAGCAGGAGGGTGGCAGAGGTGCCGAGCGGGGGCTGGCGAGACGGACCGAGGGACCGGACCGTCCGCGGACCACGGCGAGCTCCAGCCGAGCTGTTGGAGCTGGGCATAGGGCACACAGCTCGCCTGAGCACCGGCAGGGCTGGTCTGGCGGGGCTGCAGGGTCGCACGGGCAGGTCGGGCGGCGCGGCGAGTCGAGCGAGGTCGGACGGGGAGGAGGCGGAGCGAGCACGCTGCTCGAGGGCTCGCTGCCGGGACAGTTGCGCTCTGAGCTGGCCTGGTCGATGCTGGAGGATGCTCAGACCGCTTCAGGACAAGCAGGGAGGCGAGTTGGGGTCGACATTGCTTGCGACCCTCCATCCCCGGCGAGAACTTCGCGCTCGTCCTCCCTTTGCCCCTTGTTCGATCTCGCTCCTACAGATCAGCCATGCCGTCGACTCGTGCGTGTCCCTACTCACCTCTAGCACAACCAGGACTGACCCACTGCCCTCCCCCGTCGCCCGCCGTCCGCCCCTCGCCCGCCTACCTCCCGCCGCCGCCTCAAACCCTTCTCCCGTCGCCGTCGTCGCCTCTCGCGCTCTCTACTGCAGGCCTCTACGTGAAGAGCCGCATTCTCGGTCAGCAAAGGGGCAAGCGCGAAGTCAGGACGAACACCAACCTCGTCCAGATCGAGGGCGTCGCCAACGCTGAGGAGGCGAGGTTCTACGAGGGCAAGGTGCGTCCCCGCCGTTCCGGCGCCCTTCAGATCTCCACGCGGTCCGCTCGGAACCGGCGCAGTTGTCGGCGAGGCGGCAGCACGATTGTGGACCGCGGAATGGCAGGAGAGGGTCCGGAGGAGAGGGGGTCAGGGCGCGCCTCTGAGTCGAGCGGCGCTCGGCTGGATGTGCGCCCGACGTCCAGACGGTGTCGAAGGTGGCACGGGCGGGCGGGCGAAGTTGCAGAGCGTCGACGGCGCGAGCAGGAGGGCCTCGAGCGCCTGAGCACACCTCCGCTCCCTCGAACTTGACCCTGACCACCTTCTCCCGTCTCCCCGTTCGTGCAGCGCATCGCGTACGTCTACACCGCCGAGAAGGCGATCAACGGCTCGAAGGTCCGCATCATCTGGGGCAAGGTCACCCGCCCGCACGGCAAGTCGGGCGTCGTCCGCGCCCAGTTCCGCCGCAACCTCCCGCCCAAGGCGTTCGGCCACTCGGCCCGCATCGTGCGTCCCACGTCGTCCACTCTGCAACTCGTCGAGCCACTCACTGACCCCCACATGCCCCCACACAGATGCTCTACCCCTCGAACAGTCCGTCCCTCCTCTCTCTCTCTCTCTCACTCTCGCCTCGCCGACCTCGCCCTCTCGTGCCGCCTGACTGACTCTCTCTCCTGCGCGCAGTCTAAACTCGCCATTCCAGCGGTTTCAGGTCTCCTCGAGTAGCGCGTGCTTGTCAACGACGATGGTTCTTTCCCTGCCCGTCCGCCTTTCCGCCTTCCTGTGACGCCCGCGCTCGCCTCTCGGCCTCGACGCGCTCTCGACGTCCGGCACCCAGCACTCGAGGATGTCTCACGGTCGACGTTGAGCCTCACTCGCCCATCGCGAGGACAAGGAGAGAGAGAGACTTTCGCAAGCGAGAGCGAGATGAGCGTCGTCTAGCAGCGCTCGACGTGCGACGCAGAGAGCAGTGAGACCGAGCAGGCCGTCGTCGCATCGTCGCACCTGACGCTGTCGAGCATGAGAGCGGGGCTCACCCGACGACGGCGCTGCCGAGAGCGACAGACGTGGCTCGGACCGCTCGAGAGCTTCTCTCTCCTCCTCTCGCTCGCCGACGGTCGCAAGGCTCTCACGGCGACCTCGAGAGCGTACACGAGAGCAGCACAGAGCTCGAGACTACGCTTGCAAGATGACGACGACGAGAGCGGCACGTCGCTCAAGCTCAGGTCGACCGCGCGCTCGCACCTTTCTTTCAGACGAACTCGCTCTCGCTTCTCTCGCACGCGCACGACGAGTGAGACTGAACCGCATGCATTCGAGCGACCGCAGACAGTCCGAGTCCCCTCTCTGCCGATGTACAACACGAGGAGGAAGACGAAAGACCCTGCGAGACCCCGCTCGCGAACGCGCACGACTCGAGCCCGGGGGGGTGGGGGAACCAACTTGCTCAGAGCGAGCGAGTTTACTCCTCGGCGTCGACGACGGTGGTGTTGAGGCCCTGCGAGACACGAGGTGGGTCAGGGACGACTCGAGGGGAAAGAGGGAGAGAGAGAGAGGCGGGCGCACCTTGAAGTCGGTGGTCGGGACGACCGAGACCTGGGTGTAGAGCTTCTCGTCGGCGGGCGCGTCCTCGTTGTCGTTGCGCTTGCGGTGGAGGCGAACGCGGAGGCGGTGAGGGACGTTCTTGATGCCCTTGCCCCAGATGGCCTCGTTGACCGACGGCTCGAGGAGGACCTTCTTGGTGCCCATCGCCTTCTGCGCAAAGATGCGGACGGCCTTGACCGCCGAGGGGGCGCGCTATAACCAAGGGGAAGGGGGGGTACCGTCAGCTGCTTGAACAGCGACATCTCGCTAACTCCGAAGAGCGCGGAACAACCACAACGGCCGCGAGGGCCGCGGGTGCAGGGGGAAGGGGGAGGGGTGCGACGACGAGGGACCGCCGAGGCAGTATCGACGAGGACGATGGGCGGGTGGACGAGGAGGATCAACCTACGTGCTTGAAGCCCTGGCCGTGGACCTTGGTGTGGAGGTGGATGGTGTACTCGCGGGCGACGACGTCCGTGAGGGCCGAACGGGTCTTGCGCTCGGCGTTGGTCTTCTGTCCACGGGCCATTGTAGGAGCTGCGACGACGAGGGGAGGGGCAGGGAGGCAAGGGAGAGTCAGTTCGACGTGCTCGAGAGCAAGGTCCCAGCTCCGGCGGCCGTCGTCCACCTCGCGCCCCGGTCCTCGCCCGGTGCCCGCACGCGTCCCGCTCGCCTGCACACATGCAGTGCCTCGTCCCAGTCGCTCGCGCGGTACCGCTGGAGGGCGGTGCGACGAGGTGCGAGAGGGCGATTTTTGCTGGGCCGGCGACGAGGCGACGAGGCGGCGCAGGTAGGCGGGACGAGGACGAGGGGGATGCTGGACGGTGGGCGCAGAGCTTGAAGGGCTGGAGAGAGGCTCACGTTGGGGTCTTGTCGGATGAGCGGGAAGGTCCAGAGGGCAAACCGAGGCGAGGTGGTCGGCGCGCGAGGCGAACGAAGCGGCGGCTCCTCTCCTCGGCTCTCCTCGTGAGTTGTAAGTTCTCTGAGCTGGTCACGAGCCTGGAGAGAGCTCTCGTGGTCCATGCACCCGTGCAGAACGGCCGTCAGAGGGCTGTCGAGAGCGGGAGCCGGTTACATAGTAGGTGTTTTGTATTGGACAATACCGGGCGAGAATAGGAATCGCGCCTCATCTCTCTCCCCCGCCCTCGCTGCCTCTCTCGCCCTCGTACCGCTCTCGCCCTCGCACCTGCACGGCGCGCGAGCTCACTCGGCCACCATGTCGGCCTCTCCACAAGCCAACCAGGGCCTCGACGACAGCTCGCCCGTCCCGCAAGACCTCGTCCCGTCGCACACCGCCGACGACAACGACGGCGCCCTCCCTCGCACCCTCTCGAGCCTCGAGCAGCACGCACAAGAGAACGACATCAAGGACGTTGAAGGCGCGCCCTCGGACGACCAGCCCGAGGACACCGGCAACGACCCGCAGGAGGACCTCGACGACGAGGAGGACGACGACGCCGCGCCGACCGAGGACAAGCGCGTGCAGGGCGAGGGCGACGATGATGACGACGACGATGACGATGTGCGTCTACTCTCACTCTCAGGCTCCTCTCACGTCGAGGCGTCGTCCTGACCTTGCTCCCCACCCTCCCCGCAGGACGACGAGGACGAGGACGAAGACCGGCCGCGCAAGAAGCGGGTGCGTGCTCTCGCTCACTCTCCTACGTTCACCCGCCGCACCGTACTGACAACTCTCCTTCCCCGCAGAGACGGCGGCGCGGCGGCAACCAGTTCCTCGACATCGAGGCCGACGTTGACGAGGACGAGGACGAGGAGGAGGAGGAGGGAGAAGAGGGCTTCCAGGCTGTCGGTGCGTCTACCCCTCTCTGTCTACTGCAACCGCCGGGCACGCGCTGACTCGCTGCATCCACAGACAACTTCATCGTCGACCGCGCTCCTCGCGACGGCGACCGCGCGCGTGCGGCTCTCGCCACCGGCGGCGACGACGAGCCCGAGGGCGACTTTGGCGACGAGGACGGCGACGCGGCGCACCGTCGGCTCGACCGTCGCGAGATGGCGGCGCGCGACCGCGAGGCGAGGGCCAAGGCCGAGGAGCTCGACGCCCGGTACAAGCGCTCGCGTTACACGGCCGAGACGACCGAGGGCTTTGCGCCCAAGGCCCTCCTCATGCCGAGCGTCAACGACCCGAGCATCTGGGGCGTCAAGTGCAAGGTGCGCCCTCCTCCTCTTCTCCCCCGACCTCGTCCTTCCCTCGCGCGTCCGAGACTGACACTCTCGCCCGCCCACAGATCGGTCGCGAGCGCGAGCTCATCCTGTCGATCTCGCGCAAGGCGGTCGCCATGGCCATGGCCGACAACGGGCAGCCGATGGAGATCATCTCGGCGTTCCAGCGCGACTCGCTCAAGGGCTACATCTACGTCGAGGCGCGCTCCGAGGGCCACGTCCGCAGCGCGATCCAGGGCCTCGTCGGCCTGTACGTCAACGGGCCCAACGGCATCTTCCTCGTCGACCTCGAGGAGATGCCCGACCTGCTGCGCACCAAGCAGAAGCGCGTCGACCTCGAGCCCGGCGGGTGGGTCCGGTTCAAGCGCGGCAAGTACGCCGGCGACCTCGCCCAGGTCATCGCGCCGTCCGAGAACGGCGACATCGTCGCCATCAAGTTCATCCCGCGCATCGACCTGACGCCCAAGGACGAGGGCAGCCAGCTCGGCTCGGACGGCAAGAAGCGCCGCAAGGGCTCGTCGGTCCCGATCGCGTTCCGCCCGCCGCAGCGCCTGTTCAACCCGGACGAGGTCGGCAAGGCGTACAACCGCGAGGTGTCGAAGCGCGGCAACGTCTACTCGTTCAAGAACGACGAGTACGTCGACGGCTTCTGCGAGAAGGACGTCCGCATCTCGGGCCTCACGATCGAGGACGTGCACCCGTCGATCGACGAGCTCACGCGCTTCCAGGGCGACAACGCCGGCGGCGCCGATGGCTCGCTCGACCTGGCCCAGATCGCCGAGGCGACGCGCAAGGTGTCCAAGTCGATCCTCGAACCTGGCGACCACGTCGACATCTTCGAGGGCGACCAGAAGGGCGTGTACGGCACGGTCGAGTCGATCGTCAACGAGGTCGTCCTCGTCGCGCCGCACGCCGACCTCGACCTCGGCTCGACCAAGATCGAGGTACCGGCGCGCAGCGTCCGCAAGCGCTTCTCCGCCGGCGACCACGTCAAGGTCATGCAGGGCGCCAACGCCGACGAGACGGGCCTCGTCGTCAAGGTCGAGGGCGACGTCGTCACGTTCCTGTCGGACCTGAGCTCGACCGAGGTGAGCGTGTTCGCCAAGGACGTGCGCGAGGCGGCCGAGGTCGGCGCCGGCGTGAACGTCATCGCCGGCTACGAGTTGCACGACCTCGTCCAGCTCGACCCGCAGACGGCCGGCGTCATCATCAAGATGGAGCGCGACCAGTTCCGCATCCTCGACCAGACGGGCACGGTGCGCGCCCTGCGCCCGAGCCAGATCAGCCAGAAGATCGTCGACAAGTTCGCCGTCGCGACCGACAAGGACGGGTTCGACATCAAGCTCGGCGAGACGATGAAGGAGTCGCGGCCCGTGCGTCCTCGTCTCCCTCTCCCTCTCTTTCCCTCTCCTCTCCTCGCTCTTCTTCCCTCCCTCTTGCTCTCGACCGACACTGACAATCACGTCCGTCGCGCAGAACGGCCTCGTCGAGCGTCGCGGCAAGGTCCTGCACGTGTACCGCTCGCTGTTCGTCTTCCTCCACACGCGCGACGCGCTCGAGCACGGTGGCGTCTTTGTCTCGTACGCCCGCAACCTCGAGTCGACGGCGCCTCGGCCCAACAAGCCCAAGGTCGGCATGGGCATGAACCCGGCCATGGCCGGCGGCATGCCCCAGCCCCAGGTCCAGACGGGCAGCAGCTTCCGCCCCGACCAGCGCATCAACCGCCGCGTCGCCGTCACTCGCGGCACGTACAAGGCCAACACGGGCATCATCAAGGACGTCACGGGCCAGCTCGCGCGCGTCGAGCTCCACTCGAACAACAAGGTCATCACGGTCGAGCTCGCCAAGCTCAAGGAGCAGCTGCCCGACGGCACCCTCGTCGAGCTCCAGGAGCGCCGCGGCGACGGTCCTCCAGGCGCACGCGGCGGGTCGGGCTACGGCGGCCGCAACGGGTTCGAGCGCGCCGGGTCCACCTTCTCGCAGGGCCCGGGCATGGCTCCTCCCGGCGGCGGCGGCTACGGCGCTCCGCCGCCCGGCTACGGCGGCCCGATGGGTCCTCCCGGCGGCGCAGGGTACGGCGGCGCGACCGTGTACGGCGGTGCGCTCGGAGGAGGCGGCGGGACGGGCATGTACGGCGGCGGGCGCACGCCGGCGCCCAACTTCTCGGGCGGCAGGACGCCTGCGCCCGTCTTTGGCGGCGCGACGCCCCACATGGGAGGCGCGACGCCGGCGTACGGCGCTCGTGGCGGCGCCTTCGACCCTGCCGGCCGCACGCCTGCCTACCCCGGTGCGACCGGCGGCGCGTTCGACCCCTCGGGCCGCACGCCTGCCTACGGTGGCGGCCGCACGCCGGCCTACCCTGGCGCAGGCGGCGTCCCTCCTCCCGGCGTCGGCGGCGGCGCCGGCGCCGGCTTCGTGCACCCGGACCGCGCCGCACTCGCCGCCGGCGGCGGCTCGCGCACGCCCTACTACAAAGGCCCGACCCAGGCCCCTCCTGTACCCTCGTTCGCCCCCTCTGGCGCCAACGCCTTCAACCCCTCGTCCCGCACGCCGTACGGCCAGTCGGGTCTCGGCGGCGACGGTGGCAAGACGCCCGATCCTCGTCGTGCTGCGGCCGCAGCCGGCGGCAAGACGCCGTACGGCGCGAGTGGCGGCCGCACGCCGGCGTACGGCGCCAAGAATGGCTATGCCGCCGCGAGTGCGCCGACGCCCGCGGCCAACGCTGCGCCGACGCCAGCGGCGAGCGGGAGCGGCGCGAGCGGGTGGGACGACGACGAGTGGACCGCGACCGGCGCCGTCGGCGCGCCGACGCCTGCCGCTCCTCGTGGAGGCGAGTACGCCGGCGCGCCGACGCCTGCAGCGGGTGCGCCGACGCCGGGAGCGTATCTCGGCGCGCCGACGCCGGGCGTCTTTGCAGGCGCGCCCACGCCCGCAGCCTACCCGAGCGGCCCGACGCCCGGCGGCCCCGGAGCGTACGGCGCGTCGGCGCAGACGCCGGCCGGCGGCGCGTACCCGTACCAGACGCCGTACGCCGGCGCGGCGACGTCGGCCGCCGAGCCGCTCGAGGAGCGCCAGGCGAGCGTCGCCGCCGTCCCGCCGCCGAGCGAGTGGGTCATCGAGGGCGTCAGGGTCATCTGCAAGAGCAGCGCGTACCAGGGCGACCGCCTCGTCGGGCAATACGGTGCGTCCTCTCGTCCTCCCACCTTTTCTCGCAGGTCCGTACTGACCTGCCTCTTCCCTTCCTCATGCAGGTATCGTCACCGAGACGGCCGGGACAACGTGCAGCTTCACGCTCGACTCGAACGGCGAGAAGGTCGAGGGCTACCCGACGGCCGACGTCGAGCCGATGCCGCCGTACGACAAGGACGACCCTGTTCTTGGTCCGTCCTCGCCCTCTCTCTCTCTCTTTTCTCTCGATCTCCCTAACTCTTCTTCTGTTGCGCACAGTCATCGGCGGTCCTCATCGTGGACAGCGCGGCAAGGCTGGCTTCCCCGACGGCGACGAGTGGATGGTGGCCATGCCCGGCGGCGGTGCGTCCTCTTCTTCCTCTTCCTCTTCTCCCTCCTCGCCCGCCGCAACCGAGATTTACCCTCGTCCTCGTGTGCAGGCTCGGCCATCGTCAATGTCAAACAGCTCGTGCAGCTCGTCTCGCAGTGACCGGAGCTCGCGCTCTTTCCTCCCCTGTTGCGCACGAGCCTCTCCCCCTCTTTCCCTCTCTCCTCGCCGTCTTTGCCTGGCAGTCATCTGTAGTCACTTGCAACTCGAACAGATCCCGCATGCGCAGTGCTCGTCGTCGGCGGCTGTGGCTGAGAGCGAGAGATTCGTTCCTGCAGCGAGGAGGCCAACCTTCTCTCGCCCCGGGTCCGCGCGCTATCTGTCTTCCTCTCTCGCTTCCTCGACTGCGGTAGCGTCAAAAGAGACGCGCTACGAGCTCTCGGCGGGTCTGCAGACGAGACCAGCAAAAAGAAAGGACCGCCCAATGTGGGGCTCGAACCCACGACCACCAGATTAAGAGTCTGGTGCTCTGCCGACTGAGCTAACCGGGCTGTTCTTGTTCGAGCAGGACCTCCTTTACGTACACCCCCGGCCACACTTTTGACGAGTGTCAGAGTGACACGTAACCGCCGTCCTTGCCCCTGCTCGACGTGCCTTGTGGTCGCGAGTGCTGGGAAGGACACCGAGTGCTGTTCGCTCGTCACGTAGAGGAGTCTGAAGCTACAGCTGTCGCGATGAAGCCGAGGCTCGACCGCCGCGACGGCAAGTCGAGAAGGTCAAAGCGGCTCTCGCGGTTGCGCCTTGTGTCGCTCGTGCGTCCTCTCGTTCCCGCGCAGTGGGCTCGCCAGGTTTTGACGGCTGCACAGTGCCGATGAGTGCAAGGCAAGACGTCCGAGCAGGAGGCGAAAGAAGCACGAGAGCTGTATTGCCTTGCTCTTCTCCTCGCGGCGGTCGGGCTTCCCCTCGCTTGCCAGCTGCGGTCGTCCTGAGGGAACAACAGGCCTCGTATGCCTTCGCGAGACAAGCGAGCCTGAGCTCGCAGCTGCCGGTCCCGGCCTCGCCGACCTCGCGGCGCTCACGCAATGCTGGACCAGCTTCGTCCCTCCTCGAGAGCCGGTCTGCTCGTGCTTCGTGTCCGCAAAGAGTGCGGCTCGTCGCGCAGCTGCTCTCTGACGCCAAGCCTCACTGCCCACCGAGCGCGCGAGCGACGACGGCCGTCGAAACCGCCGCTTTCCCAGTCTCCCGCAGCGCACGAGCCTCGCTTCTTTCGCATGGCCGCATCTCGCGGAGCCGGCTCGCAGACAGCTCGACAGCTCAACGTAGACGTTGCAGGCACACAGCTCTTCGCTCCGCTCGCTCCTCCTCAATCGCCGGATCCACCTGCAGGCGGACGAGTGCCGGGTGAGCTCGACCGGTCGGGAAAAGGGGAGAGCCGCAGAGAGAGGGGACGCACCTCGCCTCAGAAGTAGAAGGGAAAGTCGTCCAAGTCGACGTCGAACCGGTCCTCGTCCGGGTGCTGGTACAGGCTGCTCGACACCGTCGGCGAGAGCTCGATCGGGTCAAAGTGGGCGACGCTCATGACGCGCAAGGCGCCCTCGAGCCGGACGTCGGCGAACGACTCGACCATCGGGACGGGGAAGGGGAGCTGGAGGATGAGGTAGGTGACCGAATGCGGGATCGAGTCGAGGAGGTGCTGCAGCTGAGCGTGCGTCGCCGTACTCGGCGCGTCGGGGAGGACCTGGGACTCGCGCGTGCTGTAGAGCTCGAAGCGGCTCAGGTGCATGCAGTCGACGAGATACGTGGCGAGCTCGTCGATGCCGCCGTGTTCGAACCCGAATTCCTCGACGAGCGCGAGGTGCTCGAGGTTAACCATGCGACGCAGGGCGACCCACCACTCGTCGCGCCCGAGGTGAACATGTGCCCGGAACTTGACGAGACGCGCGAGGTCGAACTGCATGAGGAAGCGCATGCGGTGATGATGCGCCTCGAGATCGTGCGGGCTCGTCGCCGCACTCGAGATGTTGAGGCGAAGCGTCTGCACCTTGATGCGCCGGTCGAGCGGCATGGACACAGGATCTGAAACGGCCTCGGCCCAACCGTAGTAGAAGAAGTACTGGAGGCGCTTGCAGGCCCGCAGGAAGCGAAAGACGACGATGGGCGACACGACGGGCACGCCAAAGGCGCGGGCCTGGGTGGGGCGGTCGTGGATCGGGAAGTACAGGAAGACGTTCTCGAGCTTGGCGAGGTCTATTGACGCCTCGAGAGCTCGGAGGAACGGGCCGGGCGGCTCGTACTTGCCGTGCACCTCGAGGCGGACGAGGTTGGGGCATGCCGCGAGGACCGCACAGCTCGTCGTCGCCATGCTGTCGGGGCCGGGACCCCAGCCGTAGCCTTGACGGGTGTCGCCGACGATGACGGCCGACTTGACGTGGACGAACAGGTGGCGGTGCGCCTCGACGTGCCGCTGCATGGCGGTTGGTGCCGGGTCCGGCTTGAGGTGGATCTCGCGCCACACAGCCGCCGTGCCCGCCGCGCGCCAGGCCCTGCACACTCGTGCGAAGCTTGTCGCGTCGCGGCGCAGGTCGTCGGCGGACTCGTGCGTGTACAGGCCGTCGTCGGAGGTGGCAAAGTAGGCGATGAGGGCGACCACGTCGACAGGGAGCTGCTGCACGAGGGCGCGCGTGCGGGCGCTGGCGTGCTGGTCGGCGGACGTGGAAGAGCCGAGCTGCTGGTCCATGATGCTTGGAGCGCGTCTCGAGGTCGAGAGGGCGAGCGAGGAGGAGGAGAAGGAGCGAGAGCTGATGAGACTCGGGCCGCGAGCGGGGAAAGGCGGCGCGTGCTCGCCTGCTGAACCGCTCGACGGGCGCACAGCTATGCTGGCCTCGTGCGGGCGCTTGAGCGAGGAACGCGAGCTAGCAAGGGCGCGAGTTCAAGTGCGTCGTCTCGGGAGCACGCTCTCGGACCTCTCCTCTCTCAGCTCGAGTCGCACCTCGCGCGCCAGAACCTCGTTGCACGGCCGTCACGGCCCTCCTCGCACCGCTCACACGAGCTTGACGTCGTACCGGCTCACCTCGACGCCGCCGCCCGACGCAAACCCGGTGCCGTCGCTCGCGAGCGGGATGTAGGGCACCTTCTTGTCGAGCTTCGAGGCGCAGTGCGCGCACTGCTTGTCGGTGCTGCACAGCGTGTCGACGCAAGTAGAGCTGTAACGACGAGCGAAAGAGGGAGAGGAGAAGAGAGGTCAGGACGGGCGAGGTGGAGGACGAGGTCGACTCTTGCGAGTACGAGCAGAGACAGGGACGCACCACAGAACGTGGCCGCACGCCTTGAGCACGAACGCCTTGACGTTGTTCGTGATGCTCTTGCGGCAGCTCGGGCACTGGACGACAGGCGACCCCGAGCTCGTCTTCTCGACCGGGTCCTCGGTGAACTTGACCGTCGTGAGCTGCTTGAGGTTGACCGGGTGCGGCCGCTTGCCGGCGTGGCACAGCGTCTGCAGCTTGACGTCGATGATGGCGTCGGGCGTGGCGGAAGGCGTGAGAGAAGGCTGCGGGCGTCCGCGCAGGAGAAGGGTGAGCTCGAGTGGGCGAGGCAGGCTCGACCGACCCGCAACGGCGAGAGGAAGGGGCGACGCACGAGCCAAAAGTTGGGCAGCTTGGCCTTGCGCGCCTCGGCCATGTCCTGCGCCGTCTTGCTGAGCGCTTCGTCCGTCTTCTCCTGCGTCAACCGCTCGATCTCGTCCTCGTCGAGCTCGAACACGCGCTTGGTGCCCCTCGGCCCGCCCTCGCCCGCCTTTGTCGCGCCGCCGTTCGCGGCCGACGATGACGACGACGAGGCACCGGACCTGCCGGCGCTGCCGAGCGACGACTGGGCCGACTCGAACTCCTTGAGGACGCGCTCGCGGGCTGCGGCGCGCGCGGTCGCCATCTCGGCCTCGGACTCGGAGCGCATGCGCTCGAGGAGGACCTGCTGACGCTTGATGTCCTTCTTCTGGTCGAGGAGCGACGTGAGGATGCACTCTTGGCAGAAGACGTGGCCGTCGGGGCAGATGCGCGGGTCGCGGGCGTGTCGAAGGCAGAGGGAGCACGCGTCAAAGTTCTGCCGGGCAGGACAAGAGCGAGTGTCAGTAGGCTCTCGTGCGAGTGCGCCTCGGCACCAAGGGAGAGGTTGCGGCGCACCTTCATCGAGTCGCGTCCGAGGCGACCCCGCTTGGAGCCCGAGTTTGCCATCTCGCGCTCTGCGTAGGTGAAGTCGGCGCGGGACGTGTTGTTGCGGCCATGGCGACCCATCGTGCGGGCGTGCTTGGGCTCGGCGAGTGTTCGACGGGGCGAGAGGCGGAGGTCGACGAGGCGATGAGGGGGACGAGGTGCGGGGCGGCGGAGGCTCGACGGGCGGGGCGGGTTGGATCGCGGCGGCACTGGCAAGGTGTGCGAGTCTGCTGGCGGTCGTAGCTAGACCGTCTGGCGCGAGAGCGAGTGTCGAGACGAGAGTCAAGCGGCGACGACGATGGACTCGCTCCTGTTGCTCGTCACTCGACCCACGCAGACAAGGTGAGCACCAGGCTCTCTTCCGAGGAGTCTACTGCAGCACCCCGAGCGTCCGCCAGTGGCGCCCGGGCTGTCGTTTCCCCCTCGACCCTCCTCGTCCCTCATCTTCATCTCGAGATCTCGCCTCGCGTCGGCCCTCCCTCTCGACAGTGATCGCACACGGCCGAGCCGCACAAAGTTCCCCTGCAGAGCCTATGGCGGTCCCCTCAGCACCGAGGGCGAGCGTGCCGACCGCCTTCTTCTCCTCGAGAAGGCTGTGCAGGCGCAGACGAGCACGCGTCGCCCACCTGGAGCACAAGGACCCGAACTGACCTCCTTTCGAGCCTCCACAGATGGCTACCGCACTGCTCGCAACCGACTGCCCGACCCTCAAGCTCCTCGCGACGGGCAAGGTCCGCGACATCTACGCCATCCCCAACGTCGACGACGCCCTCCTCTTTGTCGCCACCGACCGCGTCTCTGCGTTCGACGTCGTCATGAAGAATGTCCGTCCTCCCTCTCGCGCCGCACTCTCGAGTCATCGCGGCCGTCGAGCTCACCCCACCTCGTCGTCGCGCACAGGGCATCCCGAACAAGGGCAAGCTGCTCACGCAGCTCTCGCTCTTCTTCTCCGACTTCCTGTCCAAGGCGCCGGCGACCAAGCACATCCCGAACCACGTCATCACGAGCAAGATCGACGAGATGCCCGCCGAGGTGCAGCAGTACCGCGACCAGCTCGAGGGCCGCGCCATCCTCGTCCGCAAGGCGACCGTCCTCCCCGTCGAGGCCATCGTTCGCGGCTACATCACGGGCTCGGCGTGGTCCGAGTACCAGAAGTCGGGCACGATGCACGACATGAAGCTTCCCGAGGGCCTCAAGGAGTCGAGCAAGTTCGAGCCGCCTTTGTTCACCCCGTCGACCAAGGCCGAGGTCGGCGACAAGGACATCAACATCCACCCTGACGAGGGTGCGTCCTCCTCCCTCTCTTACTGTCTCTCTCAGCAGCGACGCGAGGACTGACGCCGTCCTTGCCCTCAGTGTCGAAGCACCTTCCCAACGCCGCGCTCGCCAAGCCCCTGCAGGAGTACGCCCTCGCGCTCTACTCGACCGCCGCGCAGCACTCGCTCTCCCGTGGCCTCATCCTCGCCGACACCAAGTTCGAGTTTGGCCTGTTCCCGCCGTCGACGCCCGGCGGCGAGCCCGTCCTCGCCCTCGTCGACGAGTGCCTCACGCCCGACTCGTCGCGGTTCTGGCCCGCCAACCAGTACGCCGAGGGCAACAAGATGGTCGGGTTCGACAAGCAGTTCCTCCGCGAGTGGCTCAAGAACGGCGGCGGAGGGTTCGGCAAGAAGGGCGGCGGGATCGACGAGGACCCGGTCGAGATCCCGCAGGACATTGTCGAGCAGACGTGGGGCAAGTACGAGGAGGCTTTCGAGCTCTTGACGGGGCGCAAGTTTGCCGCATAGAGCCGCTCTCGTGTGCAGCGACCGCTCGAGCCGAAAATGAATCTGTATCTCTCGCTCGCACGGTCCTCGAGAGGCTCGACCGCGCTCGTCATTGTAAGCTCGACCCTCCTGCAGCTACAGAGAGTCGCACACGTCGCCGTGCAGCTGCGGCATGTGGTGCGCGAGGAGGTCGCTCCGCAAGAGCGGCAGCCGGAAGAACCGCCTCGGGTCGCCCACCTCGTACAGGCCCCACAGCCCGTGACCGTCCTCGCCGTCGTCCTCCTCGCCGAGCTCGTCGCGCCGCTGCTGCTCGAGAGCATCAGGAAGCCGATCGAGGTGATAGGCCCGTCCTGCCGGCACGGCCGCCTCGACCTCGTCCTCCTCGTGCGCCGCCGCCTCGCTCGCCCAGCCCTCGGCCGATGCCCTCGCCCTCCACGCGTACTCCTCGAGCCTTGTCGCCTCGTCCTCGTCGCCCGAACCCGTCGCCTTGCGCCACGCTCTCCACGCGCCGAGCACGCCCTGCCCACCGCTCGATGCCCGCCTCGCCCGGTCGAGCCGCCCGACGACGCGCCGCACGTCGCGCACGTGCGGGATGCCCATGCGACAGATAACGTCGGCGCCGAGGCTGACGTTGATGACGAGCGGGACGTTGTCGGCGCTGTCGGTCGGCGAGGGGAACGCGCACCGTGCGGCGAGCGGGGCGTTGAGCGTCGTCGGGTGCGCGAAGCACACGGCGCGCAGCGGACGACGCCATGTCGACCGTTGACTGTCGACGGCACCTCGAGCTGGCGCGCCCTCGTGGTCGAGCCCGGCGTCGGGCCGGACGACCCAAGATCGCGACTCGGCGTCCCAGGCGCCGAGGAGGAGCGCGACCGTACTCGCGAGTGCGGCACCGAGCGAGTGGCCCGTCAGGACGAGGGCGTAGCGAGGATGGGCGGCGAGGATCGCGCGCAGGGAGGGAAGGAGCGGAGAGGGTGTGGTCGAGGAGGACGAGGGCGAGAGTAGGTGCTGCGCCGTCGAGAGGATGCCGGAATGGATGCGGTACGGCGTCGAGGAGGTCGTCGAGGAGGCGTCGTCGAGTGCTGGGGCGAGGCCAGGCTCGGAAGAAGTCGCAGGAGGAAGGTCGGGCAGGTCGAGCGAGACGAGCGAGCTGTCGAGGTCGGTGCGGCTGCGAGGGACTGATTGTCAGAGCCTCGCACGTATGACCAGACAGAATAGAGAGTGCGACGCACAGGTCGGCGAGTGACTGCGTGCCACGAAAGACGACGACGATCTCGCCGCGCACGTCGTCGCGCAGCAGGAACATGGCCGGCGAGTAGCTCGACGCCTCGTCCTCGCCGTCGCCGGTCGCCGACGGCAGGCCCGTGTACCGCTGCTGGATCGCGACGTGGAGCACGTCGCGATGATCGGTAACGCCGCCGAGGTGCGCGAAAACGCGCTGCGGGAGCGTCTTACCCGAGGGCGTGAGGAGCGGGGTCGGCGGCGAGGGGATGAGGGTGTGGAGGCCGTACGAGGCGGTCGAGAGGCGGCACGTGCGCTTGATGAGCGAGACGAGGTCGACGATAGGGTCGCGATTCTCGCGGACGGGAGGTAAGGGAGGCGAGGAGGGCAGGAGGGAAGGGCCGTCGAGTTCGAGTGGCGGTGGCTCCTCGTCGAGCCGCTGCCCGATCGTCGAGGCGACGTCGATCTGAGGCGGCGACGCGACGAACCCTTGTAGTGGCGGCGAGTCGGGGTCATCGCGCGAGATGAGCGAGCCGACAAGAACGCCGTCTCGCCGGCTCGTGACGACGAGACCTGCGCCGTCCTCCTCGTCGCCGTCGCCCGTCCAGCGGTACGACTGCTGCCGCTTGGCGATGGATGGGCGCTTGGGCACGAGGCTGCGCCTGCGCCGCTGCGGGCCGACACGAGGCGTCGAGAGCCCGTTCTTGACGAGGCCGCCGCCGTTGAGGAGGACGAGTTGACCTGGACCCTCGCGCAGCCATCTCGAGTGCGTCACTGCAGGAGGGTGGGAGGGAGGGAGGGTGAGGTCGCTGCGTCGGCAGACGTAAAGAGCGACGAGAGAGAGGGACGCACTGCTCTGCAGAACAGCGAGCTCCGCGAGTCCCTGCCCGACACTCCATAGCCCGATCCGCTCCTCGCCGTCCTCGTCGACGACCCTGTCCCACTCGGCCCTGCACGCCCGCCAGTACTCGACGAACGCCCTCGCGACCTCGGTGCGCCCGCTCAGGTTCATCCACACCCAGTACAGGAACGTCGCCGACTGGCGAAGGCCGACGACACTCGCGACGACGAGCGTCGAGAAGTGGTACGCGACGAAGAAGACGAAGCCGATGGCGTGGACGGTGACGCCGAGGATGCCGCCGACCGAGGCGAACGACGTGTCGAGCCCGGCTGACGATGGGCGAGGTGGCGAGCCGATGAGGAGCAAGATAAAGATGTCGAGGAGGTGCCGGCGAGTCGTCGTCGCGCGGGAAGGGATGCCGCGCAGGACGAAAGGCGCGCGCGTGCTCGAAGACGAGGGGAGGAAGGCCGACCGCTGTCGCGGCGACGACGACGCGAGTGAGGCGCGCCTCGAACTCGTGCGCCGGTGAAGGCCGAAGTAGTCGTCGAGCGCGGCAGGCTCGAGGGTGAGCGGGGTTGAGATGGTGGGGAATGACGGCAGGTTGGGGTTGGTCGTTGGGCGAAGAGGGGGAGCCGAGGGAGGGACGAGTGGGTGGTCGTCGTCGCCGTCGCCGTCGTGCTGGTAAGGTTGCACGAGAGGCGAGGCGAGGAAGGGGCTAACTGGCGGCGAGCCGAGGAGCGCGGCCGGGGTGACGGCGGCGAGGACCTGCTCGCCCGCCTCGGGCGATGTCGACGCGTCGACAACCGCCGCGTCCGGGTCGACGACGTCTCGTCGGCTGCGATGCCGCTCGAGACGACCCGCGACGCGCCTCCCCACCTCGCTCCCGAGCTCGTACGCCCTGAGCCCGCTCTCGGCCCTCCTCAGCCGCCGCCGCTGCCGCTCCTCGAACTTGCCCTCGGCTTCTCGTCCCTCCCGGCCCGCTCCGCTCCCTCGCACGAACGCGTCCTCGAGGCGCTGCGCTGCCTCATCGAGCGACAGCCCTTTGCCCTTGCCCTCGCCCTTGGCCTCATCCGCCCGCCGCCGACTGCGCGACGCGTCGTACCCTCCCGGCGGTCCAAGGACACGCACGACCTTGATGGCGGCCGTGATGAGCCCGCCGGGGAACGGCGCAGGCGGTGCGCGGCCCTGCGCGAAGAGGCGGTCGTGCGTGCGCTGCTGCTTCGAGAGGGATCGGGCGCGACGGGTGCCGAGAAGGCCTGCGAGAGAGCAAGGTCAATAGCCTGACCAATGGGGAGGAGAAGGGGAAAGCGAGCGCACCATCGAACGTTTCTCGCGGGGAGTCGTCGGCGAGGAAGGGCGGAGGGAGGAGGAGCGCTTGGTCGTCCGTGTCGCTGTCGGGATTTTGCTCGTCGCCGGCGTTGCTGCGACGCTGTAGACGCCATTGCGCGGCGCCGTCGTCGGACTTGGACCGTGGTGCCCGCGCTGGACGGCTCGTCGGCCCGGACCAACCTCCCGGCAGGGCGAGCGGGGTGGACGGCACTCGAGGCTCGACGCGGCGGTGCTGGCGGGTGCTGCTGAGCTCGAGCGACTCACCGAGCGTCGCGGCAGTCGGCTCGTGGGGTGGGGCGGTCGTGGTCGGCGGCGAGGCTGCTCGACGTTGATGAGGACGTCGAGGTGAGGGGGCGCGCTCGTGAGCCTCGAGCGGCGTCGGCAGGCGGCCAGTACTGGCCTGGCTCATGGGCGGACTCGAGCAGTGTAGTGCACGCGAGAGAGCATGAGAGGACGAGCCGACCTCCTCTCCGACTCCGCACGTGCGCGCCAGCTCGCCGCGAGGCATCGTGCTCGGCGCTTCTCTAACGCAAGGGACAGCCAGACGCAAGTCAGAATGGTACATTCACAAAGGCGGACAAGCGCGACCCGAGCTACACAGCCTGAAAGAGCCCTCGGACCCACGAGCCTCCTCCGCTCACACGTCGACCGCTCCCCATCTCGCCCCAGCTCTGCCCAGCCCGCCCGCCACCGACACCGCCCCGCCGCTGTGACCCGGCTGCCCTCCCTCGCTGAGCCACCGCGTCATGCCCCTCCCCTCGGCGCCCCTCGCCCTCCCGCCCATCCCTCTCCTCCTCGACAGCAACGAGCCGTACACGTCGTCAACCCCGCCGGCACCCTCGCCCTCGAGCGAGTCAAACCGCACGTCGATCCCGAGCGCCGAGCACCGCTCGACGAGGCGCACGAGGTGCGCGTGCCCGAGCGCGTGCGCGAGTGCGGCCGACTCGGCGGGCGACGGCGGCGGCGGCTGCGGGCCTGTACCGGAGCCACCACCGCCGCCGAACAGGAGCGCGCGCCCGGCGAGAGGCGCCGTCGGGAGTGCAGGCGGCGCCGCGAGCCACGCCGAGTAACGCCAGTCGAGGCGCAGGATGCGCAGCGAGGCGAGCGCGGCGTGCACGCTCGCATTGCCCGGCGCGACGGCGGCCGTCGCTCCTCCCGGCTGGAAGGGCGCGACGAGCGCGGCAAAGTGCGCCTCGGCGCGGTCGGGCGAGGTGCAGTGAGGGAGGAACGAGGGGGTCGGGACGAGGTGGAGGCTCGAGAGGGTTTTGGCGGCGGCGGACGGGAGGGTCTCGAGGGCGCGCGAGAGGGACGACAGCTTGACGAGGACGAGGTGGCGGAGCGCGACTGGGGCGGTGCGGCGGAAAAGGGGCGGGTGGTGGCGCGGCGCCGGAAAGAGGTAGGCGAGGTGCTGAAAGTCGCACGCGACGTCCTCGAGGCGCGACGCCGCCTCGTGCGCGACCGTGCGGCACGCCTCGCTTTCCTCGACCGTCGCCATCGGTGTCGGCGGCGGCAACGACATGTCCCACACGCGCAGCTTGACGAGTTCAGGCGTCGTGAAGCCCGCGAACGCGTCGTGCTGCGCCGTGCAGTTGGTGAGGGCGAGGGAGCGCAAGTGCGATGCTCTGCGCGCCTCGAACGACCGGAACCGCGAACGGAAGCCGCATCGCGTGGCGGACAGGTGGCGCAAGGCTGCGGAACGTCAAGGAGGAAGAGACAAAGGTCAGGAAGGGGGTCCGAGGGTCGGTCGGGACTGGGGGGTGAAGGCCAGGCGGGACGTACAAGGGTGGATCGCAAAGTTGCGCAGCTCGAGCCCGTCGAGGTCCTCGAGCGAGAGCGTGTCGAGGCCCTTGAGCTGGTCGACAAGCGCCTCGAGCGCCTTGTTGCCGTCGCCCGCCTGGAGGTCGCCCGTGACGCGCAGGGTGCGGATCTGCTTGCCGAGGGCGTTGCCGCGCGACTTGGGGACGCAGGTGGACCGAGTGAGGCGAGCGACGATGTCCTCGGACGTGACAAAGACGGTCGAGAACAGCTCGCCTTGGGCGTAGGCGCGCAGGACCGGGTGGACGAGGGCGATGCGGGCGAGGGTGGCGCTGCGCTCGCGCGCCGTCGCACGCGTGTGGGTCGGAGGGAGGGCGAGCTCGAGGATGTAAAGGAGGAGCTCGCTCGGGAGCGAGAGGAGCGGCGGGAGGGCGACGACCGAGGCTTGCGACCGGATCGAGGCGGCGCGCGAGGGGCGCTGCGAGGCCGACTGGCCCATGAGCCGGTCGTGGACGAACGAGGCGATGCTGCGCCGCGATGCCGTGCTGGCCGTGCGCTTGTGCGAGCCGAGGGCGGCGGCGGGAGCAGGTGGCTCAAGTGGGGGAGGTGGATGGCGCTGCCGCTTGGGGACGTAGGCCGCCGCGTCGAACAGGTCGAGGAGCGTGCTGTCCTCCTTGCTGAGGTACTTGGTCAAGGTGGTGGCCATCGGCGGGGCAGTTGGAGCTCGAGAGCGAAGCGTCGGCCGCGCGTCGGCGAGAGCGAAGTGGCCTCGGAGGATCGCCTCGCTCGACGACGCAACCGCTCGCCTTTGCGCGTGACTGCACGCTGGTAGACGCTTCAGGATCGCTCGAGCCGCGAGCCGGCCCGGCCATCGACAGCTTCAGCAAGCGCGACCCTCCCTCCCTCCTCCTCCTCCTCCTCCTCGACTTCTCGCTCGCGCCCCTCTCGGCTCACCGGCTGCAGTCGGTCGCTTCTCTGCGGCCAGCCCTGCCGTGGCCGACGTCTGCCTCCGCACGCGGCCCACCCGACCGCGTCGACACGCTCCTCGCGCGCAGCGTTCCGCTTCTGCCTCTGCCCGCTCGCCCCCCCACCTGCACGCTCCCGCGCTCAAGGCACAGCCTCTCGAGCGCGAGCTGCTGTCCAGGCTCTGGCTGCGCAGCACCGCTCGGCCGAGGGAGAGGGGCGCTCGCGCAGGCGGACCGACGCTCCTCCGCACGGACCAATCGTCGACGTGCCGCGCTTCGCTTGCACCCCGGCGCGAGAAGGTCAATCGGCGCACGCGTGCGCGGGTGCCCCCGTCCCTCAGTTCCTCGGTCCCTCGTCCGAACCGTGCGCACTCTCCGACGCTTGTCTTTGCGCTCCCTCGCTTTCTCTCCTCCCAGCTTCGCGCGACCGTCTGCAGCTACGACTCGCTGCCTTTCCTCGACTCGCTCTCTACTGCTATCGGCGACCGGCTCTGCCTCTCTACGACTCGAACCCCGCCTTCGCCGACCTTATCAACCGGATCTCGAACCGACCCATCCACCTTTTTCCTCGCCCTGTGAGCCCTCTTTCTCTTGTTCTACGAGCGCAGACGCACGCGAACGAGTCACTGACCATGCGCTCGAGCCGGATCGACCACAGAGCCTCGTCGTCGCCCTCGACCGCACCCTCCATCTGCCACGATGTCCTCCTCCGTCCAGCTCCCTCTCGAACTCGTCGCCGACGTCCTCGACACCTTCGTCCTCGATAACCCGTCGCACGCCGCACGCCGCCCCAACCTGGCGTCGTTCGCAGCCGTCTCGCGCAGGTGGCACGCAGCCGCGACACCCCTCCTCTGGCGCAACCTGTACCTCGACTCGCGCTCGAGGAGCGGGATCCTCAACGCGCTCGACAGCAACGCGGCGCTCGTGGCGCTCGTGCGCGAGCTGAGCCTGTCTGGCGGCGGCCTCGACGGCGCCGAGTACGAGCGGCTCAAGCGCGTGCTCGCCGAGTGCGCCGGCGTCGAGCGCCTCGGCTACCACTGCTTCGACGAGGCGACGCTGCAAGACTTTACCCACTTCGTCTCGTCGGCGTGGCCCGGCCTCAAGTACCTGCGCGCCGACCAGAACGCCCACCTGTTCGACCTCTTGTCGCGCCTGCCCGCCCTCGAGACGCTCATCGCGAGCTACATCGAGTTCCCGGCGCCCGACATCTCGACGGTCACACCCTCCCCGCCTGGCACTCGCCCGACGACGCCGACGTCCACCGACGCCGCCGCGCCCGTCCGCCGCCCGACGTTCCGCCTCAAGCGGCTCGACTCGGGCTCGTCCCCCTTGCCGGCCCACTTCCACCTCCTCACCTCGTCCTCGGCACACACGCTGCGGTCGCTCGACATCCCGCTGTCGAGTCTCACGTCGCAGGACCTGTCGGCGTTCGCGTCGCTCGAGCGCCTGACGCTCACCCTCGCCGAGCGGTACCTCCCCCTCCCGCCCGACGTGGCGGGCGCGCCGGCGCCGGCGCATCGGCGAGCTCACGGCGCGAGGGACGACGCGCGGCTCATGCGGCGCGTACGGCGCGTTCTCGACAGCGTCGCGCAGGCGGGCGCGGACGCCGGCGCAGGCTCGAGCGGCGTCTCGAGCCCGCTGCGCACGCTCGAGGTGTACGAGCCGGCGTACGCGTCGACGGCGTCGATCTCGAGGGCGGTGATCCGGGAGGGGGATCTGTGGAGCGGGGTGCCGCCGAGCGTGGAGCGGCTGGAGCTCGCGACGGTGGAGGGAATCGAGGCGAGGGACGTCGAGGACGCGCTCGGGCGAGGGCTCGTCGCGGGCCGAGAGGGGGAGAAGCTGTGCTGCGTCGGGGTGCGGGATCTGGTGCTCGGGCGCAAGGTGGCGAGCCAGGAGGGCGCGGCCGAGATGCTCTCGCTTGCGACGAGGAGGGGCGTGCGAGTCTTGTTCGAGTGACCGGCTCTCCTCGCCTTTGTTGTAGACTTGCGCTTCACTGCAGTGCACCCAGTCAAGCTCTGCGTCTCCCTCGCCTCTCGTGAGGCGCGAGAGCTGCAATCGTCCGAGCAACAGCACTTCTGGGTGACGCCGAGAGGACGACAGCGGGCAACCCTCGAGAGCAGCTGCGCTCCCTCGGACATGCTCGAGGTGGCAGTGGACTGTACACGAGAGCCTGCAGGCAGCTCCAGCGAGTCGAGAGAGGCTGTCGCCGACGTCGTCGCTCTCTCCCATGGACGGAGCCGAATTGCAGCTCTCCTCGTCTCCCTCGTCCGCTCTCTCCGCCAGGGCCCCAGGATGGCCGACGAAGCACCGAGCAAGGCGTCGCTCGTGCGGTGGTGGAAGGCCTTTACGCGCAAGGAGAAGGAGCGTGCCGTGGTCGCCTCGTCCTCGTCGTCCGCCGCCGCCGCACCGCCGCCGCCTCAGCGCACCGCCGCACCGCTCTACTCGCCCCAGCAGCGAGGTCTCGAGCCCGGTCAGAGCGGCAAGGGCCGGGTGTTCGGCGTCGCCCTCGCCGAGTCGCTCCAGTACGCCAGTGTCGCCATCTCGCTCGTCGCCGAGTGAGTCTCTCTCATCTCCCTCAACCCTCGCCTCTCTGAGCACACAGGCTCACCGACACTGTCCTCCCGCAGTGACGGCAACCAGTACGTGTACGGCTACGTGCCCATCGTCGTCGCCAAGTGCGGCATGATGCTCAAGGAGACGGGTGCGTCTCCCCCTCTCTGTCTCGCACCCTCCTCGCCCTCGTACAGACTGTGTCGGGGCGGTCCAGGGCGTGTCACAGAAGGCGCAGTAGCTGACCTAGTCTGGCACCCGCCGTCCCTTCGCGCAGCGACCCACACCGAGGGCATCTTTCGCGTTTCCGGGTCCAACAAGCGCATCAACCAGCTCCAGGCCGTCTTTGATGCGCCGCCCAAGTACGGCAAGGACTTTGACTGGACCGGCTACAGCGTGCACGACGCGGCGAGCGTCCTCAGGCGCTACCTCAACGCCCTTCCTGTGCGTCTCCCTCTCTCGCCCTCCCTCCCCCTCTCTCGCCTTCCTCGGCAGCACGCTGACCCTCTTCTGCGCCTCAGGAACCGGTCATACCTGCCGGCCTGTACCTCGACTTTACGGCCGTCCTCCGTGCGTCCCTGGGCCGAGCTCCTCCTTTCTCGCCCGAGCACGAGCTGAACCCCTTCTCGCCCTCCAACTGTCGCAGAGAAGCAGCAGCCGACCGCCGCCTCGATCGCCGAGTACCGCCACCTCATCTCGCTCCTGCCGCCGGCGTCGCGCTACCTCCTCCTCTACCTCCTCGACTTTCTCTCGGTCTTCGCGCGCTGCTCGGACCAGAACAAAATGACGGCGTCCAACCTCGCCGTCGTCTTCCAGCCGGGCCTCGTCTCGTCTCGTGGCGGTGGGCAGAACGCCCTCCTCGGCTTCCCGGGCTTCGACGGCCGACCGACGCCCGCGACGAGCGCCGGCGCATCGCTCGACGCGCAGGAGCAGGCGGGCCAGCACAGCCGCGACATGCTCGTCCTGAGCTTTCTCCTCGAGCACCAGACGTCGTTCATGCTCGACCTCGAGGCGCCGGTCGACGCCGAGCGTCAGAAGCGCAAGGGCGTCGAGGTGCCGCTCGCGGCGCGAGGAGGGCGCGCCGTCGCCGGCCAGCGCACCGCCGCCGTCGTACCCGGCGGCCCAGCGCCGCGACACGCGGCCCCCCCGCCTCCTGTTGGCGAGGCCCTGGCGCCACAGAGCGGCGCGAGGGCCGACGAGCCCGTCGCGAGCACGAGCGCGCTGCCGGCGGCGGCAGCGGCGGCGGCGGCGGGCGCAGGGCACGGCGGTGCGACGGACCTCCATCGCCGCGGGAGCGAGAAGAGCGTCGAGCGGAGGAGGCTGAGGAAGGGCAAGGACGAGACCGAGGGCGGCAAGGTCAAGCGGAGCAAGACCTGGGGGAGCGCGACGAGGAGGAAGCGCGCAGAGGGGAGGGAGCCGTCTCGTGCGTCGCCTCTCTCCTTCACTCGTTCGTCCGTGTCCACGACTGACTCGGCTGCCTGCCGCGAACAGCGTCGCCGAACGACACGTCGTCGAACAACTCGCCCCGCGTGTCGACCGCACCCGCCTTTGCGCCCCAGAAGAGCTCGAGCTCGCGCGCCGACGTCCCGACCATCGTCCCTGCACCCGAATCGACATCGCTCCTCGGCCATCGTCCCTCGGTCAAGAAGAAGGCGCGCAAGTCGGGCGCGAGCGACAAGTCGCCGTTGCTCGCGAGCGGCCCGCTCCCGCCGCCGCCCGGCCTCAGCCCGTCGTCTGCGGCGGCACCGATGGCCCGCACGGCGTCGTCAGGGTCGAGTAAGACGCCCATACCGCCTGCGTCGAGCGGCGGAGGAGGCTCCGCCGCAGGCGACGCCGGCAAGCCTCGTCGGCGAAGCATGGATCCCGACGGTCGGCAGTAGCCGCCCTCAGCGTCTCTCTCTCTCTCTCTTCCTCCTTTCCCTCTCCAACGCTAATGCACTACAGACCCTTTATTTGTCCTCCATCCTCTCTTCCCTCGCCTCGTTGTTGTCCATGCTCCCTCCCTCGTCGCGCCCGCATCCTCTCCCTCCCTCCTCCTAATCCTCTCGAGTCGATACCCTCGCCTCCTTGCCTTCCGTCGATAGATACCTCTCCTTTGTCCTCGTCGTCGTCGTTGTCGCCGTCGCAGTACCTCGTCTTGTTCGTGCGCGTCGTGCGCCTTAATTCCTTTCGTTCGCCTCGCGCGTCAAACCTCACTCGTCCGCTCTCGCTCGGTGTCTTTGGCGGCACAGTGGACATGCTTGAGAGGACTGTCGAGCCGGTATGCCCCGAGAGCGCGAGACAGCGTCAGACGAGCTCGCAAGCGAAGCCGGCCGCTCAGTCGCCCGCTTGTTCTCCTTAATCCTCGCTCGGCTACGCACGCGAGCCTACGAGCCGCTGTACATCGCTCGTCTGTCATGTTCTCGCTGCTCAGGAGCCTCCTTCGCGGCCGCAACGTTGCAGGTGCGCTCCCCCGACTCCTCATCTCCCCCACTCGATTCGCTCACCCTTGCCTCCTCGACACAGCGCCAGACGAGCCCGACACGAGCCTAGACCAGCCTAGAGCTCGAACTACACCTCTCCCTCCTCTCCCCACCGAGCTCGTCGCCCTCGTCGTCGCACACGCCGTCCTCGCCGCCAACGACGACCTCGACCACGCCAATCTCGCCCTCGTCAGCCGGTCCTGGGCTGCACTCGTCCGCGCCGAGCGCTGGCGAGTCGTCGTCCTGGCCACCCGGGCCAACTGGCCGAGGTCGGCCGTCACGGGCGGCGGCGATGCCCCGCACGACGCGCTTGCCCTCGTCCGGCGGCTGTTCCTGCTTCAGCCCGACGAGGACCTCGTCACGGTCCGCCAGGTCCTCGTCGGGTGCACCAAGCTGCGCTTCCTCCTCATGTCGAGGAGCGCCTGGACCGTCGAGGTCCTCAAGGACGCCGCGAGCGGGCCCGCTTGGACCGGCGAGCTTCAGCACTTCGTCCTCGACGCCGACGAGGCAGACGGCGAGCTCGGCGCGCTCGTGCTCGCTGCACTTGCGCGTATGCTGCGCCTGCGTGCTCTCGCGCTGTTCCTGCGCGGCGACGCTGGCGAGCCACTCGTCGTCGGCGGCCCTCGTCCAGCGCCGGTGTCGGTGTCCGAGCCGGTCCAGCTCCTCGAGATCGCCGAGCTGGCGCACGTCGCGGTACGTCCTCAAGCGTGGCTCCTCGACCGCCTCGACGCCGCGGCGCTGCGCAGCCTCGACTGCACGCTGCACGCCGTGCGCGTCCCGGTCGAGCTCGCGGCCTTTACACGCTTCACCTCGCTCGCCAAGCTCGACCTCACCCTCCTCCCACCCGGTCCGATCTCGTCCTTCGACCCATCGCCTGCCGTCCTCGCCCTCGCGGCCCATCTCCCCTCCTTGACCGTGCTCCGCATCCTCAAGATCCGCCTCGCCGAGCATCCCGCGTCTCTCTGCGGCGTCCTCCTCGAGTCGGCCACGAGCGCGCTCCTCGCCGCGCTCCCAATCGTGGTCGAACACGTCCTCGTCGAGCCGCCGACGACGAGCAGGTGGGGCGACGAGCTGTGGACGGGGCTCTTGCGGGAGCGAGGTGCGGCGGCATCGGCGAGTGGCCGCTCGAGTTTGCGGCAGGTGGATCGGGTCGAGGCGGTCGGTGAGGATGGAGGCAGCGGAGAGGCGGGGCGCTCGGCAGCGAGGAGAGTGACGAGGGCAGTGCTTGAGGACGGGCGATGGCAAGCGGTGCGTCCGCTCTTTCCCTTTCCTCGAGCCTCTCGACGACGCAGCGCCTGACGACGAGCTCACGTCCGGCACCCTTCTCTGCGTACAGCTGTATCCTCTCGACCCTCGACCGACCGAGCTGCCCGTGTGAGCCGACTCGCGCTCAAGCTCAACGGCCCGAGCGCATCCTCCCGTCGCGCTCGCCCTCGGCAGCCCGCCGCCACACTTCCTGCCCGGCCTCGACAGCCCATCGTCGCTTCATCTCGTCGACGCCTCTTCGTGACTGCCTTGACCCGCAGCTCATCCGTCGAGAACAGCTTTGGGTCGAGGAGTTGGACCTTCTCGGCGAACCTGGTCCGTTCCCTCGCTTCTCTCTCTCTTTCTCTCTCAATCAGCCCATGTGCGCCAAACTCACACGCGACCGCCCGCAGGTACTTCTCTCTCGGCGTCACTCGCCCTGCCCCCTCGTCTCGGCCTCCTCGACGAACCTCGTCGTCCGCTCTCGCGCATTTCTCGGGCTTCCCTCTCGTTCCACTCGTTTTCTCTGTATCAGACGTCGCGCAGAAGAGCCTGAGGGTGCAACAGAAGCCTTTGCACCGTCTCAGCAGAACCGAGAGAACCCAGAAAACCCGCGAGCGCCGTCGTACTCAAGCGCTCGGACCCGCTCGCTCCTCCTGCCGCGAGCTTGAACGTCCGCCTGGTCGGCGCACGTAGAGCGAGGGCTAAGTTTCGGACGTCGCTCGTCGACGAGAGAAAGTCGAGACAAAGCGGTGCCCGCACGCACCTCCGCTCAGGCCGGGTCGCCGCCGCGCTCCCTCGCAGCCGCCTTGGCAGCGCGCGCGAGCTTCATGGCCTCGAGGGCGGCCTTGCGGGCCTGCGGGTCGCCAGGCGGCGGGCTGGCCGAGGTGCGCTGGTGCGCCTTGGCCTTGGACTTGGACTTGGTCGCCGACGACGACGACGAGGCGGCGGTCGAGGAGCGCTTGGGCTTGGACGACGTGGTGGAGGCCGTGGGCTTGCGCGAGGCGGTGCTGGTGGTGCTGGTGGTGGCCTTGGTCGAGCCCTTCTGCGCCTTGAGGATGCGCGCCATGGTCGAGCGAGAGTGGACGAGGCGAGAGAGGGAGAGGACGGACGATCTCTCTCTGTTGCCGGCCGCGCTCTCGCTCGCTCTCGCTCTCCTCGACCGTGCGAGTGTGATGGATGATGGAGCTTCTCGTTGCATTAAACCTGTGGAATGAGTGGGAAAAAGGGGGCCGGGGCGCGAGAGACAGGGATGGAGCTGCGTGGGGGGAGAGCGAGAGTCTGGCGCGAATAGGGAGTACAGAGGGGAGGCGACGACGGCGAGAGAGAGAGAGAGAGAAGTACACAGAGGGGGAGGCCCTACTCGGAGATGAAGGACGCCTCGACAAAGGCGCAGCCGTCGACGTCGAGCGTCTTGGTTTCGCTGCCCGAGCCGAGCGTGATGCTCGCCTTGGTCGGGTTGAGCCACTGCGGACGTGCGTCGTGGGTCAGAGAGGGTACGACAACGGCGACACAGAGAGAGAGAGAGTCGGGACGCACCGTGTAGATGTAGGGCTTGGTGCCGGCGGCGTAGTTGACAAACTTGCGGATGAGGTACGGGATCTGGCCGAGAACGTCGACCTTCTCGACGAGGCCGCGCGTGTCGTACTTGGCCTTGTCGGTCACGAGGTCGTACTGGACCGTGGCGTGCACCTTCGAGTCGCTGCCGCCGGCGGGCTTGCCGTCCTCGAGGCGGGCGCCCTCCCAGCTGAACTTGATGGCGCCCGGGGCGGCGTAGCCCGTCTCGGCGTCGACGACGGCGTCGAGGTGCTGCGCCTGGGCGCCGCCGACGACGCCCGAACCACCGGCCGACACGCACACGAGCTTGTCGCCGACGACGACCGAGCCGACCGTGACGACCTTGGAGCCGTAGCCGGGCGGGGTCGTGAACTCCATGAGGATGAGCGACACGGCGTCGTCGTCGTTGCCGTCCTTGGGGGCGACCGTCTGGAAGTTGCAGAAGTTCCACTTGGCGGCGAGGAGGTTTGGGCGCAGGCCCTGGATGGCGTGGATGAAGACGCCGCGCGAGCCGGCGAGGTCGAGGACGTCGCCGCCGACGCGCACGATGCCCGACACGGCGCAACGGGGCAGGATGCGGTGCACGCAGTAGCCGTCGCCGCCGGCGGCATAGTCGGGCGCGTCGCCGGCGGGCGTCGGCTTGGGCGACAGCTGGCCAAAGTAGGTCATGCCGCCCTTTGGGCCGGCGCCGAGCTTGAAGCCCGGGCACAGCTGGTCGTACTCGAGCGAGATCTGGACCTCGTCGTCGTACTTGGCCTGGATCTGGTACTTGTTCGGGGTCGCCGGGTCGACCGTGACGGTGATCTGGTCCGACTTGCACGAGCGCTTGTCGAGCTTGTCCGAGGGCGCCACCTTGAAGTTGGTCACGGTGACCGACTTCCACACGTTCGTGTTGGTCTTGGGGTTGGCATACCGGAACGTGACCTGGACGAGGGGGGAAGAGGTCAGTGTCGGGTGCGGCGGGCGGAAGGAGGAGGGGGAGGAGGACGGGGCCGTGTGCGCACCTGGATGTTGGGCCAGAAGAGGCTGAGGGGGAGCGAGTGGATGTCAGGCTCTGTCTGTGTGCGCGCGCGCGAGAGAGAGAGAGAGGGGAGAGGGGACGGACCCGACGGCCGAGTGGATGATCTGGCACATGACGATGGCGCCCGAGGGCATGGTCGCGTACCAGGTCTGCGTCTCTGCAGGCGGCGTCGAACGGGTCAGGGATCGGTCGAGTGGGCAACGAGGGAGGGGAGAGAGAGAGAGGGGGACGGACCCGTGTTGATGCCGCCGCCGCAGTTCCACGAGAGGTCGTCCTTTGTGAGCGGGCCATAGAGGTTGTTGGGATCGGAGAATGCGAGCTGGACCGGGTGGATGTTGGGTCCGGACGAGGAGGAAGAGAACCACGACACTGTGAGGGGAGGGGTTGGTGACGACGAGGTGGGAGCGGGTCGGTGCGGGTGGACGAGGGAGATGTGGAGTGTGCGAGTCAGTTGGTGAGTGCGAGTAGGGCGCACAGGGTTAGGCAAGGGGCGGTAGAGAGGCCGCGAGGCGAGGTGGTGGATGAGGGGGAGGGGGAGGGGGAGGGGGGCAAGGCGGTGAGCTCACTGGTGCGAGTTTGCGGGATGGGGTGGTGGCGGTGTAGAGTGGTGCGAGTAGAATGGACTGGCTGGTGCGAGTCCTGGTGGCGAGGCGAAAGAGGGGCCAGAGGCCGAGGAGCGACGCGCCTCGTCGTCGTCGTCTCAGCCTCATCAGCGAGCTGTTGGTCGCCTCGGTTGCGCCTGCTCAGCTGTGCGACACGCGACCCGCACACTCGAGTACACCCCGACCCGGACCCGCCATGCCGCCAGCCCACCACGCTTCGTCGTCCCGGCCCCTCTTCTTGCTCACCTTGATCCTCGTCGCCGCACTGTGGTACCTCTCCGGCTCCAACCCTGCAGCCAAAGCCCAAGCCCATCCACCAGAGCACAAGCGCCACCAACCCGCACTCGTCAACCAGGCCAACACCCCTCCTCCTCCTCGAGAACCGCAACCCTCGACTCGGCGCGCGTTCCACCAGCGCATCGTCGCACTCGGTCCGTCCTCCTGTCCTTCTCGAGCAGCCTCCGTGCGGCACTCACCCTTCGACCCACACAAACAGGCGACGTCCATGGCGACCTCCCCGCCGCCATGAGCATCCTCCGCCGCGCCGGCCTCGTCGACCTCAAGGGCCACTGGACCGGCCAAGACGCCATCCTCGTCCAGACTGGCGACATTGTCGACCGTGGACCCGACACGATCGCCCTCTACCGCTTCTTCCAGGGCCTGCGTCCTCAGGTCCGTCCCCCATGTCACCGCGCCCGGACCTTCCCAAGCTCACCTCCCCTCGCGACCACAGGCGGAAAAGGCCGGCGGCGCCCTCGTATCGCTCATGGGCAACCACGAGATGATGAACTACCTCGGCGACTGGCGCTACGTCACCAAGGAGGACATTGCGTGCGTCCTCGCGTCCCTCCCCTCTCCCCCTTGCGTGCGACCCTCGACCGACGCGCGCATTCCCTCGCACCTCGCAGCTCGTTCGGCGGCGAGCGCAACCGTCGCGAGGCGCTCCTCACCGGCTGGATCGGCCAAGAATGGCGCACCAACTACTCGATCACGGCCCGCGTCCCGTACCTCGTCCACCACTTCCCGCACGACCTCGCCGCGCCCGTCCTCCCCTCGACCCCTCGCGGCTCGTCCGACCGCCGCTTCCTCGGCGACCCGACGTTCCCCTCGTCCGTCGCGTCGGGCGACGGCAAGAACCCGTTCCTGCGCGCCGCCGCCTCGTTCGTCCACGGCGGTATCACGCCCGAGTACCTCTCGTCGCTCCCCTCGTCGCCCTCGTTCACGCCCATCGCGACCATGAACCGCATCGGCCACGACATCCTCGAGTCGCTCCTGCACCACCCGGGCGGCGTCCCGCTGTCGCTGCCGCGCACGGCCCCCGACGAGCAGCGCGAGTTCTGGAGCGAGAGGGGCCCGATGTGGAACCGCGACTGGGCGCTCGAGGACGAGAACGAGATCTGCGACAGGGTCGAGAGGGCGTGCGACATGTTGAACGTGAGGAGGCTCGTCATGGGGTGCGTCCGGCTCCCGTCCTCCTCTTGCCCTCGCCCCTCGCCGACCGGAACCCTGACCTCTCGCCCCACACACACGCTCGCAGACACACGCCGCAGTTCGAGGGCATCCTGAGCCGGTGCGACGGCAAAGTCCTCCTCATCGACACGGGTGCGCTCCCTCCCTCCCTGCCTCTCTCGCGACCGTCACCCATTCACGCTCTCGCCCACCTCGCGCGCAACAGGCATCTCCCGCGCGTACGGCGGCGCCCACTCGTCCCTGTCGCTCACCTACACCCTCACGCCCGCCTCGGCCCTCCCCCTCGCCGACGCCCTCTCGTTCTCGCTCGTCGCGCTCGACGACCCGACGCCCGACGCGACGCTCGCCGGGCCCGACCTCGCGCGCACGTGGGTCGAGACCGAGCTCGTCGAGGCGCTGTACACCAAGGGGAGGGACAGCGAGACGCTCGTCAGGTCCGAGCGGGTCGTCGTCGTGCCGGAATAGATTCCTCCTCTCTCTCTCTCTCTTTCCCTCTCGCCGTTGGATCCTCGTTTGTGTAGATGTAGCCATTCCTCCTGCAGTCGGACCCGCACAGCAATCCGTTCTCTCTGTCGCCTCGGCCGCCGTGGAGTTAAGATGAGAGCCGCGCCTCCGCTCGAGCTCGACCAACTGCTCGCGGCCTCGACCTCTCGCCCCTCCTCGCTCAACAACAACCCCCACCCACACACGACATGCCGGGCAAGAAGCGGCCCACGTCGGCCAAGCAGTCGGCCCACTCGAAGCGGCACAAGGCGTCCGGCGGCGGCGGCGGGTCCAAGGCCAAGAAGGGCGGCGCGTACCCGTCCGCCGACGCGGCCGCGGCCGACAAGGCGGCAAAGGCGGCCAGGTCGCTCGCCAAGAAGGACCGCAAGGGCAAAGGCCCCGCCTTCATCCCCGTGCCCGAGGCGCGCAATGGCGGCGGCGGCGGCGGCGGCGAGAGCGGCAGTGGGGAGGACGACGAGGACGACGACGACGACGAGGGCATGGACGTCGACCCAGAGCTTCTCGAAGGCGACGGTGTCGACTTCCTCACGAGGCTCGACAAGAAGGGCATGTCGGCGTGCGTCCACTGTTCCTCCTCCCCTCTCCTTCCTCGTCCTCGAGCTGACCCTCTCCAACCTCGCAGCTCCCGTCCGACACTCGCCAAGGCGTACAAGGACGACAAGCCCGCTCCTGCACCTCGCACCAAGGGCGCCTTCTCGCACATCAAGGTCGACCCGGCCCCGCCGACCAAGTCGGAGCTCAAGGCGGCCAAGAAGCGCGACATTGAGCGCAAGAAGCTCCTCAAGGCGCGCGAGAACGGCGACGAGCCGTACGACTCGGCCGACGACGACGAGCTCGCCGGCGTCGACGCCGGCCACGAGGCGCAGCAGGGCTCGGGCGGCAAGGCGCACCCCGAGGGCGAGCTCGTCGACGACCTCGAGTCGGACGACTTTGCGTTCGGCAGCGGCGACGACGACGATCTCGATGAGCTGAGCTCGATGAGCGAGTGGAGCGACGACGACGACGACGAGGGCGCGCGCGAGATCGACCCGGGCGACGACTCGCTCGACGACGACTCGCTCCTCGGGTCCGAGGACGACGACGAGGAGGGCCTGTGGTCCGACGAGGACAGCGAGGGCGCGGTGGGTGAGGGCGCAGACGCGTCGCTCACGTTCGACTCGGGCGAGGAGCTCGGCGCCGACCTCGACTCGGAGGACGACGAGGACGAGTCGAGCGGCGGGGAGGGCGAGGACCTGTCGGGCGATTCGGCGGGCTCGACGTCTGGCGACGAGGCGCTGTCGCGCGCCGCCAAGCGCAGCAAGAAGCGCGCGCCGTCGTCGGACGCCGACGAGGTCGAGGCGCGGTACGAGGCGTCGCGCCCGCTCAAGAAGGTCAAGGAGCCCAAGGCCCTCCCGACCAAGCTCCCGACCATCGTCAACGGCAAGGTCGTGCGCAGCGCCGAGCCCCTGTCGACCGTCCCGCTCGCCGACGACTCGGACGACGACGACGTCGAGGAGGCCAAGCCGCGCAAGGAGCAGGAGTACCGCAGCGACCCGCTCGGGCAGCGCTTCGGCCGGCCCGCCGTGCGACAGCTCCTCGAGATCCGCAACAAGAAGGAGCGCGTCACGAGGGCGCGGGAGGAGATTGCCGACCTCGGTCGCGAGGCGGCAGGGACGGGCGAAGGCGAGGGCGGGGTGCGTCTCCCTTTTCTCCCTCCTTCTCCGTCTCTCTCGTCCACGCCCAGCATGCTCACTCGTCTCTCTGCGTGCAGCTCAACCTCCTCAAGCGGCTCCTGTCGCTTTGCGCGCCCAAGTTCAACTCGTCGTCGGCGGCCCGCAGCGCCGGCGAGAAGCCGATCCAGGTCGACCGCGAGATCCGCATCATGGCCATGGTCTCGCTCCTCGCCGTGTACATCGACATCTTGCCGTGCGTCCCCTATCTCTCCCTCGCTCGTTCGCCTCGAGCAGACGCTCGTCGTCGCCGTCCTGAGCCCGCACTGACCCTCTCCTCGCATCGTCCCTCGCCTGCAGTGGGTACCGCATTCGCGAGCTGTCCGAGACCGAGAAGGACGTCCAGGTCAGCCAGATGGTCGCTCGGCAACGCGAGTGGGAGAACGGGCTCGTCTCGACCTACAAGAAGTTCCTCGAGATCTGCGAGCACGAGGTGGCCGGTCCGTCCTCTCTCTCTCTCTCTCCCTCTCCCTCTCGACGCTCGTCCTGCCAGCCTTACTGATACGCCTCTCATTGTCCACAGAGAACTCGCCGATCGCGCCCGCCGCCCTGCACTGCCTGTGCACCTGCGTCCGCGAGAAGCCCGACTTCAACTTTGCGACCAACGTCATGGACGTCATCGTCAAGCGCCTCGGCCGCAAGGGCTGGGACGAGGGCCACCAGCAGGCGCTCGACGCCGTCATCTACCTGTTCCAGCACGACACGACGACGACCGCCTTCAACTCGCTCCACCTCGTCCGCCTCATCTCGCGCCTCGTGCGCGCGCGCTCGTTCGCCGTCCGCCCCGAGGTCATCTCGGCCCTGCTCAACCTGCGCCTCAAGGACGAGCTCGGGCGCGGCACGCGCGCGTCGGCCGACGCCGTGTTCCGCGAGCGCGAGGGCAAGCACGGCATCGTGCGGTGGAACAAGGAGAAGAACCACAAGGGCCGCAAGGGCGGCAAGGCCAAGGAGGCCATGGCCAAGAAGGGCTCGAAGAAGGCGCGCCAGGCCCGCAAAGAGCAGAACCAGGTCGACCGCGAGATGCGCGAGGCCGAGGGCGAGGTCAACCAGGAGGAGCGCGAGCGCCACATGACCGAGACGCTCAAGCTCCTCTTTGCGCTCTACTTCCGCATCGTCAAACTCGACTACCGGTCGCCGCTCCTCCCTGCCGCCCTCGAGGGCCTCGCTCGGTTCGCCCACCTCGTCAACATCGACTTCTTCCGCGACCTCCTCGAGTGCCTCAAGGCCCTCATCTACCGCGGCGTCAAGACGGACGACGCCGACGACAGCGACGACGACGACGTCGTTGACTCGATCAACGTCAAGCGCAACGACATGCGCGAGAAGCTCCTGTGCATCGTCACCGCGTTCGAGCTCCTTCAAGGGCAGGGTGCGTCCCCTCTCTCCCTTTTCCTCCTCGCGCCCCTCTCCTTCTCGTGTGCCTGTACTGACCTCGTCCTCGACCCGCAGGCGAGGCGCTCAACGTCGACCTCGGCGATTTCGTCACGGCCCTGTACTCGCTCATCCTCCCCCTGTCGCTCTCGCCCACGTTCGAGGAGGCGCCCTACCTCGCCCAGAACGCCATGACGCTCGCCCACAAACAGACGTACAAGCTCGCGCAAACCGAGGCCGACCTCGTCTTCCGGGCCCTGACGGCCATCTTCCTCCTCCCTCGTTCCCTCCCCTCGCCCATTCGCACCCTCGCGTTCGCCAAGCGCCTCCTGTCGGCGTCGCTCCACTGGCCGCCAGCGTCGCAGCTGCGCACCCTGTCGTTCCTGCGGTCGCTCCTCATCCGCGAGCCGCGCCTCGAGGCCATGCTCGAGACGAGCGACCGCCGCATCGACGGGCGGTGGCGAGGGCACGTCGACGAGCCCGAGCGCGCCGAGCCCGAGAGCACGTGCTTCTTCGAGGCGGGCCTGTACGTGCGCGACCACCCGGACGAGAAGGTGCGCGCCGAGGCCAAGAAGCTCGTCAACTACCGCCGCGAGTAGACGCACTCCCTCTCTCTCGTTCCCTCCCTCGAGTTGTCGTACCACCTCCTCTCTCTCTCTCTCTCTCTCTATTCGTCCTCTGCATTCGCAACCGCACTGTCGCAGCGCTCGCCACCTCGCGAGATCGAGAGCAGCTCTCGCAGTCGAGGGAAGGTAAAGCGAGCACGACGAGGCTCGAGCGCAACAGATTCATTTCGACGACTCTATCCTGCAGCTACAGCTTGGCCCCGCTCAGGCCGTACACGAGGTCCCGCTCTCTCTGCGCCGCCTCGCGAGCCTCGCCCTCGCTCTCGCCCAAAACGCGCTCGACCGCCGCCGCCGCCTCGACCGCCTTGCCGTCGGCGACCCAGCGCTCGACGACCCACGCGTCGAGCTGCGCCTCGGGTCGACGAGCTCGTGTGCTCCACAACGCCTGCTCGACGAGGTAGGCGGCCGACGCGACGAAGCCGAGGAGGAAGAGGAACGGGCGAGGGAGGCGAGGGTTGCTCGAGAGGCGCGGTGCGGCTGACGAGGCGAGGGCGAGGCGGGTCTCGAGGGTCGTGAAGGTGCTGGAGAAAGAGGGGATCGAGGCCTGCGCGGTCGAGAGGATGGCGCGCGCCCACTGCAAGGGAGGAGAAGGTCAGGATGAGTGCCGACGAGGCGGCTCGAGAGAGAGGAAGCGAGAGCGTACCCGGACAAAGTGCTCGATGGCGGCTCCCTTGGTCTGCAGGACGACCCGCACGACGTCGAGAGCGAGGACGTTGGTCGTGCTGCGGAAGAGTTGAGTTTGAGAAGGTCAAGTCGGCGGTGGAAGGAGAACGAGGACGAGAGAGAGAGGGACGCACCCCTCCCAGATGCGCTCGACGTTGGCGTCTGCGATGAGACTGCAGAGCGTACTCAGGTGAGTCGCTAGTCGAGAGGGGCGAGGAGAGAAAGCAGAGGGACGGACCGGCCAAACTGGTTCTCGGTCATGTACCCTTGGCCGCCGAGCGCCTCCATGAGGCGAGGGAGCTCGCTCGTCGACAGCTCGGCCGAGAACGCCTTGACGACTGGCGTGAGGAGCCGCAGCCGGAGCGTCTCGCCGTCGTCGAGCTGGGCCGCCGGGAGCGCTTCCGAGCGTCCGAGAAGGTGCATCGCGCCGAACGCGAGGTGGAGGACGGCTCGGTGCACGAGCTCGCTCTGGGCGAGGGCCGAGGTGTGCATCGCGTTGTCCTGCAGGAGCGAGTCGAGGTCGCCGGCGATGTGGCGCACGCGCGCGAACCCTTTGGCGAGGTCGAGCGCACGGCGGAGCGCGGCGACGCCCGACATGGCCGACCACAGGCGCGTGATGTTGAGGACCGACGTGATGCTCTTGACGCCGGAGCCGAGCGGGCCGACGAGCTGGCCGACAGCGCCGCGAATCTCGAGCTCGGCAGTCGGAAGGGCCTGAACGTCGAGACGAGGTCAGGCTTCGTGCTCGGGCCGTCCGCCGAGAGGCAGAGAGAGTGTGGGACGGACCTTGGTGCCAAACTTCTTCTTGAGACGGTGCACGTAGACGCCGTTCGTGTGGCCGTCCTTGTCGCGCAGCTCGACGAGGAAGAGCGACAGGCCTCGGCTGCCGGGCCCACCCGTCCTCGCGAGCGCGAGCGCCACGTCGCCGTCGGTCGCGCTCGAAAACCACTTGAAGCCGTCGAGAAGGAACTGGTCGCCCGGCTGCGCCTTGAGCGGGTCGACAGGGCGCGCGACCGTCTCGGTGAGGGCGACGTCGGACCCGCCGGGGCGCTCGGTCATCCACTGACCGGCCGTGTACGCCTTGTCGGGGTCGCGGCTGCACAGGAGCGGGATGAACTTGTCGCGGAGCTCTCGGGTACCGGCGAGCTCGAGGACGCGGGCGCAGCCGTCCGTCATCGAGATCGGGCAGCCGACGTAGAGACCGTCGGGGCCGAGGAGGTAGGCCTGCGCTCGAGGAGGGGCAACGAGTCAATACGCCGAGGATGCGAGGGGCGGCAGGAACGGAAAGGGAGGGCATGCGCACCTTTGCAAAGGCGTAGACGCGGCTGAACTCGCCCTCGCGGCGCTCGAACGGGATCGCGACGAGGCCCTCGTCGGCGGCGATGCCCTTGAGGGTACGCCACGCCTCGCTCGTGTGGAGGTGGTCGACGCGCTGGCCGAACTGGTTGAACTGGACGACGCTCGGCTCGATGGTTGCCGGAAGCGAGTCGGCCGTGTTGGCGAGGGCGCGAACGGCTGCAGCGCGGAAGGAGCGGGTCGGCTCGAGGGCTCCGTGAGAGCAGAGCGCGAGGAGGAGCAGGACGCACGGCCAGCGATGCGGTGCTCGAAACGCTCGAGGTCGGCGGCGACGAAGCGGTGGACGTTGCCGGGGAGGAGGCGGACGAGGAGCGCCTTGAGCGGTTCGTCGCCCGTGTAGGCGGGCGGGAGCGAGATGGGCCGCTGCTGGAAGCCCTCCTCGATGCGCATAGCTGGGTGCGGCAGCGAGAGAGAGAGAGGGAGCGGCACGGACGAGAGCGCTTCCCCGCATTCTCGACCTCTCCGCCGAGGAGCGTCGACCAGCTGGCGCGAGCTGCAGACGCGACCGTGGAACGCGCGTGTTGCTCGAGACTAGCACAGCGAGGGCAGGCGTGGGCTAGCTAGCCAACTAGACGCGCTGGTGGTGTCCCCTGCGAACCGCAAGCTGGGGGAAACGCCGAAGGCCGGACGAGCGGGAACAGATCAGCTCGCTCTCCTCAGCTTGCTCAGCAGAGCGCGTACAGCTGCGCATCGCTACTGCCGCACCCCTCTGCACCGCTGCACGGCGAGCGCGCACCCTCTCGAGCCCCCTGCGACCCCGGCCAACCGTCCACCGCATCCTCATCAGCGTCGTCGAACCTGTCGATCACCAACTCGACCGCGCGATGCCTGCCGACCGCACCAGCAGCGCAGCCAGCTTCGCCGAGGCACAGGCCCTTGGCCTCCCGCTCTCGTCGCACGGCGCGCGGCACGCTCCCTCCATCGCCCGTGGCCTGGTGCGTCTCTCGCTCTCAACCTCCCCTCTCGCCTCGTGCGACCCCGACGCGCTTGCGCGGCCTCGCCGGCCTCTCACACACACCTGCTGACCCTATCGCACCACCCACCTTAGGCCTGCCAGACGTGCAGGAAGCGCAAGCTCAAGTGCGACGGCGCCAAACCGGCGTGCGGTGCCTGTGCGAGGAGCGCCACCATCCACGGCGACGACGTCGACGTCCTCGTGTGCTCGTACGACGACCCGGCCGTCAAGAAGAAGCGCGCGTCCCCGACGAGCGCCGCAAAGGTCGCCGCCCTCGAGGCAGAAGTCGGTGCGCCCCCTTTTCCCTCGTTCCTCCTCCTCGGCTCGTCAACCCCACGCTGACCTTCGACGATCTCCTCAGCCGAGCTCAAAGCCGCCCTGTCGCGTACGCGCCTGACGAGCCCGCCGAGCAGTTTCGCCCCGACCTCTGCCCCGACCGACTTCTCGCCCGTCGTACCGCCGCCTGTCGCCGGCCAACCCTTCCCATATCTCCCCAGTCCCGACTCGTCCTTCCACCCGTTGTCGGCGACCTATCAGCAGCAGCAGCAGCAGCACGTCCCGTACCTGCAGCAGCCGACTGCCGCCGGTCCTTCTCGCCAGAGCCGCCCGGCCACCTCGTCGAGCCGGTCCTGGTGCGGCGGCGTGCCGCCCGACCCGTCGTCTTCCGCCGCCGTCGCCGCCGTCGCGACCGCGACCGAGTACGGCTCGACGAGCGGCGCGTCGCCGCCGTTCACGCCGCCGTCGGACCCGCTCTTCGACCTGTTTTACCCGGGCTGGCCGCGCGACCTGCCCGTGCCCGAGGTCACGCATCGCCTCATCGACGTCTACTTCGCCAAGCCGCACATGTGTCGAGACGTCGTCAACGAGGTCAAGTTCCGCACGGCCATGACGCTGCCGCCGACGAGCGACGGGTTCCCGCACACGGCCCTCATCCACATCATGTGCGCCATCGCCGCCCTCATGGTCCCGGACGACTACCTCAAGGGCGAGACGTACTGGCGGTCGGCGAGCAAGCCCGTCGAGTACCACCTCGCGAGGTGCAAGCTGTCGCTCGGCGCCAACCTCGGCTTCGGCCCGCTCTTCCAGACGGTCCAGGTCCACGGCCTCCTCTGCTACGTCCTGTACACACAGGCGCGATGGGTGCGTCTCTCTCTTTCTGTCTCGCTCCCTTCCTCCCTCGTCCCTCCCTCGTTCTCGTCCTTCCTCGCCCCTCGCTCCTTTCCCTCGTCCCGTCACGCAAGATCCTGACACACTCTCGCCTCTCAGATCGAGCTCTGGCAGACGTGCGGGCAGGCGACGAGGATCAGCACCCCCTTGGGCCTCAACCACGTCCGCGCCGCCAACGACGTGCCGCAGGGCCAGGGCGCGCACTTCAAGGGCCACCTGCTCCGCAAGACGGACGACGACGACGAGCTCAACGAGCGAGCGGCGACCTTCTTCATCTGCCTGTTCGCCGACCGGTGCGCCTCGGCGAGCACGGGCTGGCCCTGCTCGATCTCGGACATCGACATCACGACCGTCATCCCGACGCTCGGCGCGCCTTATCCTCGCGGCGACGCCCTCACGGCCTCGCCCCTGTCAATCCACAACCCGTCGTTCTTCGTCCAGCATCCGCCGCACCTCGTCGGCCCGCAGCAGCTCTACAGCAAGGCCGTCGTCCTCCTCGGCAAGACGTGCCAGTTCAACGCGCGCGCGCCCTACATCGCGACCACGTCAGGCGCCGGCTCGGCGCTCAACGACGCCATCTCGGACCTGCGCTTGACGTACGTCCCCTTCTCGCTCTCGCCTTCCCTCGCGCACCTCGCCGAGCGCTCGAACCCCTCCTCGCCTCGGGCCTCCTCCTGCCGAGCGACCCAGTCCTGACTCTTTCTGCGACCTACAGCGACGCGTTCAAGCGCACCGACTCGATGATTCGCGGCTTCATCGCGTCGATCCCGCGCGGGTACCAGTTCCAGCACCGGCCGCTCGGGAGCGGCGCGGCCGACGTCCTCACCGAGACGCGCCTGTGCCTCGTGCACGGCATGGCGCACGCGAGCATGATCCTCCTGCACGAGCCGTACGTCGCGACGCTCGACGACAACGAGCCGAGCCTGCGCCAGTGCGTCGCGAGCGCCAACGAGATCTTGCGGTCCATCTTCCTCATCCTCGGTGCGCCCCTCTCTCTCTTCCTTCATCTCTCTTCTCGCGTACACGACGACTGACTCGTCGACGTTTCGAATACAGGCACGAGCTACGAGATTGCCCTCTTCTCGCCCTTCATCTCGTACTGCTGGGCCTGCGCCGGACGCACCTTCATCCGCCAGATCGGCATCAAGCAGGTCAAGGGCGTCACGTACGGCGTCGACGAGCTCCGGAGCAACGTCGAGACGATCCTCGTCGTGCTCAAGGCCCACCGTACCCCGCTCGGCGGTGCGTCCCTTCTCTTTCTCTCTCTCGTCCCTCCCTTTTCGCTAGGTTCATCGGTCCTGACTCGCGCCCCGGTCCGTCCTCTGCTCGCAGACAACACGCACGACACACTCAAGCTCCTCCTCGACAGCCCGATGAGCTGTCTGCCGCGCCCGTTCCTCTCGTTCGCCGAGACGGACGGGCGGTTCCTCATGTGCCACGAGCCGCTCTCGCCGACGCCGCTCCACGAGCAGCTCGGCACGGCGGCAGCTGCGGCGGCGACGGCCGCAGGGAACGGCGGGCCGTGGCAACAAGGAGGAGGAGGAGGCGGCGGCATCGTCGAGTCGCCCGACGGCCCGCGCTTCTACGAGCTGTCGAACGGCTCGAGCAGTGTGTCGCCGCCCGGCTCGGGCTTGGGCTCGGCGCCGAGCGTCGTCCACAGCCAAGGCAGTGTCATGGACGCCGACAGTCTGAGCGGATACGGCGGCAGCGGCGGCGGTGGCGAGCCGCCAACGCCGAGCTCGTTCGCGACGCGGTACGGTGGCGAGGGCGGCGGCATGGACGTGCCCGTCGACGCGTACCTGCAGGCCAAGGCGGTCGGTGGCGAGACGGCTTTTACGATGGCGAGCCCGGGCGACTGGTACGCCGGGCAGAACCTGCAGGGGCTCGAGCAACTGCTCCAGCTCCAGTGAGCGGCCGAGGCGCGCTCTCTCTCTCTCTCTCCCTCTCTGTCATCCTTTGTCGTCGTCGTCGTCTTTGTAGCACCTGTTTGTCCCCTGCATGCCGCTTTGTTCTTGGCTCGAGCTCGCAGAGAGACGAGAGGATCCGAGCGACTCTTTCTCAGACTCGGCCCACGACGGCGACGAGCCATGAGTCGCGCAGGAGCAGCTCACGAGTGAGTCTCTCTCGGACGAGGACAGCTCTGCAGAGGAAAGAAACTCGACGCTTTTTCACGCCCCGCCAACGACCCTCTCGCCCTCGCCTGCTCGACCGGGTACTGCTCTAGAGAAAACGGCCGGCCGCTCAGTGGTGGCCGTGGTCGTGCTCGACGCCCTGGAAGTCGGTCTGGTACGCTGCGAGGGGGGCCGAGAGAGGGTGTGTCAGCCGGCGAGGCGGCGAGAGGGAGAGAGAGAGGGAGAGAAAGGGAGAGGGGGACGCACCGCAGCCGCACTCGGGGCAGCGGACGGGCTTGTCCTTGCCGACGGGGAAGAGGATGGTGTCGTGCGAGTCGACGGGGAAGCCGGTGCAGCCGATGATGCGCTCGTGGTCCTGCGCGCGGGCGAGCGTGGTCAGGGGCGGACCTCGTCGACAGGCGAGACGGGCGACGCACGAGGGAGAAGACCATGATGGGGTCGGCGACGGTGCCGAGACGGGGGACCTCGAGGGGCTCGAGCGAGAAGGCCTCCTCGCCCTTGATCTTGTGGAGGAGCTCGAAGCGCTCGAGACCGGTCGCCTGCTCGAGGTCGGTCGGGACCTCGCCGGCCTTGCCGCCCTCGCCTGTGCACGGTGCAAGGCATGAGTGGGAGTCCGGAGAGTGGGGAGGGAGAGATGCCGGGCGAGGTGGGAAGAGGTGCGAAGAGGGGGTGGCTCACCCTGGATGAGAGGCTCCTGGGCCGAGAGGCGCGGGAGGGCCGACGCGAACGAGCGAGCGGCGGGGACCTGGACGCGCGGGAGGGCACGGGGGACGACCGAGCGGATGGCGGTGCGGAACATGGCGGCGAACGAGCTGCGGGTGGGTGGGCGCGCGGGGAGGAGGACGAGGACGGGCGGCAACCGAGGGGGCAGGGAGACGGGGGCAAGTGGGTCAGTCGGGCTCACACGGGCACACACAGGGCGGGACTGGGTGCTCACAGGCTGTACACGCGGCGAGGGTGAACCGAGGGCGAGGCGAGAGGCGACACCGGGGCGGACAGGAGCGACGACACGGCGAGGGGGCAAGGCGACAAGGCGCGTCAGTCACGCTGCTCGTCGACACGACACAGTGCACAGCGACAGACTCACGGGATGGCGCGGTGACGAGAGCGAGAGCCGAGCTACCCTCTCTCCTCCTCCTCCTCGTCGTCTCTGTCCAACCGCCGCTCGCCGGCTAATTCACTCTCGCCTCGCACCTGCCAGTCTTCCCGCTCATGCCATACACCGCTGCAGCTGTCGTCCAAGTCGCCAGCCACCTCGCACACCTGCACGAGGGTCACCTCGACCTCGTAAAGCTCTCGCTCGGCCTCTCGCAAAGCCCGATAAACACCTCGCTCGATTGCTCGACGACGACGCCCTCGTCCGCTACACCGCTGGGCCCATCTCGCCCACGAGCACGCACTGCACCGTCTCGCCCTCGCGCTTCTCGCGCCCCTCGCCCTCGCTCGCCGCAGGCAGCTCGAGCAGGCCGTTGGCCCCGGCGAGGCTCACCGTCCGGCTCGACCGCTGCCCGCCCGTCGACACCGCCTGCAGGGTCCCCGTCGTGCGCGACGGGCGCACCAGGACGCGGTGGTATTCGGGTCGAGCGTCGAGCGCCACCGTCGACGTGAGCTGCGCGCACGGACCGGCTGTCAGTGCCTGCTCCCTCGACGCCGTCGTCCAGCCCCGACAGAGAGAGAGATGGGGACGCACCTTGACGGGCACACGCGGCAGCTCCCACTCGTCCTCGCGCCGACCCTCCATCTTGCGCAGCGCCGGGAGCACAAACAGGTAGAACGTGACGAGCGCCGACGCTGGGTTGCCCGGCAGCGCAAACACGAGCGACGGGTCGCGAGAGGGCGCCATCGGGTGGGCCGGGAGCGTGGCGAACGTCGTCGGCTTGCTGCGAGGGCGCGAGGGCCAGTCAGGGACTCGGCGAGGCGCGAGAGAAGAGAGGGAGAGAGAGAGATCAGAGGACGCACCCAGGCTTCATCGCGACGCGCCCAAAGTGCACCGTGCCGCCGAGCTCGCGCTCGATGCAGGGCTTGAGCAAGTCGCCGACGCCCATGCTCGTCCCGCCCGTCGTGATGACCATGTCGGCCTCCTCGGCGCCCTGCTTGAGCCGCCGCTTCGTGTCGTCCATCGAGTCGCCGCAGATGCCGAGGTCGATCGTCGTAAAGTGCAGGCTCTCGAGGACGCCGAGGAGCGTCGGCCGGTTCGAGTCGACGATGCCGGCGAAGCTCGAGTCGTCGTCGGCCGCCTTGGCCGAGCTGCGCCGGTCCTGCAGGTCGCGCAGCTCGTTGCCGGTCGACAGGACGGCGACGATCGGCCTGCGGTGCGCCTTGACGCCGCGCTGCCCGACGAACGCGAGCGTGCCGAGCTCGCCGCCGACGTCGCTCACGACATCTCCTCGCGCGAGCACCTCGTCGCCCTCGCGCACGTCGCTCCCGGCCGCGCGCACGTTCTCGCCGACGTCGACCTGGGCGAGGAGCCGCACCGTCGCCTCGTCGCCCGTCGCCTCGTCGCGCGACGCGACCTCGGTGTCCTCGACCATGATGCACGCGTCGGTCCCGGGCGGCAGCGGCGCGCCCGTGTTGATGCGGTACACCGAGCCGGGCGGCATCGCGCTCGTCGGGAACGCCGTGACGACCTTGTACTCGCCCGGCGGCGTCGAGGCGGCGGCGACGGCGTAGCCGTCAATGTTGGTCGACGGGCCCGACGGGAGGTCGCCCGCAGCGCGCACGTCGTCGGCGAGGACGTGGCCGATGATCGACCGGTCGACGGGGACCTGCTGCACGGGCGAGACGTACGTGTGCTTGAGATGAGGGCGAGCGCGTCGCGGACCGAGATGAGCGGCCAGGGCGATTGGCGCTGACGAGCGGCGACTGTTGCGAGACAGAGAGAGTCACTAGCTGCTCCGCGTGATAGAGAGGAGAATGAGGAGAGGAAGCGGGACGCACTGGCGACAGAAGGATCTTGCGAGAGCATGGTGCGCGAGCGAGGTGCGCTGTGGCCGCCTCCTCCATGATGATGATGGTGATGATGGTGGTGGTGGTGGTGGTCGTGCCCGTGCGCGCGCTCGCGCACGGCGTCCTTGACGCCCTCGAGGCCGTCCTCGCCTCGCTCGATGCGCTGGTGGACCTGGGTAGTGCGGCTGCGGGCGCCGCCGGCGAGTTCGAGAGCGTGCGGGAGGACGCGCAGGAGGCACTCGAGGTTCTCTTTCGCGGCCTTGGGGCTGCCGGGGAGCGTGACGACGAGGGTGCCGGTGCCGTCGTTGGCGGGCGAGAGGATGACGCCGGCGACGGGGCGAGAGAGGGCGGCAAGTGGGGTGATGGCGAGGGACGAGGTGAGCATGGCCACGACGAGGCCTGGCGCGGGGCGGTCGATGAGAGGGGCGAGCGCCTGTGTGTGCGGGAAGAGTGTCAGTGCGTGCCTCCACAGCAAGGGCGTGCCGGTCGAGCGCACCTCGGGCGTTCCATCTCGCGAGCCAAACCCAGTCCCGCCCGACGTCAAGACGAGGTCGATGCCCTGCGCGACCCATGCCCGCACCGTGTCGACGAGCTCTGCGCTCTCGTCGGCGACGATCTGCTCGGCCTTGACGGTGTAGGCGTCGGTCGGGAGCAGCGAGCGGAGGGTGGGGAGCGACTTGTCGCTCGACGGCGACGCGGCCGCCGTGTCCGAGACGCACAGCAGGCCGACGCTGACTGTGGGTGGCAAGAGTCAGGCTGGACATCCTGGGCGAGCCGACAGGAGCGAGACTCACAAGGCATGGCGATGGCGAGTGAAAGAGCAAGTCCGTCGACGGCGGCCAGCTATCTCTCGCCTCGAGTTGCACTTCTTTCCGCTCTCTGGCCGCTCGCAAGGCTTGCTCGGCCTCTCACGAGAATCACTGGCGAGGCGCACCGAGAGTTTGAGAGCGAGCTGCGCAATACATGCCCTCCCTCGAGCCTCCTCCTCTCTCCAGCTCCCGCGACGCGTCTAAGGCGTGCAGCGGCCGGTCCACCTCGGGTACAGCGAGCACTCGCGCACCGTGTACCTGTTGAGGAGCCACGCGAGGAGGCGCTCGAGGCCGAGGCCGTACCCGCCGTGAGGGCAAGTGCCGTACTTGCGCTGGTCCGTGTACCAGTAACTGCGCGACGAGCGGCGAGTCAGGTCGGCACTGGAGCGGCGAGAGATGAACGGTCGAGAGAGCGTGGACGCACTAGGGGTCGGGCGAGATGCCCTCGGTCTTGTACGCCTCGAGGAGCTCGTCGAGGTCGTTCATGCGCATCGAGCCGCCGACAATCTCGCCGACGTTGGGCATGAGCAGGTCGACCGACTCGGTGAAGCCCTCGTCGCCCGGGATCCGCGACATGTAGAACGATTTCTGTGGGCGCGCAAGAGGGCCAACGCCGGTCAGTCGAGGGGCTCGAGCGAGGGGACAGAAGGGAGAGCGAGAAACGGCGGCGACGCACAATCTCCTTGGGGAAGTTGATGAGGAAGATGGGGCGGCCAATCATGTCGGTCATCTTGCGCTCTGCCGCCTCGGCAATGTCGTCGCCGACGACGTGCTGGCCCTCGACGCCGTCCTCGCCCGGACGCGTGATGTTGTGCTCGTTGAGCCACGCGATCGCCTCGCGGTAGTCCATGCGCATGAAAGGGCGCGACGGCGCCTCGAACTTGCCCTTGCCGCCCCACAGGAAGTCGATGAGCTCCTTGATCTTGGGGTCGGCGAGGACGCGGTCGATGGTTTGGCAGATCTGCGAGGGCTCGACGAGTCAGGACCGGCGGCAACGGGACACAGACGGGAAGAGAGGAGGACGTACAAGTTCCTCGATGTGCTCAAGGAGGTCTTTGAACGTGAGGAAGGCGAGCTCGGCCTCGACGTGGGTGTACTCGCTCAGGTGACGGCGCGTGTGGCTCTTCTCGGCGCGGAACGACTCCTGGACGCAGAAGACGTCGCCTAGGCTCGGCAGGCACGTCTCGAGGTACAGCTGCGAGCTCTGCGTGAGGTACGCCTCCTGGCCGTAGTAGTCGAACCCGAACAGGGTCGAGCCTCCCTCGACCTGGGTCTGGACCATGCACGGCGGCGTCACCTCGAGCAGGCCGAGGTTGATGTACGACTCGCGGAACGACGACAGGAGCGCGGCGCGGACCTTGAGGACCGCCGAGGCGTTCTCGCCGCGGATGACGAGGTGACGAGCGTCGGCGAGCTGCGACGGGTCGGCGTCCTGCGCGCGCGAGTCGGGCTCGAGGTTAGGGCGTCGTCCTCGGGGGAGAGAGCTCGAGACAAGAGTCCAGGCGCACCTCGTTGACCTTGTTGAGGAAGGCCTCGTCGCCGCCGGGAGCCTTGCCGACGACCGAGAACCAGTCGGCGGTGAGCTCGTGGCCGTCCGGCGCCGTCTTGCCCTCGGGAAGCTGGTTGATAACGCCCGTGATTTGGACCGTCGACTCGAGCGTGAGGGTGAGGGCGTCGTAGGTTTGCGACTGGAGGAAAGGACAGGTCAGCTCGGGGACAAGAGGGGGAGGGAGGAACGGGGAGGCGAGAGAGGGACGCACCAGACGGCCCGACAAGACGCACTGCAGGTACCCGGTGCCGTCGCGGAGGACGACAAAGGTCATGCCGCCCTGCTGGCGCAGGCGGTGGACCCACCCAAAGACGCGGACGCGCTTGCCGCGCTGCTCGACGGCCTGGCGGACCTTGATCTTGGTCGAGTCCTCCTTGGGCTCGTCGATGACGATGGCCTTTGCGTCGTCGAGCTTCTTGAGCTCTGCGGCGCGGCGTGCCTCGCCCTCGACCTCCTCGCGCTTGCGGCGCTCCTCGTCCTTGGCGAGCTTGTTGCGGTGCTGCTGGAGGAGCTTGGTCGCCTTCTTCTTGGCCGACGCGGTCGCGGCGGCGTACGAGCCCTGCGCCTCGCCCTCGGCGGCGGCCTGGCGGACGTAGACGTTGATCGTGTCGCTCGCGCGAGAGATGAAGGCGCCGAGGACCGTCTTGAACGGCTTGCCCTGCGAGCCGTCGCCGGCCTGGTCGTCGCCGGCCGCCTCGTCGACGTAGACGGCATCTGTCGCGGGTGATCTCGAGGGTCAGCTTGCCGCCTGAGCGAGAGGAGAGAGGGTCGTCCGAGTCGGGGTCGAAGGAGGACGAGAGCGGGACTTGCCAGACGGCGCGCCGAGCGAGACGGCGGCGGTAGCCTGCGACAGGGCCTCGACGACCTGGTCCTTGGCCTTGGTGAGCAGTTCAGCCATGTTGGGCGAGCTTGTGACGAGAGGAGAGAGCCGCGACCAAGTCAACCCTCTCCCCGGTGCTGCTCGGCCGTCCTGCGCCAGGTCGCACTCCTCATCCTACCGCCTGACAGGCAGAGACGGCTCGCGCACTCTTTCTCTCGCTATTGAGCCGCACAGCGCGAGCAGAGCTTGCGCTTTCCAGCTCGCGGGCGACTCGACGAGGTCGAGGAAACTGGATGCAGGTTGCAGAGGCGACCCGACGGCGCGAACGCGGTCGAGGCAAGAACGGACAGGGTCCGGGAAGGACACCGGGGGACGTGACGAGGAAAAGGACTGCGGGCGGCGTGATGAGGGGTATGGCAAAGGGGTGGACGAAGGGCGAGCTGAAAGTCGAAGGTCGAGAGAGGGAGGACGAGCCAGGCCTGGCGGCGAGGCTCGGTAGGAGGGAAAGATGATGTCGTGGCGGTGCGAGGGAGGTCGTGTGTGTGCGGTGGAGGCGGCGAAGGCGGTTCAGCCGGCCTTGAAGAGGAGCTGCGCGACGAGGGGGAGGTCAGAACGTCTGGGTTCTCGGCGGCAACGCGTAACGAAGCCAAAGACGCACGATGGCGATGTTGCCCATGTACCAGTAGAGGAAGTTGCCGGTCTCTGTGGGCGGGAGACGTCGATCAGGGGTTGAACTCGAGGTCTGGCGCTCACCAGGGGGCCAGGACAGCCACCGGCGAGGCGGTACCGCGGGACCCGAGTGCGTGAAGCATCTCGCTCACCGTGGGTGCAGTACGAGCCAAAGTCTGTGCGCGCGAGATAGCAGTGAGCGACGGCGGCTGTGTATCGGACGGCTCACCGAGGAGGACGAGGACGCACTCTTTCCGACGACGACGTGCCACGTCGGGCCGTAGCGCTTGTCAAAGTCGCGCTTGATGTGGGCAGCGATCTGCGGGTCGAGCGAGTCGGTCAGTGACTGCTGCGGCGAGGGTGCGGAGGAGGCAGGGAGGAGGAGGAGGAGGGACGGCGAGCGAGAGGGGACGCACATCCTTCTCTTCAGCGTCTGCGACCTGCATCGCCTCGGTAGCGACCTGGATCGCGACCTCCTGCATCTGCACGCGGCGCACCGAGGGGGCACGAGGAGAGAGAGGCGAGTCAGTGAGGGGGGCCGGGGCGCGTCACCTCGCACGGCGGCGACAGCGGCGCCGAGCGCAGGGCAAGAGCGGGAGATGCACCTCGTCTGACATGTCGGCCGACTTGATGATGGGCTGCATCCGCCGGACGCGAGAGAGGGTCAACGACCTCGCTCAACCGTCGCAGGGTGATGAGAGGGGCTCGGCGACGACGACACTGAGAGAGAGGGGGTAGGACGCACCTTGGGCGTCTCCGGGGCAGGCGTGCCGTCCATCAGCTGGGGCGCAGACATGCTCGGCGTGTCGTGAGGCGAAGCGGGCGGAGCCAACTCTCCTCGCCGTTGGCAGCTCTCTTTCCTCGCGGGTCTCTGCCTCGAGATGCCTGCGCACTGCCACTCGGTGCCCTTCACGAGGGCCTGGAAGTCGGGACTCGCGCTGCCCCTGGCCCGTGCGCTCTCGCTCGCTCGCTCTCCTTGTGCTCTCGGCTCGACTCGCGAGATTGTTCCGCTGGGGCGACGAGCGGCTCAGCTTTCGTCGTACACGCGAGGAGACGAGTAACGACGTTGCAGGATGGCTCGGAAGTCGTCGCGGTGAGAAGTGACGGCGAGAAGAACGAGGGAGAACTAGGACGAGGGGCGTGAAAGGACGAAGAGGGAGACGGCGCTAGATAATGTCGAAGCGAGTCGGCGAGTCGGTCAAGTGGGCGTTCATAGTGGGTACAAGGATGCGGCTGCGGAGGAAGGAGAGGAGGGAGGGAAACAGGGCGAGGGTGCGAGTGCGGGAAGAGGACAAAGCGTTGGTCGCTGCGCCGTGATGGCGAGGTCGCCACGCGAATGGCGGGACGGCGAGGTACATGCGCTGCGGGTGTGTGCTGTACAGGCGAGCCGGGATGTGCGAGTCGAGGGCGAGGTTGGTGGTGGAAGGAGGAAGGGAACGCTCAAGGCGACGACGGCCGTCGAGGCGTTGGGCGCGACGGCCCGGCCTGCGTATTGGTGGCAGTGGCGACCTCGGCGAGTGCGTCGAGCTCATTAAAGTCGACCGGGAACGGGTTCGAGCTGGGCGGCGGCGGGGCGAGCTCGCCAACTTGCGGGAGGAGGAGCGGCGGGATGTACATCGGGACGCCTTGCTCATGCAGGTGCATCGAGAGCTCGGTGACGACTTCTGTAGACGTACGAGAGGGTATGTCAGGAGGGAAGAACGCGACTGGAGAAGGGCTCGAGCGCACCAGAAGGAGGACGGCCAGGGTAGTTCTGCCAGTCGACGACGTCGAACTTGCTCGTGACGACGGCGGCGAGCTTGGGCGACTTGGGCCGACGCCTGCGAGATGGGCAAGGGTTAGTCAAGTCACTGTAGGGAAAAGAGAGAGTGAGAATCAGAGGGAGAAGAGGACGCACGCTTCGCCGAGCCGGAACTCGAGCTTGTAGGTGCCCTGGGTCCGCACGCTCACGTCCTCAAACACGAACACCGACTTCTGCCCGCCCTCGAGGTCCTCGACTCGTCGCGGCGTGCGCACGAGCTGGCCGATGAGCGCGCTGAACTCCTCGGCGACGCCGTCCTCGGTCGGGGCCTGAGCGCCTGCGGGCGCGGCAATCTCGACGGGCGAAATGCCGTCTTCTTGGCGCAGCGAGCACGAGCAGAACAGGTACGGGAGCTCGACGTCGCTGTTGAGCGAGAGGGTGGACGAGGGAGACAGAACAATGCGAGTCAGTCTCGAATTTGCGGCCGGAAGGGGACGAGGAGAGATTCGGACGCACGTGCGCTGACCCGACGGGTCGTTGACGATGACCTCGACGACCGGCGCCGGGACGATAGGTAACTGCGAGTCAGGAAAGAAGAGTCAGGGCGTGTGCGGACCCGGCTTGAGAACGAGAGAAGGCGCACCCGCCCGAGCGTGTTCTTGCCGAGCCCGGCCTCGGCGCCGATTTGCGGTTGCTGCAAGACGACGAGCTCGAACGACCTGCACACGCAGAGGTCAGTACATGTGGCAGAGACGGGGGGAGAGCAGGGACGCACCTCTCGCCCTCGACAGCTGCCGCCTCGCCCGTCCTCGCCTCCTCTCGACCCGGCTCCTCGGCAGTGTCCTCCTCCCGCACGCGCTCAATGCGGGACGCTCGTCGCACCGCCTCTGGCGACTCTTGTCGCTGCGCGTCGGCGGACGGGTACGGGTCGAGCGACGCCCGCCTCGAGCTGCGCCGAACTTGACCTTGTCGCGGTGTTCGCCCGAGCCCGATGCCGAGCGCGGCGGCGCTCGACCCTGGACCGAGCGACGACGAGATGAGGGGAGGGTGGACGGGCCGGGCGGAGCTCGAGGACGACGGGTCGGCTGGTGCGGGCGAGTCGTCGGCGGCGGAGGGAGCCGCGGCGTCGGGGGCGGCGGCGAGAGAGCTCGCCCGGGACGCTCGTCGCGGCTGTGGAGGTGGAGCTGGCGCAGACGGGGATGGATCCCGTCCGCTTCTCGACGGCCGTCGTCGGGGCATGTCGAGGTGTCGAGCGACGAGAGGGAAAGTCGAGAGAGGGGGAGAAAGTCGGCGGGCGAGAGGCCCCTGCTTCGCTCGATCGAGCTGACGCCACGAGGAGATGTCAGCGGTCGGTTCGTCGGAGGAACGAGGGGAAAGACGGACGCACGCGACTGAGGAGGCTCGAGGTGGACGTACGTCGGCGGCGTCGGGTTCGTCTTGAGCGGCCGCGGACCGGGGCAGCGATCGCGTTCGAGCCTGGCCTGCGCCGTCGAGTACGTTCGACTCGCGACGAGCTGCTGGAAGGCGCCGCTCGAGTCGGTAGGGCGAGAGGCGAGGGCGAAAGGGTCGCGACGGCGACGAGGGCGGCGAGGCGGGAGCGTGCGCGGCGGCGAGCTGCAGTCACGCGAACGAGCCGAGCGAGTGGCGAGCAGGAGCAGAGAGAGAAGCCCGTCGAGCGTACGGCGAGAGCAGCAATGCCGTGCGTCCGGGAGAGTCACCCCCGCTCGACAAGGCACGGCCGACCTCGCGTCGACGGCCCCCGGACCCGTCGCACTGCCGCAGTGGATCGCCTTCCGAATCTCAACCCATGGCGTGCTCTCGAAATCGACGCAGAACACGCCCAGCTCGCGCCCTGAATGGCGTCTGCAGACCTGCCAGGGCTGGAAAGCAGTCCGCTCGACGAGAACGAGGGCGACGCCTCGTCCCACGCCCCGCTCGCACCGCCCGCTCGTCGTCCTTCTCGAGCCCTCGAGGCCCGGACAAAGCTGCGCCGCCGGTGTCGCCAAGCCCGAGCCGGCACGAAGCTGCGCTCGTCGCCGTCGGAGAAACGCTCCCTCGAGGGGAAGGAATGAGCGCGGCGGTTAGGGGTCGAGCCGGAAGCGATGATGCGGAGACGAGGAGCCGAATTGATCGTCGTCATGCACGGTGAAGCAGGCACGGCGTCGGGCCCGAAGCGAGGGAGGCAGGGAGGGAGAGAGGCGAGGGAGAGGGAGGAGGAAGAGAGCAGAGAGGCGTTCGCGCGCTCGTTCGAGCTCGACAGCTCGCCCGCAGTCACCTGGCTAGCGCGGTACAGAGTTCAGCGGTCCCGTCTCGCGTGCACAAGCGATCCGTCAAGCTAAAAAGACGCTAGCGTCGAGGGCTCGCTGGCGGTTGGTCGGAAGCCGAACGACGAGCCGCCACTTGTTGCGGAAGGCGCTCTCGCGCGAGACAGAGTGCCGCCGCCGCACTCGTTCCTCGCACTCAGGCAGAGACAGCCGGCAACAGGCCTGTGACGACACCCGAGCGTCGTCAGGGCGGCCCTCGCTTCGAGGTGGCACTCGATCGCAGGGCCGAGCGGGCCTTCTCTCGCTCCTCGTGGCGTCGCTCGAGCGACGACGCAACCGGCGCACGTTGCTCTCAGTTCCACGGCTCGTCGACGACAAGGCGAGCGTCTCGATCCGCCGCGACGAGCAGGCGCGAAAGGCACGCGACGAGGGAAGAGGGGAAACGTCTCTATCACAAACGGCCTCGCGCCGGCGCTACTGGACACACACACGCCGTCCTCCGACTCACAGCAGCTGCACCTTGACCCACGACCACCCTGCGGCGGCCGCCGTGAGGATGCCCGACGTGACGACCATGGGCTTGACACCGGCTGCGCGAGAGACGACTTGAGAAGGTCAGTTTTCGGCTCGACGACGACGGCGAGCGCGCAAGGGAGAAGAACGTGACGGGACGGACCGGTCGAGCGCCAGATGGCGCCGGTAGCGGCAGCGGCGGCCATCGAGCCGTACACGTCGTGGTGGTGCCCCCGGTACACGTCGATTGTCGAGTTGATGCCGTTGTAGATGAGGGCTGCGGGAGGCACGAGAAAGAGTCAGTACAGGCTCGCGTGATCCCCCTCAAGTCGACTGAGAGAGAGAGAGACCGAGACGCACCGAGCACGCCGGCCGAGTTGCCCATGGCGGTCCCCCTCCGCGTGACCTGGTTCAGGATGTTGTTCCACCGCAGCCGGCCCGAGATGCGCGCCGCCTGCGCCGCACTCGTCGTCGACGCCGCCCCCGCCGCCTGCTTGGCCCCCTCGGTCACCTGCTTGGCTGCGTCCTTGACGAACGCGGTCGCCTGCGCGCCGACGGCCGACGCGGCTGGTGCGGCGCCAGCTCCTGCGGCGGCGGCCGAGGGGGCAGCGCCGGCGGTGCCGGCTGCTGCTGCGGCGAGCGGTGCGGCGGTCGAGACGGAGCGAGGTGCGGCGAGCGGGCGACGAAGGCCCTCCCAGAAGCCCCAGGCGCCGCCGAGTCCGAGACCTGCGAGATGGTGCGAGCGTTCGTCAGTCGAGGAGCGCCCGAGACGCTGCGAGAGAGGAGGGGACGGACCTGCGAGGTAGGTGGAGCCGGTGCCGTAGCACAGCTCGTCGCCCCAGCCGCGGTTGGGCAGGACCGTCTTGCCACCGGCGACGGCCGAGAGCTTGTCGTCCTCGAGGAGGAGGTAGTCGAGGTCCTTGTTGTCGACGAGGCCGGCGAGCGGGTGGAAGCTGGCCGGGTCGAGCTGGGTGCCGCCGAGGATGGACGAGGCGGTCGGGGCCTGGGCGAGAGGGGACGAGGATGCGCCCGGGGTGGTGAAGCGGTGCTGGCCGAGGATGTCGTCCGTGTTGGGCGAGGTCGAGGCCATCTTGTCGGTGCGGTCAGGCGCAGGCAGGGTGCGACAGGCGAGGCGGTGTGCGGCTTGCGATGAAGGACGAGGAGGGTTCTGGACGAGGAGAGATCGAGACGGGGTCAGTCGAGGTGCGGGGACAGGGACTGGTCCAGGGTGCTCGAGCAGGGTCGTGCGAGCTGCACACAAGCCACCCGAGTCGACCGCGAGGCCGTGTTGGCGTGATGCGAGGACCGAGAGGATTCGAGCGGTGCTGGTGGCTGCCGAACTGACGCCTCGCCCTCGCCACCTGGTTCGAGCTCGACAAGCGCGCTCCTGGACGGTGAGAGAGGGACTCACGGTGTACAAACAAGCACGCGCGGAGCTGTGGTGGCGGGCGAGGACGGGTCGGGGGAAGAAGTGCGGCGAGCTTCGCTGTTCGGCCTCTCATCAGCTCGCACTCTCGACTGTCGCCCTCCTGCTGCGATAGAGTGCCTGCAGGACCGCTCAAAGGCCCCGTAAGCCGCCATGGCCTCGGCAGTCGCGTCCACCTCGACCGCCCTCGTCTCGTCGTCGTCGTCGTCCTCCTCCCCGGCCCGACCCCGCACCCGCACCTTGCGCCTCAAGGCCTCGGACGACGACAGCGACTACCGCCCCGCCCTGCACCACGACACCGCCGACGACGACTCGGCCGCCTCAGACGACGACGACGACGACGACGACCCGTCCGTCCAGCTCGACAGCGACGACCTCGGCACCGACGACGGCGACTCGAACCCGCGCAAGCGGCGCTACAAGTGCGCGTGGCCCAGCTGCGGCCGCTCCTACGTCCGCCCTGTCCGCCTCGAGGAGCACGAGAGGAGCCACACGGGCGAGGTGCGCCCTCGCTTCCCCTCGTCCTCCCTCCTCCCTCCTCTCACTGACTCCCTCCTCCTGTCCCACAGCGTCCCTTTGCCTGTCCCGACTGCGACGCCACCTTTGCGCGCGACAGCCACCTCAAGGCCCACGTCCGCACCCACGCGCCCGAGTCGGACAAGCCGTTCGCCTGCTCCGAGGACGGCTGCGACAAGCGCTTCTGGACCGCCCAGCACCTCAAGGGTCACGTCGACGGCGTCCACCTCGGTCGCACAGACGCCGCCAAGACGTACGACGTGCGTCGCCGATCTCTCAGCCCCCTCGTCCTCGCGCCCGTCCACGCTCTGACCCCCTCGTCTCGCTCGCAGTGCTCGCACTGCGGCAGGGTCTTTCGCAAGCACCGCCTCCTCAACGAGCACCTCACCGTCGCCCACGGCGTCCCTGCCGTCAAGCCGCTCGCGTGCCCTCATCCTGATTGCGGCAAGACGTTCCAGCAGAAGCACCACCTCAAGAGCCACGAGAAGACGCATGACCGCGCGTCGCAGCTCTCTCCCTCTCTTCCTCTCCTCCTCTCTCAGGTGCTGACGTGTTCTCTCGGCCCACAGTGTCTCGCTACGCCTGCCTCCACCCCGACTGCGCCTCGAAGCCGTTCGCTGAGCGCCAGTTCGGCGTCTGGTCCGCCCTCCAGAAGCACACCAAGGCGGCGCACCCGCCGCGGTGCCACTACCCGCAGTGCGCCGGCAAGACGTTCACGACGACCTTCGGCTTGCGCACGCACCTCAAGCTGCACGCGGCCGACGAGGAGGCCGGCGTCGAGGGCCTGCCCGAGGGCCGGCAGCGCCGCAGCCGCAAGCGGACGAGCGCGAGGGGCGGCCGTCGCAGGCGGCGCGACAAGGGCAAGGGCAAGGAGAGGAGCGAGGCCGACGAGCGAGGGCTGGACGGCGGGTCGGGCTCGGAGGGAGGGAGCGAGTGGGAGGACCGGCAGGAGGCCGAGCGCGACGAGCGCATGCGCGAGGACTTTCGCCACGGCGGCAAGAAGAAGCGCAAGGTTCTCGAGGAGGCGGTACGTCTCTCTCTCTCTCTCTTTCTCGCTCGAGCGCGCTCTGCGGCGCAACAGGGCTCACCTCGTCCTCGCGCTCGCAGCACGGCTTCCCTCCCATCCCTGCCTCGACCGCCTCGCCCGCCTCGACCTTCTACCGCGACCTCGTCAGCGGCGACCACTATGCCCACGCGGCCAACCCGTCTGCCTCGGCCGGCCAGCCGCAGCGCAAGTCGGCGCCCGCCTCGCGCGCGACCTCGGTCGGCGGCGGCAAGGCCGACGACCGCCCTCGGCCGGGCCTCCTCAACGTCCCGCGCCAGTTCGCGTGCCCGTTCCCGGCCATCCTCGCGCTCCCGTTCGACAGCGTCAAGGGCGGCAAGCCGAGCCGCAGCGAGGCCGCCGCCGCTGCTGCCGCCGTCGAGGTCGACGACGAGGACGAGGCCGAGGGGACGTGCCGGTTCTGGTTCAAGCGCGTGTACGACGTCGAGCGGCACTTGAGGAGCCAGCACGGCATCGAGATGGTCGGTGGGAGGGACACGCTCGACACGTGGTTCGAGGCGCAGAGGGAGGCGCACGAGGCGCCTGACGAGCGGTGACGAGCCGGTCGTCGTCGAGGAGGCCCGCTGTTTCTTTCGTACTCTGTTGCTTGACATGCACATCCAGCTTTCCTCTCTCACTCTCGCACTCGGACACGGAGAGAGACTCAAAGACTGCGACTTTCACGAGGCGCGAGAGCTCTACACGGACCTCTTGGCCGGCTTCTCGACGAGGACGCCGCTCCCCTCGATCGAGCCGCCGACGTGCAGCACGTCGCCCTCGCCCTTGGCGACGACGGGGGCCTGAGCGTCCTCCTCGTGCTCGGCGACCTGAGCGTACGACTCGTGCGCCTCGTCGCCGACGGGCGCGGCCTTCTCAATGGCGCTCGCGCCCTTCTTCGACACCTTCTGCTCGGCCTTGCCCTGCTTCTTGTCGGCCGAGTGACGAGATGCGCGAGGCGGAGCGGCGGCGGCGTCGGCAGCGACCTGCGACAGGAGGCGAACGATGGCGTCGAGCCCAAAGTTGAACTTGCTCTCGGGCCCGGTCGCCTTGGTGCGCCACACGGTCGGAACGCTCTGTGGACGAAGTAGCGCTGTCAGTAGGCGCTCTTGAAAATGGCGAGAGGGCTCGGACGCACCCAGTCGTGCAGGATCCAGTCGTGCGCGCCGAACTTTTTGAAGACCTTGGTCGGCGCGACGCCGGCCTGCAAACGGGCAAAATTGTCAGAGACGGCTTGCGCGACACGCTTGATGCCTGACGGGGAAGAGAGAGAAGAGAGACGCACCTTCTGGAGGCGCTGGAAGAACTCGTCGTCGTCGTCGGCAAAGATCTCCTTGCCGCCTGCCCGGGGCGAGTGTGTCAGCTCTTCGCCCTCGGCCTCGAGAGAGAGAAGGGGAGAGAGAGAGAGAAAGGAGGACGCACCCCAAGTCACGACCGTCTTGCCGCCGCCGGGCATGGCCTCCTTCCACCAGCTCGCGTCGCGCTGCACGACCGGGTTGACGTACGGCGAGCGGAACAGCTCGATGCCCTCGCAGTGGGCCCAGCCGTGCAGCGTGTGGAGCTTCTCGCCGTCGACAGGCGGGTGCGCACGCGGGAACTTGAACTGGTACAGCGGGTTGAGCGACGGCTCGGGGAACCGGTACGACGGCGGCGGCGTGACGCCGAGGTAGTCGCACGCAGCCCGGAACCCGCCGCCGAGCTCGATGAAGTCGTGAGGCGTGTTGGCGAACGACGAGGCCGAGCGAGACGCGAGGTTGACGAACGGCGAGATGATGAGGGCGCCCTGCTCGACCGCAAAAGAGGGGTCAGTGCGTCGTCTCGGCTGCGAATTCCGGACGCAGGAGAACTCACGCCGGGACGCCCAGGAGTAGGTCCGAGCTCCTCGGGCACGTAGATCTCCTTGGCCGGGCGAGCGAGGTGCAGGAGGAACGCCGTCGCGAGGTTGCCGCCCGCCGAGTCGCCGCCGACGACAATCTTGTCCTCGCTGATGCCGAGCGTGTTGACGAGGTAGTGGTACCCAGCGAGCGTCTCGATGAGCTGCGAGGGGTACTTGTACTCGGGAGCGAGGCCTGTTTCGTCGGCGAGAGAAAGGAGAGAAGGAAGGTCAGGTCGGGGGAACAGGCGAGAACCGGCACAAGAGCTGGGACGCACGATAGTCGAGGCAGAAGACCGAGGCTTGGACACTCTGCTTGAGGTTGAGCGCCTTCATGGCGTGCAGGAGGATGTCCTGGGCGTTTGAGCCCGTGTCGAGCCTGCACGAGGAGAGCTGGGTCAGTCACGGTCCGCGCGTCGAGCGAGGGCGCCGAGAGGACGCACACAAATCCGCCGCCGTGGATGAAGTACAGGACGACCTGGTCCTCGGCACGTCGAGTGCCCGGGAGCGCGATCCAGCGGCCGGCCGTGCCGTTGACCTCGACCTTTGTGACCCAGTCGCGCGCACCCTTGAAGTAAGGGCCGCCGTGCACGAGGTTGTACGAGCGGTCGCGGTTGAAGATGATGCGCGACTGGGCGACGTGTAGGCGGCTGAGGATGAACTGGGCGAGCTTGACGACGAAATCGGCGAGGGCAGGGCGGCCGAGGACGCGGACAGAGCGCGAGCGCCAGCGCAGGACGGTGTGGGCCAAGATGACGCGGACGGGGAGGATGATGACTGTGGGTGCCAAGGGAGGGTCAGCCGTGCGAGGGATTCGAGAGGAGCGAGAGGGAGGAGGACGCACACATGTGGGGGAGGACGACGGCGAGGAAGTGGAGGACGCGCCGGAGGGTGAGCGCCTGGTCCGGCGCGGCGCGCACGAGGTCGAGGCGGATCTTGCGGTCCTGCTGAGCTGGAGCAGCCATGCTAAGGTGGTGGTGGGAGAGAGAGAGAGCTGGCGGCAACCTCGAGCGGGCGAGCTGCAGCTCGATCGGTCCGCTCGGCGACGTTCGCTGCTTGAGCCGGACACTGCTCACGAGCGACGGCCTCTGCGACTGCTCAGGCTCGTCGCCCAGGGCGATGGCCAGCGACACGCTTGCTCGACGCGCCCTGCGCTCGACCACGCCTCGGACTCTGCGCGGCGCGACGAACCTTTCTCGCTCCCCGTCCGCATACCTCCCCTGTCCGTCCGTGGCTCGTGCACGCACAGGAGTCTCCGGGCTCGGTGTCGCCATTCAGTGCTGCCGCCCGTGCACAAAAGTTCCGGGGCGTTCGCCCGACAGGAGGTGCCGTCGGTCCACGGACGAGGCGATGATGGCTCGCTCGTCGACGAGGCTCGTACCCGGCTCGTGCTTGGTTCTGCTTCTGCTCGTCGTCTGCGCAGACTTGTGTCTCCGCGGCCTGCTTCTGCCCTCGCACGCGACGGACCGCGCTCGACGCCGGCTCGCACCCGACCTCTCTCGCCTTCCTCCCGCACCGTCCGACGAGGCCCCGGCACCTTCGATCGCCGTCCGCACCGCACCGCCACAAGCAGCCTACTCGCACACCCGCCCACCCCCACCCGCCGACCGCCATGAGCAACGAGCAGCCTCCTGTCGTCGCCGCCGAGCCACCACCGCTCGAGCGCTTCGAGGCGTCCGGGCCTGCGCACCCGTCGCCGCCGATTCGCGCCGGGTTCGCCCCTCCTCCTCCTCGAGCCACCTCGCCGAGATCTCGCGCTCCGTCTGCGACGTCCAGCATCGACTCGTCTCGCGCGTCCTCCTCCTTCTCAGCCACGCGAGGGCAGTCGCATTCGAGCGCACCTGACACTCGTCTTCCTCCAGATCTTCCTGCCGCGCAACTCAAGCCCGCACAGCATGGCGACGGCTTCCTCGTGGACGTGCCCGGAACCGGGCAGTGGCTCGTCAGCTGGGCCGAGCTGGTCGACCTCCTCATGTCGCGTGCGTCCCCCTCCCTCTCTCCCTCTCGAGCCGTCCCTCCTACACGCGATTCGACACTGACTCTGTCTCTCTTCCCACCAGCTCGGACGCACGAGACGCTCTCGCCCAACGGCCTCATCGGCGAGATGATCCGCTTCGTGCACGGTGCGCTTCGAACTCTCACCTCGACTCGACTCGAGGCCCTCTCTGAGCAAGTTGACTGACCTCTCTCTATGATACGCAGACCGCCTCGAGAAGGCCAACGCCCTGCCTGAATCGTCTCGCCCGTCGACCGCCGTCAACAACCTCGGCGCCAACCTGAACGGCCTCTCGTTCGGCGGCGGCGGCGAGTCGTCGAGCGGCGCCCACTCGTTCCACGCGCCGGTGACCAGCTCCGGCTACGCCCCAGCTCCCGTCAGCAGCTACTACGGCGAGGACGCGACGGCGCACCCCGAGTCGAGCCGTCACGCGACGGTCGCGCCCCTCCAGACGGTCGCGCCCTACTTTCTCGCGCCGATCAACACCGAGCTGCCCCTCCCGCCGACCAGCTACGCCGGTGGCGCCCAGCCGACGCCGACCAACTCGTCGACGGCGCTCGCGCAGCACCCGTCGGTCCACGGCCGCCAGGCGTTCGCGTACCGGTCGGGCAGCCCGGCCCCCTCGCTGTCCGGCCGCAGCGACTCGGCCGCCTCGTCTCGCCTGCACCACCGCCAGACGTCGGCCCCGTACCCTCGCCCGTCCTACCTGCACTCGTCGTCGTCGTACACCGACTACTCGAGCGCCGGCGGCGAGTCGTTTTACACCGACTGCGGCGGGCCCGACGACTGCAACATGTACGACGAGCAAGAGCCCGGTACGGCGCTCCCGTCCGAGGTGACGGGCTATCGCGCGACGCTGCCCAAGGTCAAGGGGCCTCGACCGCCGTCTCGGGCCCTCAACGGCGAGACCGAGACGTACATCTGGAACGAGCGCAAGGGCTCGCTGTCGCGGGTCCCGCCTGGCGTCGACGCGCACGAGCTCGCGAGCTACTCGGTCGGCGGCAGCGAGGTCCTCGTCTTCCCGCCGGGCACGTACCACAAGGTCGTCGTCGACGGCCTCGAGGTCCTCCCGTGCGACTCGCGCCAGCGCGTCAACGCCTTCCTGCGTGGCCAGTTGTGCGTCGAAGGGTGCGGCTTCCGGTTCGAGGGCAAGCGGCCGAGCGTCATCCGCGCGCACGTCGTCCACTGCAAGAGCCGCGCGTCGACGCTCCGGGTGGACCCGCTCAAGCGCTTCTGCCAGCTCCAGCTCGACGCCCACACGCTCGACACCCGCATGTGCGTCCTCTCTCTCCCTCTCTCTGCGTCTTCCGTCCTGTGCGACGTGCCCTGACGACGATTGGCCGCCCTGCAGGCGCAACACGCACAAGGTGCCCATCCCGGACCCTCGCAAGCCGCACGGCTTCGAGCGTGGCGACGACCAGTCGGACAGCCGCAGCATCCTGAGCTTCGAGAGCGTCGACTCGCACGGCGGCTACTCGGCGTCGTCGTCGCAGGGCTCGATCTACGAGCAGGGCGGACAGGTGCGCTCGACCCTCTCTTTCCCTTCCTCGACTCGCTCTCTCTCTCTCGGTCGTCGCCTGACACTTGCCTTTGGACAGCACGGTCACGGGTCGAAAGGGCAAGAGTGGGAGCCGCAGTACGCGTCGACCAAGCGCGATGAGTTCAACGAGTCGTCGGCGGCGTCGGTCCTCTCGGCCGGCTTCACGCCCTCGTCGTCGCAGGCTCTCGAGGGCCAGCATCAGCAGCGAGTGCGTCCCGTCTTTCTCTCTCTCTCTGTGGCCCATGTACGTCTGGGCTGGCGCTCACCCTTCTCACAGCGCCCGCAGCCGCAGGAGCAGTGGCTCGAGTCGTACGGCCTGTCGGTCCCGACGGGCGGCTCAGCGTCGGCTGCCTCGTCTCGCACGCCTTCTGAGCAGCGCCAGCCGGTCTCGGCGCGCTCGAGTGCGGTGCGCACGGCGGCGCCGGCGCCGCCGAACAAGCCGCGGCCGTCGTCCTTCCTCGAGCTCTGAACCTCGACGCCCTCTTTTCTCTTTCGCGCCACTCTTTTGTCGATACCCTTGTGCAGCTCTCTCTGTCCTCGACTGCAATGTCTACGCAGGCGCAGCTTTCGACTCGAGAGCGAGAGCGCGCCGCGGTTACCGTTGACTTTGCTCCTGAAAAGAGTGCGACCGGAGATTGCGGACGGGCGGGTTTTGATCGACTTGGCGGTTTGAGTCGAGGCTCGAAAGCCGGCCGTCACAAGCCGAGAGCGTCGATTCGCTCCGGGGTGATTCGTGCTCGCCGCGCTCTCTCCCTCCTCTCGCTCCTCACCAGAACGATCATGCAGCGCGCCACCGTCTCTGCCCTCCGCCAGGCTGCCCGCCAGGCCACGCCCAAGGCCGCCCGCGCCTACTCGCTCCTCACGGCCGCCCGTGCCCTCCCCAAGGCTCCGTCGGTGCGTCGCCGTCTCGCTCTCGCTCCTCTCCTCGGCGCTCCAGGGACTGATCGGCCGGTTCAATCTGTGCAGGCGACCCGTGGCGTCAAGACTCTCGACTTTGCCGGCACCAAGGAGACCGTCTACGAGCGCTCGGGTGCGTCGGAGTCAACCCCCTCTCTCCCCACTCCAGCAATTTTTTGGCCGCCGTCTCGCCGCGCACTTGGAGGGCAGTGTCGGCGCGGACGAGCTGGCGACGAGGCGCATCGAGTGGGCCGTCCAGGCGGGCAGGGCCGATGTTGCGTGGGCGAGCGAGGATACGCCGACGCGGCGAAAGCGCAGCTGGAGGAGATGAGGCGGCCGCGGCACGATAGCGCCTCGCGCTCTTTGACGGTCGTCGACCGCCACGGGGCTGCATCGGTGGGCATGGGAGCCGGCGAGCTGAGCGCGGGCGTCGCAGCTGGTCGAGCACGGCGAGCGTTTGTGCCGCCAAGAGGACGACGAACCTGACCTTCTCAACTCGCGCCCGCAGACTGGCCGCTCCCCAAGCTCCAGGAGTACTTCAAGAACGACACGCTCGCCCTCATCGGCTACGGCTCGCAGGGCCACGGCCAGGGCCTCAACGCTCGCGACAACGGCATCAATGTCATCGTCGGTGTCCGCGAGGGCGGCGAGTCGTGGAAGCAGGCGCAGGAGGACGGCTGGGTGCGTCCCACCTCTCTCTCTCTATCATGTCGTCCTGCACCCTCAAAGGCCTCGAGAGCTGACCGAGACGTGCGTCGTCGTCCGCGCAGGTTCCCGGCAAGACCCTCTTCCCCATCGAGGAGGCCATCGCCAAGGGCACCATCATCATGAACCTCCTGTCGGACGCGGCCCAGTCGCAGACATGGAAGGACATCAAGCCCCTCATCGTGCGTCCCCCTTGCCCTCGTCGTCGGCGTGCGCCCCGAGCGAGCGAGCCCGCACTGACCTCCTTCCTCCCGCCTCCCTCCCGCCTCCCACCTACAGACCAAGGACAAGACCCTCTACTTCTCGCACGGCTTCTCGCTCGTGTACGCCAAGGACACCGGCGTCACCGCCCCCGAGGGCATCGACGTCATCCTCTGCGCGCCCAAGGGCTCGGGCCGCACGGTCCGCACCCTCTTCAAGGAGGGCCGCGGCATCAACGCGTCGATCGCTGTCTGGCAGGACGCCACCGGCAAGGCCATGGAGAAGGCTCGCGCCCTCGCCGTCGCCGTCGGCACCGGCTACGCGTACGAGACGACGTTCGAGAAGGAGGTCTACTCGGACCTCTACGGCGAGCGCGGTGTCCTCATGGGCGGCATCCAGGGCATGTTCCTCGCCCAGTACAAGGTCCTCCGCGAGAACGGCCACTCGCCGTCCGAGGCGTTCAACGAGACCGTCGAGGAGGCGACCCAGTCGCTCTTCCCCCTCATTGGCCAGTACGGCATGGACTACATGTACAACGGTGCGTCCACTCTCTCCTGTCCTTCTTGTGGACGCGGAAGGCGTGCACGTCGGTCAGGAGGAACGACCCTGACGAACTCGTCGCCCTTCCTTGCCTCCTTCCTCCCTTTCCCCTCCCACTTTCCTTCTTCGTCCGGCCTGTACCTCTCGCAGCCTGCTCCACGACTGCTCGCCGTGGTGCCCTCGACTGGGCCCCCATCTTCGAGGCCGCCAACAAGCCGGTGTTCGAGAAGCTCTACGCCTCGGTCCGCGACGGCTCGGAGACGCGCCGCTCGCTCGAGTTCAACGGCCAGCCGAACTACCGCGAGGCCTTTGCCAAGGAGACGCAGGAGATCGACAACCAGTGCGTCCGTGTGCTGCCTTTCTCTCGGCGAACGCGAGCTCACCAAGTTTGCCCCCTTCCCCCTCCTCCTTCCCTCCCTCTCGTCCTCCCTCCTCCCGCTCTTCTTCTCGCCCTTCCTCGGCCGCTCACAGGGAGATCTGGCTTGCGGGCAAGACGGTGCGCAAGCTGAGGCCGGACTACAAGGGCGACGCGTGAGAGACTCTGCGCCGACCGCTCCCTCGCCCGGGCCTCTCCCCCCCCTCTGTCGTCCCCCTCCCTGTAGTTCTTCCCCCCTTTGCTGTTACTTTGACGCTCACAGAGCCTCTGCGTCCGCTGCACTGCCAAAAGGTGTCGTGGGCGCGCTCTTGAGAGAGTTCGAGAGCGAAACGTCGAGAGCCCGAGTGCGGTCGAGCCCCTTCCTCGCGCTGCGAACGTCGTCGCTCGGCCCTCGCACGTAGCACATGTACGCTCTCGATGCTGTGTGAGCTCGTCGAGGCACCAGGGAGACGCGGCAACGCCCGTTTCGCCGCTCGCTCGACCCGCACCTCCTCACTTGCGAAGGTCGTGCGAGGTCAAGGCTGCGTACAGCTACGCAACGACACTCTCGCCGTATTGAAGCAGCTCACGGGGAGATAGGCTTGCGGGCAAGACGGTGCGCAAGCTGAGGCCGGACTACAAGGGCGACGCGTGAGAGACTCTGCGCCGACCGCTCCCTCGCCCGGGCCTCTCCCCCCCCTCTGTCGTCCCCCTCCCTGTAGTTCTTCCCCCCTTTGCTGTTACTTTGACGCTCACAGAGCCTCTGCGTCCGCTGCACTGCCAAAAGGTGTCGTGGGCGCGCTCTTGAGAGAGTTCGAGAGCGAAACGTCGAGAGCCCGAGTGCGGTCGAGCCCCTTCCTCGCGCTGCGAACGTCGTCGCTCGGCCCTCGCACGCAGCACATGTACGCTCTCGATGCTGTGTGAGCTGGTCGAGGCACCAGGGAGACGCGGCAACGCCCGTTTCGCCGCTCGCTCGACCCGCACCTCCTCACTTGCGAAGGTGGCTCGCTCCTTTCCGAATTCTCTCGACCGGCTGCCCAACAGATGGAATAAAAACACTCGTATGCAGAGCACGTCGCTAGCAAAAGTATCTCGATCCACCGCCTGCCCCGACGTTCCTCACCAACGGCGCTGCAGGACGCCGTGCAGGCGCTTTTCCGCCTCCCACCTGTCCTCCTTGGCCCACTCGACCCGGATCCCGCGCCTGCAGCACTCGTCGAGGAGCTCGCGGGCGAGGTGCGCCGCCGGCCGCTCTTCGGCGCTGTACAGGGCGCAATACTCGTGCGGAAGGACGAGCGTCCTCGGCTCCGAGCCGTCGCCGTCGTCGCCGCCGCGCACGAGAGGAGCGCCCTTGGCCCACTCGAGGAGGCGCTCGCCCGTTCGTGTCGTCCACAGCGCGCGGTGCTCGGGCCAGCAGATGTCGCCGACCTGGATGTGGTTGGGCGGGCGCTCGAGGGTCGGGAACAGGAGGGACGGCGGCGTCTGGTGCCAGAAGCGCCAGGTGAGGACGACGGGGAGCTGATGGGCGAACAGGTCGGGAGGAAAGGACGAGATGTCGGACAGGTCGACCTGGAGGAGGCCCAAGCGCGCGACGAGGTCGACCGGGAGGTGCGGGAAGAAGACGACGGGCGCGTCCTTGTGGCGCAGGTTGGCCATGTCCGGGTCGGCGAGGGAGCGCAGGGCGAGGTAGTTGAGTCGAGGCGTGAGGGCCGGCGTGACGAGCCGCGCAAAGTCGGCGGGCCGGATCTTGACCGTGTCGAGCCAGAGCGAGGTGAGGTTGAGGAACGGCGACGGGTTGAGGAAGGCGCATTTCTCGAGCTCGAGCGTCTCGAGCACTGCAAGGACCTCGAGTCAGTGACTGCGAGAGAGTGACGGGGAGAGAGAAACAGCGGGACGCACTCGGCAGCGGCGTAGAGTCGCGAATGAGAAGGTCCTTGCCACTCGGCGAATGGTGTTGCCCGTCCATGCGCAGCCACTTGACACACTCGCCCGCACGTACCGCCGACGCGCCGTTCGAGAGCGGGCCAAGGCGATGCCGGATCGGCCGGAACACGCGCCCACCGCCGTCGACCGCGAGCTCGGCGCCGCTGACCCAAACGACCTCGCACAGTACCGACTCGAGGACGCGGTGCAGATGACGGCACACGAGGCAGAACGACTGCATGCGCCGCCGCCACTGGACCCACTGCGGGTACGAGTCGCGCGGCCCGCTCGCGATCCGAGCAATCTCGAGGAGGAGCTCGACAGGGAGGCGGCACAGGAGGGCGGGCCGGCGGTCGATCTCGTCGAGGGAGGAAGCCGCTGTCTCTAGAGAGAGAACGGGCAACTCGCGAGGCTGCCTCGGCGTGAGAGGGAAGCGACGAGGGAGGGAGAAGAGGGGGAGCGACGCGGTACGAGGAGCGGCCTCACTCGCGTGCCCTTTCGCGCGGTGTCTCCTCGTACTGTCGAGAGCTTTATTCGGGTCCAGAGCTCGCACAGGAGGTAGTCGATCACAGCTCGCAGCACAACGACTCGCTCCCGCAGAGGAGCGTCGACTTTCACGTGCACGCCGCACTCGCGCACGTACCTCGGCCGAAACCAAGGATCTCTCGTCTTTCGAGCCGATCAACGTGAAGTCGACATGAGCGTGACTGGCGCAGAATCAGCGCCGCCGAAGAAAGCGACGACGGTTGAAAGTTGATCTCAATCAGCTTACGCTTGGACTTGAGCGCAATGCACGCGCTCGCCTGCAGCGAATCTTCGATAGTATAGTGGCTAGTATATTGCCTTGTCAGTTCCTTTGTGAATCAACGCGGCAGAGACCCGGGTTCAATTCCCGGTCGAAGAGCTTTTCCTTTTGCCTCGCAAGGCGGCTGTACTGCGCCGTTCGCTACCGTGCGCTGTACAGCGTCTCGCTCTTTTCTGGGCGAGCTCTCAGGCAGTGCCAGCTGCGTACGAGTCGAAATGGAGAAGGCTCGGTCGAGGTGCCCTTGCACGGGCGTCTCGTTCGGGCTCGAGGGTTGCGACAGCATCCAGTGCAGGCTCATGGGGAAGAAAGGCTGGCCAGGCGAGAAGAAAGGAGCGACGGTTGTTGTTGTCTCGCGTGCGAGAAGGAGGAGCGCGCGCCTCGTCTGGCGTGGCCGAGGGCGCCGCCTCACGCGCACCGTCTCCCTCTCGACCGCCCGACCCTTGCACCGCTGCGAGAGCGTGTCCAGCACCGCCAGTCACTCGCTCCCCACCACACCGCGCCCCGACCGCGTCCGCACCGCGAGCATCGCCCTTGGACCCACTCCGCCGGGCCCGCTCCTCCCCTTCAGCCTCCGCGGCCCGCACCTCCTCACCCCTGCGCCTGGCGCGACAGCCGTGATCTCGAGGCTTGTCCAGAGCGCAAAAGGTACGTCCTCTGCGCGCAAGCGACCCCTCAGCCCCCTCGGTCGCCGCACAGCACACACAGACTGACCCTGCCCCTTGTCCCGCCCCTTCCTCCCTCGCCCGCCCGCTCCCGCCGCACCGCCCTGTTGCAGCTCAGCGCACCCACAACACCGTCGATCGACCACCTCCCGACATGGCGTCGCCTCAACCTGCCGCGTCGTTGGCTGGCGCCTCGCGCGCTCAGCCCTCCCCCGCCCCATCTACCGCCCCGGGCGGGCCCTCGCCCGACTCGTCGCGTGGCCTGCGCGCCCGCAAGCTGTCCATCAGCACCCGCTCCCCGACCTCGACCGCGTTCGCCTCGGCATCCTCCTCGCAGCAGCGCTCCCCGCCCGCGCTCGCGCAGCAACCCGATGTCGGCCTCGGCCTCATGCTCGACGACGCGGCCAACGGCGGCACCTCGAGCACCCGCTCGAGCATCGACAGCGGCGTCGGCGTTCTCGGCCGTTCACGCGCGAGCAGCATCGGCGGCGTCGAGCAGGCGGCCGCGAGCGGCGAGGCCGAGGGCTTGTTCAAGGCGGCGGCCAGCCCCGACGCGTCGAATCGCTCGCGCACCTTGGCCCCGAGCACGGTCACGGTGTCCTCGGGCAGCACCGCCACGCCTCTCCCCATCTACACCGGCTCGCCCGTCCCGACGTCCTTCCCTCCCTCCCCCGTTCCTTCCCCGGGCCCCGGCCGCACCTTCTCGCCCTCACCTTCGCACCAGGCCATCACTTTCGGCCCGGTCGCCACGACCTCGCACGGCCCCGCGTCGGTCCCCGTCACGCGCTCGCCGTCGTACGCGTCGGTCGTCGGCTCGCTCGACATGCAGCGCTCGCGCTCGGGCGGGTCCGACATCCACTCGCGCCAGCAGTCGCTCACGTCGGCGTGCGCTCCGGTCACGTCGAGCGTCCTCAACACGCCCAAGACGGACGTCGGCGCCTTCTCGCCCCAGGTCGGCGGCGGCGGCGGCAGCGCGCGCAACAGCTTCACGAGCTGGCGCTCGTACGACTGGGGCGCCGCGGCGTCCGAGAAGGCGTACAGCAGTGACGAGGACGTGCGCGAGGGCTCGAAGCGCAAGCCGGTCGCCGAGCCCGAGACGACGCTCGCCAAGGTCCTCGCCCTGCCGTCCTCGCTCCTCGCCTTCTTCCTCCGCCCGCTCCAGAGCGCCCCAGGGCTCCAGCGCGGCACCCTGTCGCCTCCAATGAGCGCGTCCGCCAAGAGCGGCGCCGGCTCGCCCGCCAAGCGGTACCCACTCCCGATCCGCCTCCTCACCATCGCCTACCTCCTCTTCTCCCTCCTCTACTTCTCACTCTCCCTCTCGCGCTCCCTCGTCTCGCCGCCGCCCTCAGCGGCGGCGTCGGACACGGCCTCGTCGTCGCGGCTCGCCGTGCTGCGGGCGAAGCTCGGCGCGCGTGCCGGAGCCGGACCCGAGGGGTGGCAGCTCGTGCGCGAGTACGCCGACGGCCTGAGCGCCAAGGCGGGCATCGATCTTCCGTGGACGTCGGGCAAGGGTGTGGGAGAGGGCGTCGCGGCGGGCGAGGGCGAGGACGCGAGCGAGGAGGACGCGTGGCTCCCCGTGCGCCGGATCGGCCACCCGGACAGTGCGTCCCCTCTTCCTTCTCGGCCTCGAGTCTTGGGCACACCTCATTGACATCCTCCCGCATCGTCTGCAGAGCCTGCGTCGGCGCTCAAGATGCAGACGCCCAACGGCAACCCGCTCACGGCCTTCACGCACACGTACCGCTTCTCCAAGATGCACGACAAGGCGCACTGGGACCTGCACGACGAGATCGTCCCGTACGTCGCCTCTCTCTACTCTGCCCCTCGCGGACCTTTCCCTGACCCGCTCTTGTCGTCGTCGCAGGTTCGCCTTTGCCGCCACCGCCGAGCCCGACAAGGACGACGTCACGGCGTGCATGTACTCGAACGAGGCGTGGCTCTCGACGCTGCCTTCGTTCGTCCGCAACTGGCGCGGCCCGGTCTCGCTCGTGTTCGAGACGACGCACTCGCGCCTCGACTCGGCCGCCCGCACGGCCCTCCTCGGCACGATCGCCGCCCTTCGCGCCGCCGACCCGCTCGTCGAGCAGTTCGTCGACTTCCACCTCGTCGGCGCCCCGTCGTCGCTCGCCGACCGCACGCTTGCCAAGACGCGCGAGCGCATGATCTACAAGCCGCTCGCGCGCAACTACCAGGTCAACCTCGCGCGCTTCTTTGCGCCGACCGACATCGTCTTCCTTGCCGGCGACGCGCGTGTCACGCCCTCGAGCGGGCTTCGTCGTCGCCTCACGGACCGCAGCCTGCGCGACCGCGTCCTGTCGCACGGCGACGCCATCGTCGTCCCGACCTTTGGGTTCGTGCGCGACCCGACCGGCGGGCCGAGCCCGATCTCGAGCGTCGCAGAGCTGCGCACCGAGCTCGGCATCACCGACGAGTTCGACCCGGCCGACTCGTTCAACGGCGTGTCGGCGGAGGAGTTCGAGCCGCTCGCGGCCGAGCACGTGCACCAGCTCGTCGAGACGCTCCCGCTCGCCCAGGACGAGTGGCCGGCGCGCAAGCAGCAGCTCGTGCAGCTTGTCAACACCCGCATGCCGTCGAGCGACAACCCGACGTCGGCGCAGCTCGCCCTGTTCGACCGCCGGTGGGACGTCAACCACGGCCCGTCCAACTGGTACCTGTGGCGCAAGTCGGCGTCGGACCCTCGCCTCGGCGACGAGGCGACGTCGGGCGGTGGCGCCGGCATCGGCGTCGACGGCGGCGTTGGCGGCGGGCGCGACCTGTACCGCGTCGTCGACTACGACCTGCACTACTCGCCGCTCGTCGTCGTCAGCAAGAAGGGCCAGCCGTGGTGCACCGAGCGCTTCGACGACGTGCGCGCGAGCTGCGTCTACCAGATGTACCTCTCGGGCGCCGAGATGTGGGTCGTCCCGGACGAGTGGGCGTACACGCTCGAGGTGCTCGAGAAGCGGCCTGAGGGCGAGAAGGAGGACCCGGCCGACAAGCTCAAGGTGCGCCTGCTCTCCCCCTCTCTCTCTCCCTCTCTCCCTCTCGTCCTCTCTGCCGGACGTCGTACTGACACTCGAGGAACGTGTGCAGGAGTCGATCTCGTCGCGCCTGTACGGCAAGTTCCACCAGGAGGCGTGCATGCACTATGGGCGCGAGTTCCTCTCGGTCGGCATGTGGGACTCGGACAAGGCGCAGCATCTGCGCGAGACGTGTGCGCGCACGCTTGGCAGCTGGGGCATGGGCTCGGCGTGATCGTCGAGTCGAGTCGTCGTCCCTTCCCTCTCGCCCTCGTTCATCGCCTCCCGTCGCCTCGCTCGTTCCTCCTCGTCGTTCCTCCCTCGTCCTCTCGCATCGCACCCTCTGCATCCCCCTCTGTGTCTTATTGCCCAACTCGACCTGTCGCACACCCCCTTTCGCAACCTCGCTCTTTGCCTCGCCGCACCTAGACGTGCCCAACTCCCTCTCGATCTATCGCCTCCTCTCGTTCGCCTTCCTCCCTCACTCTTTTTGCACACATCCTCCACCGTGATACCCCCCCCAATACCTCGCTGTTTGCGCCCCCTTTGGCCCAAGTCCGCCTCCTTCCTCTCGCCGCCAGTTGACCTGGCGCCGCCTTGATGGCTCGCCGCTCCTCGCTGCACGCACCCTCCTCTTTGCCTCTCGTCGACGCAATGTACAAGGTGTGCACGAACGCGCTCGACCGGTGAGACGAGAGCTGGACAAGGGTAACGAGAGCGAGAAGAAGGAGAGCGACCTCGTTGCACGCTCTCTCTCGCTACAAATAGTCCTCCCATACAGTGCCCTTGCCCTCGCCCCTGCGCAGGATGCCGAACCGCTCACGCAGCACGCCGTCGAGCGCAGCTCGCCTCGCGTCGCCGCCGCCGTGACCGCCAAACTGGCGCTCGAGCCCTCGGAGCCGGCTGCGGTAGTCGTCGCCGTTGACGTACGCGCCGCACAGGCGGCGCTCGCCCGTAAAGGCCGAGCGGCCGTGGAGGACGCGCAGGTTGTCGAAGACTGTGGGGCGAGGCGAGAGAGTTGTCAGGCCGAGAAAGCGGGAACGCGCAGAGAGGGAAAGCGAAGGAGGAAAAGGCGAGGGGACGCACTGACGGCGGTTCCGACCTCCATCTGGCTCCACAGCTGCGCCTCGTCGCTGCGCAGTATGCCCTCCCACGCCCTCAGCGCCTCGTACCACTCGTCCATCTTCGCGCCCTCGAACGCCTCGCCGCCGACAACGCCCCGGTCGTCGCCGTTCCAGCGCACCATGACGAGCTCGCCGTGCTCGTCGTAGTTGAGCACCGGGACCCGCACGAGCGGACGCAGGTGCACGCCCGAAGGCAGCGACGCCGAGCCCGAGCCCGAGGCGTGCGACGGGACGGGGACGGTCGACAGGAGGGCGTGCGCCGCCGGATTGGTCGCTTCGAGGAGCGACGCGGCGCGGAACCCGTCGACGAGGAGGTTGTGCCCGCCCTTGTGCGACGATGAGGGCGACAGGAGGTGAAAGAGCTGCAGGCCGCACGGCTGAACGGGCGGAAAAGAGGACGAGTCAGGTTTCGGCGGGTGGGGCAGAGGCGAGAGGAATGAGGACGCACGTCGGTGAAGTAGGTCGTGTCGGTGTGGGCCTCGAGGCGCACCTCAGAGTAGGCGAGGTCGCCGTGCTCGAGGTTGGCGGTAAAGTCCCAGAAGCCGCCGTAGTGCGTGTCGCGGATGAAGGCGATGCGGCGGATGAGGGCCTCGGTCGCCTCGGGCGTACCCGGGATGCCTGAGCACAGCGAGAAGCCGAACGTGTTCTGCGAGAGGCGCGAGAGAGGGAGAGTCAGAAGGCGCCGAGGAGAGGAAAGTCAACAGAGGGGAGAGACGCACAATGCGCTTGAGCCACTCGTAGACGCCCTTCTCGGTCGACATGACCTCGTCGTAGGTTACCGTCGGCATGTCGTGAGCGATCTCGCGGGTCCAGAAGACCTTGCTGTAGGCCGCAGAACGTCAGGACTCGCGGAGAAGGCCGGAGCGAGGGGGGAAAGGGCAGCAAGCGCACCTCGAGTTGGCCGACGGCAAGTCGGCCTGGCGAACGACTGGCGGGTTGTAGGCGTGCTCGGCGAGGAAGGACCACGGGAAGAACGACTCGTAAGTCGACTCGAACGACGAGTTTGGCCCTGTCGAGGGAGCGAGGGTCAGGGCGGGTGACGGGAACAGAAAGGGAGACAGGGAGCGCACAGGTGACGTAGATGCCTCGTTCATCTGAGCGCACAGCGTCTGGTCGGTAGTCGGCAGGGATCTGGAGGGACGAGAGAGCGGGTGAGGCGGTGCACGGGGGCGGGCGCGAGGAGGAGAGGGCGAGGGCGCACCTTTGGCGTGTCGACGAGGCGCTGACGGGTGGCCGGGTGGTACGAGCGCTCTTCTCGGCAGTGGTCCCGCAGCCAGACGTACGAGCTGTCGGCGCACGAGGAGGGGGAGAGGTGAGCTCGCTGGGCCGCCAGCCGGGATGCGGACGAGGGGGACGAGGGCGACTCACAAGCTCGTTGTGGACCCGCCTGGCAGCTGGACCGTGATGCCCTTGACCGGGTTGCTGGCCTCGACCAAGCGTGGCCCTGCTCGTGGCGCTGTCGTTGCAGGCGCGAGCCGGTGTGGGGTGGTCGACAAGAGGCGACGTCGAGGGCGAGCAGCGGCGGGTGGGATGGCGCGGGTGGCCGTGCGTGGTGGTCGAGCAGCAGCTGCTCGACTGGCGCGGACCACAAGGCGCGAGAGCATGACGAGCGAGCGAGACTAGACTGCCGCCAAGTCCGTCGAAGCCGACTCGCCCCTCGCCAGCTCTCCCTCGAGCGCAACAGCACATGCGGACGAACGACGGTTTGCAAGCGAGCGACTAGTTGCGACTATACACACGGCGAAAGCGACACACCCCTCCTCCCTCGACACCGGCGGTCGGACCCTCCTCAAGCACTCGCACCTCCTCCTCCTCCTCCTCCTCACTCGCGCCGATGGATCGTGTCGCCCTCGCCCTCGGCAACGACAGGCGCATCCGCAGCGACGTGGTCGTCGTGAGACGCAATGGCGGCGTACGACCCAGAGCCGTTGGGCGCCGTCGACGCCGCCGCACTCGGCGCAGGGACGGGTGCGGGCCCGCTCGACGACAACGACGACGACGCGGCCGCCTTGGCCTTGGCCTTGGCCCTCTGCTTCTGCTTCTTCTTGGCCGACTTGGACGACGCGCTCGCCGCCGGCTGCTCGGGCTCGCGCGCCGGGTGCGCGGGCTCGAACGCGGGCGCCTCGGCCGACAGGTGCGACGGCTCGCGCTCGTGCCCGTGCTCGTGCTCGTTCTGCGGCGAGTCGAGCTCGACGTGCGACACCGTAGGCGACGACGCGGCCTCCGAGTCGGTCTGCGCCGGCTGCGTCTCGATCGAGGTGGACGGCTGCGGCTCGCCGTTGTGCGCCGGCTCGCCCGCCCTCGAGCGCTCGATGGTCGCGCCCTCGCCCTCGGCGACGACAGGCGCGTCAGGCGCAACGTGCGAGTCGTCGGCGGCGACGTGGGCGAACGACGGGCCGCGCGTCGTCGGCGCCTGGTCGTGCGCCTCCTGCTCGCGCTCGGCCCGCTCCTTCTGCTCCTCGACCGAGACGATCGTCGCCTGCTCGCCCTCGGCGACGACGGGCGCATCAGGCGCCATGTGCTCGCTGTCGGCCGCGACGTCCGCGAAGGACGAGTCGCCAGGGGCCGAGGGCGCCTTGGGCGTAGTCGCGCGGTCGAGGAACGCTTGCTGCTGCTGCTGCTGCTGCTTCGACGACGACACTGACGTCGACTCGTTGTCGCCGTCGTCCTGGCCGGCGGGAGCAGTCGTCTTGGCCTCGTGCGCCGACGCGACGTGCGCCGACTCGAGCGCCTTGCGCTGGCTCGCCGACTCGGCCGATTTGGCCGACGAGGCGACGAGGTTGAGCAGGTCGACGACGCGGTCACGGCCGTAGTAGAAGCTGCCCTCGGCGCCCTTGGTCTTGGTGCGCCACGAGAGCGGAAGGAACTGTTGCAGGAAGTGATGGCGAGGGCGCGCGAGTCAGTGAGGCTCGTGCGCGCGAGACGAGCGCTCTAGGGGACGCACCCAGTCGTGGAGGACCCAGTCGTGGATGCCGAGCTCCTTGTACAGCTTGGCGGGTTCGACGCCGGCCTGCGGGTGAACGCGAGTCAATCCTGAGTCGATCGAAGGCAGGATGAGACCGAGAGAGAGAGAGGAGGACGCACCTGCTCGAGCTGGTTGTACAGCTCCTCGCAGTCGTCGGCGAGGATCTCGACGCCGCCCCACGTCACCATGGTCCTCCCTCCACCCGGCATCGCCTCCTTCCACCAACTCGCGTCGCGCTGAACGGCCGGGTTGACGTACGGCGAGCGGAACAGCTCGATTCCCTCGATGTCCGAGAAGCCGAACACGCCGGCGAGGTGCTTGGCCGGATGTGGGAGGTCGCGTTGAGGCGACATGACGAGGTAGAGGGGGGACAGGCTCGGCATCTGGAACTGGTACGACGCCGGCAGGCGGTCGGCGGCGCCGATGTAGCTGAAGGCGGCGCGAGCGGCGAGAGTCGAGTCGAGGAGGTCGAACGTGCCGTTCGTCTTGAGCGAGTGCGACGCCGAGTACAGGTTGTGGTACGGCGACACGAGGAGGACGCCCTGTTCACAAGGGACGCACAGAGTCAGTCGGCCGCTCGGTGGACAAACAGGGAGGACGGGCAAGGAGACTCACCCCTGGCTGCTTGGGCGTCGCACCGAGCTCTTCGGGGAGCTTGACCTCGTCGGCCGGGCGAGCGAGATGCAGGAGGAGCGCCTCGGCGAGGTTGCCGCCGGCCGAGTCGCCCGCGACGATGACCTTGCTCTCCGAGATGCCGACGTTGTTGACGAGGTAGTGGTAGCCTGCGAGCGCCTCGACGAGCTGCGACGGGTAGCAGTACTCGGGCGGGAGCTCTGCGAGCGTGAGGGACAGAGTCAGTCCAGCTCTGGGGTCGAGAAGGAGGCTCGAGGACGCACTGTAGTCGAGCGCAAAGACCGAGGCGTCAAGGCCGTGCTTGTCCTTGATGTCCTGGATGACCGAGAGGAAGAACTCGTGCGAGTTGGCGCCCGAGTCGAACCTGTGCGGGCAGAGAGAGAGAGAGAGAGGTTAGCCGGGGGGAAGGGTGGGCGAGAGTTCGTGCCGGCAGGGACGTACAGGAACGCGCCGCCGTGGATGAAGTAGACGACGACGTCGGCCTTGGCCTGGTCGTGCTGAGGGTCGCCGATCCACCACCCGGCCGTCCCGTTGACCTGGACCTTGCGCGCCCAGCCCTTGCCCGCCTTGAGGAACGTCGGGGTCGCGTGCGCGAGGGCGTACGAGCGCGTGCTGTTGACGAGGATGCGGATCTGGGCGGGCACGCCGCGCGTGACGTTGAACTGGGTGAGCTTGATGAGGAAGTGGGCGAACAGCGGCCGGCCGACGTGGTGGACGACGGGCGAGAACCAGCGGAACGCGATGAACTCGATGAAGAGGCGGGCCGGGAGGATGAAGACTGCGTCGCGTGCGAGTACTGTGGTCAGCCTCCGAGTGCGAGGCTGCGCGAGGCGAGGGAGAGGGAGGGGACACACAGACTTGCAGCCAGATCAAGGCGAACCAGCGGACGAAGAGGCCGACCGAGAGGCGCTGGTCCGGTGCGGCGCGCTTGAGCGACAGCTGCACGCTGTCCTTGCTGTGCATCGCTGGAGCTCGGGTGGTGGAGCTGAGCGAGTGGGTGGAGGGGAGGAGGACGAAGGGCTGCCGCAGTTCGTCGGCGAGGCGTCACCTCGCTCGGTGTGGGGAGAAGCGGAAAGTCTCGGCGGATGCGCATGAAAGCAACGAGCTGCTCGTCTCTGCACGCTCAGCGCAAGCTCCAGTGCACCCCTCGCGTACAACGAGCGACTCCCCTTGCTCCGAGCAAAGTCGAGCGGGTCGAGGACGAACGGTCTCAGCTTTCGAAACCGCTCGCCGTTCACGCACCAAGTACGTCCTGCCAGCAATGCAATACACACGAAATTACGAGCTCGAGTACGACGAGCTCCTGCAGTCTAGATGGGTATCTCGACCGCCGTCCGTGCGGCCATCTCTCGTCGGTCCTCCCTGTCCTCCTCCTCGCGCCGGCCTCGCGCAACGACCGACGCCCCCGAGCTGAGTCTAGACCGACGTGACGACCTGAGGGTAGGCCTGGCGGATGAGCTCGAACAGGACCGGGTCGCGAATGGCGAGCACCTCGGGGTCCTGCAGGCGACGAGAGGACAACGTCAGGACGGTTCGGATCACTCGTGTGCTCGCCCTCAACGGCGACGGTCTCGTTGGGTGTCGAGGAACGAGAGAGGGGAGAGGAGGTCGCCACAGGAGGGAATTGAGGTCGGGGAGGAGGGAGGAGGGGTTTGAGAAAGAGAAGGAAAGGGCAGCGCACCTCTGCGAGGCCGACAAAGATGGTGCTGACGCCCGACGAGATGGCGCCATACCCGAGCGAGTGGCAGATGAAGAAGCCGGTGATGAAGGACTGGACGAGAGGCCGAGAGAGGGTCAGGATCACTCTCGGCGAGACGGGTCGAGAGGGAGGAGGAGGCGGACGCACGTAGCCCATGACGACCGCCTTGAGGCCCGAGTTGCCCTCGATGTAGGACGGCTGGACCGTCTGGAGCTGCGAGGGCGAAGAGAGAGCGAGTCAATTCTCGGCGACAGGCAAGGCGGGGAAGGAGAACGAGACGAGGCGAGACGGCGGGCTCACGTAGGCAAAGGCGATGATCGAGCACAGGCCGCCGACAGCGTAGCTGCCGAACGTCCAGCTGCAGGCGTCAAGGGAGTCAGTACGGGCGTCGAGACGAGCTCAAGTAGAGTTGGGAAGGAGGCGAGGCGTACATGTTGTTGACGAGGCAGCTGCAGGTCGAGAGACGGTCAGTGTGCGCTCTCGACTCGAGAGTTTCGAAGAGGGAGGGAGAGAGGGAAGGAAGGAGGGAAGAGGGAAGAAGGGAGGGGGCAAGAGGGAGGGTGGGAGAGGGCAGGGAGGCGGGCGCGAGAGCGACTCGGAGGACTGAGGGAGAGAGCACGACGCACTCGTTGATCAGGACCGTGATGCCGCGGTCCCGGAAAAGGCGCCACGTGTCCTTGGCAGCGGCGATGTAGGGCTTGCCGTACAGGGCGATCTGGATGCTGAGGGCGGGAAGAAGGTGAGGGTCAGCTTCTTGCGCTCGAGGGCGCAGATGAAGACAGACGGGCGCACTAGGCGTAGCGGTTGAAGCTGCGTGCAAGGAAGAGAGGTCAGTGGCTGCGTGGGCGAGACGAGGAGAAAGGCCGCCGAGGAGGACGAGAGGACGTACTACTCGACCAGGTTCGAGATGATGCCGACGCAGCACTGCGCGCAGCACGCGATGGCGGCGCCGATCATGTTGCCCTCGCTCGACTCGTACGAGCGCAGGAGCTGGAAGAAGGCGCGCAGGAGGTCTGCGAGGGCACGCGGCGAGTCAGCTACCCGAGGCGGCGACTCGAGAAGGCGGGAGAGAACGGGACGCACCGAGGAGCGCAACGATGAGGGAGCCGAACGCGATCGAGCCGAACCTGTGAGGCGAGGGAAAGTCAGTGGCAGACTCGACCGACGGGCGAGGAGGAGAGAAGGGAAGGGGACGGACGAGTAGGTCGACGCGCGCTTGAAAGCGCCCCACGAGACGCCCTTGGCCTCGGCGCCGCCGTAGTAGCTGTGCATGTACGTCCATCAGTCATCGTCGCGAGCCCGAGGGCGAAAGAGGGCGAAAGAGGGACGCACTGAGCGCCAAAGATGCCCGCCTCGGTCGTGAGGAACAGGTTGGTGAGGAACTGGGTCGTGTACTGCAAGGCGAACGTCGTGAGCACCTCGCCGTCGCCTCGCAGAGTGGGTGGGACCGCGAGAGAGGGAGAGGAGACGCACGTAGTAGTTGAAGACGGCGAAAACCATCAGGCCGATCAGGGCGCCCGAGCTGCTCTGCCCGCCGCTCGTGCCGGACCCCTCGGCGTCGGGCGACCACTTCTGATAGATGCCGACGACGCTGATGCTCCAGAAGACCGAGTACAGGGTGACGAGGACCGTTCCGGTGAGCGCGATGACGTAGACCGACGGGTGGGCCTTGGCGATGGCCAGGACAAAGATGAGGAGCTGCTTCGACAGCGGAATGCGACGCCGCATGCCCGGGTAGGCGAGGAGCGACAGGACGGCGAACACGGTAAAGATGATGGCGCCCGACCAGTACCGCTCGATCCACAGGTAGACGGCGTACGCGACGCTCATGGCGACGGCGAGGAACAACGAGATCTCGAGGATGACCTTGGTGAAGGCGCGGACGAGGACGAGGAGGAGGATCGAGAAGGCGAGGCCGGCGCCGCAGATGATGGACAGCAGCCACGCCATCGACGCGTTCAAGGTGACCGACGACCCGTCCGAGTTGCCGAGCCCGCCGCCGTCCTCCGAGGCCGGGAGGGCCCGCAGAGAGATGACGGCGATGGCGATGAAGGCGCCGAGTTGGGCGAGGAACAGGAGGGCGAAGATGAGGTCGTTCCACTTGGGCTTGGCGGCGTCGTCGAACTTGCCCTCGAGGCCGACCTGCTGCTGCTGAGGCGGCGGCGGCGCGTTGTACTTTTGCTGCCCGGCGGGCTGCTGCGCCTCTTGGTAGTACTGCTGCGCCTGGCCGCCGCCGCCGTACTGGCCCTGGGGCGGTGGAGCATAGCCGCCGCCGCCGTACTGGTTCGAGGGGGGCTGACCTTGAGGGGCCGCAAAGCCGCTGCCGCCACCGTAGCCGTAGTTGGGGGCGTGCTGCATGGCCGGCGGGTGCGAGGCGGGCGGAGGCTGGCTGGGCTGGACGAAGCCGGCCTCGGGGTAGGGGCTCTCGCGCGCGTACTGCATGGCGGCGGTGCGCGGTGAGGATGTAGCCGAGTCGGGTAGAGGTGCGCGCGAGCCCTTGGAGAGCTGTGAGGGGGCGAGGGGAGAGCTGTGAGCGAACGATCGGGCGGCAAGGGGCAGGAGGGGAGAGGCAGCGAGCCGAGCGCGCACCTGCTAGACGATGGCGCAGGCTGGCTCTGGAGTGAACCTTGACGCGTTGGCTCGTGCAGCTGTGCAGAGAAGCAGTAGTGTCAAGAGAGAGAGAGAGAGAGAGAGAGGGGGAGCGGGGACTTGGTCAAACACTCGAGCGATGAGACGACCGTCGATCGCGAGCGCACCTCGTCCCCGTGCGCCTGTGCAGAGCTCGCAGTCGGTCTGAGCTACACTTGAGAGGCACGCCCTCCTAGCACAAGCGGCCCCTCGAGAGCGAGCGAGCGAGCCAAAGTGTGCGCTCGCAGAGACTCGCTCTCGGCGGGGGCAGCTCTCTCTCTCTCGTGCACACACACGCTCGCGCAGCCACACTGGCGCTCGTCGACCCCGCGACCCGCTTCCGCCGCGCGCTCGCCCACTGCGGGCCCTCGTCGCCCTCGCTCGAGTTCCTCGTCCGCCTCGCCGACCGCGTCCCGACCGACGGCCACGTCCGGTACCGCAACACGGACCCGCAGACCCGACAGACGAGCCTGCACCTCGCCGCCCTCAAAGGCCGACTCGACCTTGTCCGCTGGCTCCTCGACGAGGGCGTCGACCAGGCCGAGGTCTCGAGGGTGCGCCCCCCCCCCCCCAAAACTCTTACGGTTGAGTGGGGTCAATCCCATGCCCGGCACTCGGTTTGCCGGATTGCACTTCGCACCCTGATGGCTGGGAAGGCCGATCCCCTCCCGAGCAGGACTGCA